AGCGCACACGGATCATTCTCCAGGATCGATCACATACTGGGGCACAAGACAAACATCAACAGATACACCAAGATTGAAATCATACCAACCATCTTTTCTGACCATGAAGGCATCAAGCTAGAAATAAACCATAAAAAGAAGGCAAGGAACTCTCCTACCTCACGGAGACTAAAAACCACACTACTGGAAGACCACTGGACTAATGAGGAGATCAAAGAGGGAATTAAAAAATTCTTTGAATTGAATGACAAGGAGGACACCAATATCCTAAATGTATGGGACGCAGCAAAAGCAGTAATAAGAGGAAAATATATAGCAATAGAAGCTCACATCAAGAAACAAGAAAGAACTCAAAGAAACAACCTAATCTCGAAGCTCAAAGATCTAGAAAAAGAACAACAAAAAAACCCCAAATCCAGTAGAAGAAAAGAAATAATAAAAACCAAAGCATAAATAAATGAAATTGAAACTAAAAAAACAATCCAAAAGATTAATGAAACCAAGAGCTGGTTCTTCGAAAAAAATCAATAAAATAGACAAACCCCTAGCCAGGCTCACAAAGGAAAAAAGGGAGAAAGCACAAATAAACAGGATCAAAATGAAAGAGGAGAAATCACAACGGACACAGCAGAAATCAAAAGAATAATCAGTAACTACTATGAAGAGTTATATGGAAACAAGTTCAACAATCTAGAGGAGATGGACAAATTCCTACAACTCTACAATCACCCAAAGCTAGATAAAGAAGAAATAGAACACCTAAACAGACCAATTACAATTAGCGAAATTGAAATGGTAATCAAAAACCTCCCCAAAAACAAAAGCCCAGGACCCGATGGATTTACAAATGAATTCTATCAAACATTCAGAGATGAATTAGTGCCTATCCTTCACAAACTCTTCCAAAAAATTGAGAAGGAAGAGACAATACCAAACACATTCTATGAAGCCAACATTACACTAATACCAAAACCAAATAAGGTCAACACAAAAAAGGAAAACTACAGGCCAATCTCCCTAATGAACACTGATGCAAAAATCCTCAACAAAATTTTAGCTATCAGAATCCAACAATGTATCCATAAGATAATTCACCATGACCAAGTAGGATTCATTCCAGGGACACAAGATGGTTTAACATTCGAAAATCAATCAACGTTATCCAACACATCAACAAAAAGAAATATAAAAACCATATGATAATGTCAATAGATGCTGAGAAAGCTTTCGACAAAGTGCAACACCCATTCATGATAAAAGCCCTTGAAATTCTTGGGATACAAGGAACATACCTCAACATCATAAAGGCCATCTATGACAAGCCAACAGCCAGTATCATTCTCAATGGTGAAAAGCTGAAAGCAATTCCATTAAGATCTGGAACAAGACAAGGATGTCCACTCTCACCACTGCTTTTCAATATAATACTGGAAGTCCTAGCCAGAGCAATAAGACAAGAGAAAGACATCCAAGGAATCCAAATAGGAAAAGAAGAAGTCAAACTATCACTGTTTGCAGATGATATGATAATATACATAGAGAACCCCAAAAACTCCACAGAAAAACTAATTCAACTCATCAATCAGTTCAGTAAAGTGGCAGGATACAAAATCAACACGCAAAAGTCAGTAGCCTTCCTATACACAAACAATAAATCTGAAGAAGAAGAAATAAAAAAAAAACATCCCTTTTATTATCGAAACAAAAAAAATCAAATATTTGGGAATAAATCTAACAAAAGAGGTAAAGGACCTATACAAAGAAAACTATAAAACACTGTTAAAAGAAATAGAAGAAGACACAAAGAAATGGAAAGACATCCCCTGCTCATGGATTGGAAGAATAAACATTATTAAAATGGCTATCCTACCAAAAGCAATATACAGATTCAATGCTATTCCAATCAAAATTTCAATGTCATTCTTCAAAGAAATAGAACAATTATTGATGAAATTCATATGGAATCACAAAAAACCCCGAATAGCCAAAGCTCTCCTGAAACAAAAAGAAGGAAATGGAGGCATCACACTCCCAGACTTCAAACTATACTACAAAGCCATAATCATCAAAACTGCATGGTATTGGAACAAGAACAGATTCAGACCAATGGAATCAAATAGAAAATCCAGAAATAAACCCACAGATTTATGATCAACTAATCTTTGACAAAAGAGCAAAGACTATGCATTGGAGCAAAGAAAGTTTGTTCAATAAATGGTGCTGGGAAAACTGGGTCGCTACATGCAAAAGAATGAAGCTTGACCACTACCTCACACCATACACAAAAATCAACTCAAAATGGATTAAAGAACTAGACATAAGACCTGAAACCATAAAATACATAGAAGGAAATATAGGCGAAACACTACGTGATTTGCACATCAAAGACATCTTTACAGACACATCACCCAAAGCAGTGATAGTGAAGGCAAAGATAAACAGCTGGGACTACATCAAATTAAAGAGCTTCTGCACAGCAAAAGAGACAATAACAAAAACAAAGAGAAACCCCACCAACTGGGAGAACATTTTTGTACACAACACTAATGATAAAGGACTGATCACAAAAATCTGCAAAGAGCTGATGAGACTCAACAACAACAAAGAAAATAATCCAGTCCAAAAATGGGCAGAAGAGCTAAAAAGAAACTTCTCTGAAGAAGAAATGCAAATGGCCAACAGGCATATGAAAAAATGTTCAACATCACTTGTAATCAGGGAAATGCAAATCAAAACTACCATGAGATACCATCTCACACCAGTGAGAATGGCACATATTAAAAAAACTAGCAACAACAAATGCTGGTGAGGGTGTGGAGAAAAAGGAACTCTTCTGCACTGTTGGTGGGAGTGCAAACTGGTCCAACCACTATGGAGAGCTGTGTGGAGATTTCTGGACCTACTAAACATAGAGCTTCCATATGATCCAGCAATTCCACTCCTAGGTATATACCCAAAGGACACAGAAATATCAATTCCAAAGAACACCTGCACCCCTATGTTTATAGCAGCACTATTTACAATAGCTAAGCTTTGGAAACAGCCCAGATGCCCAAAAATAGATGACTGGATCAAGAAGATGGGGTACATATATACCATGGATATTACTCAGCATTTAAAAAAGATAAACACATGCAATTTGCAGCAACATGGATGGCGCTGGAAGGGATCATGCTCAGCGAAAAAAGCCAGAAAGAAAAAGAAAAATACCGGATAGTCTCACTCATAGCAGGAATCTAGAAAACTTAAATAAGGGACCAGGAAAATGAATAACTGTAGGAAAGTGAAAATCAAAATCAACAAAAAACTATGAACCAGAGACACTTTTTGGGGGGTGGGGGCAGGAGGGGAGGGACTGGGGTCAGAATGGGGGGTTGAAATTGTATGGGAATATAAAATAAAATTCATTATTAATTAAAAAAAAAGATGTGGGATATTGACAAACACAACCAGATCATTATATTTATCAGTAAACTTGAAATAGCAATAAAAATATTTGCAAAAAAAAATTAAAAAAAAAATAAAATTACTATGATTTCTCAATTTACTTGAAGGAAAAAAAAAACCTGATGCATAATGTATTCTCACAAATGCCTAAATCAAGCAAATGTTAAGTTTATTAAAAAAAAAAAAACCTGATTTCCATTAATAGTGTTGAATTATATAAAAGGCATACGATTTTAAAGTGAATTAACATATTGCCATTGTCAACTGACTACAACACACAATGCAAAATAAGCATGGCTTTTGGTTTAATCTAATGAATACAATATAAAAATAAATGATTATGTGTTAAACCTGCAAAAAAAAGGCTTCTAGATTGCTTTGCATTTTTACTTGCTAAATAATGAGCAAACTAGATGACAAATCTTTGAAAAAGTTTGTAGCTTTAAGCCTGAATCCTGTCACTTTAGTTTTCCTTTTTTTTCTTCCCATCAAAATATATTTAAATCTAATCTAATGAAGACTTTGCTTTTGCAAGTACTTTGCCTTAGTCCTACAAAATATCAAGATATAACTTTAGAATGTTTTGAAAATTATCTACGTATAGTTGTCATTTTAGGATAAGTGATCTAGGGTAACTCTCAGGAAAATAAACTTAATAGTTTAGTCCAAGTTATTTTATTGGAAAAGATGTCTGCCAATTCCAAAATACATGGAAAAAACTCACATTAATAATACCATCCTTCATAATAGGGTAGCGTTCCAAAATAAAATCAAATAAGCAAAAAGTGATTTACACTCAGTTATCTGAGATTACTTTAATAATTTTAAGAAATATAAATTAAAGGATCTAATATTTAAAATTTTGATCTTAAAATGTAAAATATTTCTCATGAATTGCAACACAGAATATTATTTTTAAGAATGACCGTGGTATTCAGTAAGGAAATGGTCTCTATATTACTTCAATATAGTATTTTTAATTACTTTGCCCACATGGACTTCATTATTCTTAATTCTTCTCTCTGTGGATTCCAAGGTTTTAAGGATTTATCTACCAAAAAATTTGCATGTATTAGGAGCATGGCTACTTTTTATATTTTTATGTTGTTTTATATTTTAACTAAAGATTAATAATAATAATAATAATAATGTAAAATTAAATACATTGCTACCATTGTTTGTGTTACTAATGTGCAAACAAATGAGCACTGACAAAGTGATTTATGAATTCTCCTTCCATAACTGGATTTACAATTCATATCTATCAGTATCACTACTGCACTTAGGGAATCTATCCTAGATTCTGTCTTTCAGTAGTTGTCCAACTTGAATAAGTCCCTGAACCTTGTTAAGTCTCAGTTTCAGCATCTCCAAAATAAGAGGTTGGAGCAGATGATCTCATAGGACCTATCCAGATATGTATTATTGTGATTCTATGACAACTAACATTTGCAGTTGAAGTATAATTCTCCACATTCTTTGCTACTGTAGTCCCCAAAATTTTTATGATCTACATAATATGCATTTGAAAATATGTGATTTGAAGTTAATACCTATTTGTAACCATAAGGAATGTCTTCTTGCTCCCAGAAATAGCACAGTGGTACCGGTAAGTCTCTCCTTCTAACTTTTTGACATGATTCTGAAAAGAAAACAAGACTCAAGATTTGGCTAGTAATGCATCCAGATAGTTATTTCTAATACTGTACGTCTACTAATTTACTATAATAGTTTAAAACAAATTATTAGAAACAAAACTTCAGTTCTACTTATTGGCATGTAAAATGAGAAAAATATTCATAGCAAGCTTATAAGTAACTTCTATTATGCCTTAAAAGACAAATATATATCAAATGCTTATTAAATGATGTGATAAGATACATCTCATACTGTAATAACTTAGGCATTTTAAAATACCGACTAGAAACAATCACATTTTAATTCATGAGAATATGAGCATACACTAATAGAAAAGTGCAACACTAGCACCGCAAAGATTATCAACCTGGGGTCCCAGAAGCACTTGAGATCTACAAACCTAAAATATGTCATGAAATTCTGAAAACGCAGTTCTGCAACTTTTTCATAGGACAATTCATATTTTTCATCAGTTTTTTCAATAGGATTGTGATCCTTCTTAAAGGTTAAGGGCCACTGATTTATATAGAGGCAGATATACAATTAATAAAGTTCAAGATAACATATCTAATGTTTCTGAATATTTGGTCTTATAGGTTAAATATATAAAAGAAGTACATGCATGTGTCAAATTATATTTCTCACAGAAAGAAAATGTAACGACAATATCACTACAAAGAGTTTTTAAGACATCAAATAGCTGGCACAATTTATTGTTAAAGACAATTACAAGCATAAAATAATTCAAGTATAAACAGCAGCATGTTAAAATACATATTTTTCATTTCAAAACTACTGTGATTTAAACTAGTCAACATACACATTAAATACCAACAAAATAGTTATTTTATAAGAAATGCTAATGAAATATTATTAATCACCGTATCTATAATGCATGGTTAAAGGTCAGATGAGCTAATATATAAGAAAATACAGAATATGAACATACCTAATAAATAAGAATTGAACATTTTAAAACTAAGAATACAACAATATCATTAAAAGGATAATATAATCAATATAATCATAAGCAGAGAAAGTACTATTATGTCAATGCTTAAATAAACTTTAAAGATCCTTGGTCCCCAGTCACTCCTTGTCAATTATGAAATGCTATGAATAAGGAAGATCACTCCCCAAAGAACTGGGGTTTCATCTTCAGAATGAATCTCAGAGGAAAGTGTAACTTGTTTTACATCTTACCTGTGTAAATTAGTTACATTTTTAACAGTTATACCTTAATTTCTTTAAAAGGAAAATCAATATAATAATTTAGTATATTTATTTTTGGCTTTGAAGTATGTTAAAATATTTAGATTTGAGGTTCAATATACAAGAATTACTACCTGCTTTCCATCCTGTATGCATTTTCATTAGTTCTTAGGCTCATGTGCTTTAAACTATCATTGAAAGTTTTTAAGCAGACATTTTGTTTTCAACACTACTGAAAACCCACTACACTCTGAGATTCAGAGTAAGATGGTCAGTCACTGATGGCAGCAGGAGACCAGATTAGTTGCTAAAATATTCACTCTCCCTTCCCAAAATGCAATTTGAAGAATTTACAATATTTAGCCAAAGCAATCAATTTTCAAGTAAATTCTAAGGTAAGTACAAGATATGAAATAGCAATGTGAATACTGATGTTTAATACAGGATTATTATGTTAGTAAAATAAGAGAAACAACCTTAATATCAAGAACTGGGGAATGATCAAATATACAATGTAAGGCTATCTCAATAGATGGTAATGTAAGAATTAAGAAAGAAGCATTTCTATAAACATGGAAAATGTAACTAAAAAGGAAAAGGACTCAACATTTTTAATATTATATGATCAAAAGTATGTAAACCACACTGAATTTTAAATAAAAACTGACAATATATATTATATATATGTATATAAATATGTGTGTATAAATAGTAATTACCCTAATAATTGAACAAAAGATAAGCAGAAGAGCATACCCTATGAAAACATAGCATATGATTTAGTAACTAAGTGTTAAAGAATCCAAGGAGATACTCAGGAGGAAAAGAAAATGGGATAAATCAAAGATTCCCAAAACAATTATTTAGAATGTAACCATATTACAGTAAGAACTAGGAGAATATATCCTTATACACCAGTGTTCTTTAATATTTACATATTCTGTTATACTTGGGCCCTTAAAAGACAGAAGTCATTTGTTTTGTATATTCAGCATTATCTACATAATCAATAAATGTTGTACCCAATTGATAGGCAAGGGATCAAACAGCCTAAATTTCTTAATTATCCATGCCTACCCTTGCCACCCAAGGAATGAAAACCATCAAATCTTCACATTAATGTACAATCTATTTCTTCGGTAACCACAAGAATATGCAAAAGTTTAAAAAACTACATTGTCAACAAAACTAATAAATCAGGTAAGATCACTATATGTGATCTTATCATTTCCAGCTACAATGATTTTAAAATTTCTGTAAGTTTTGTGCTTATTGACATGCAGTTGCTAAAAGGGAAATCACAAGGGAAGTTTAATAACATAAAGAACTAAACAGTAAATAAAGAAAAATACTTTAATAAGATATGTGATTTCCCAAAAGTTAAATGTCTTTAAAAATTATGATATATCCAGGAAAATTAAAAACCATTACTTTTACCTAAGGAGGAAGGGCAATTATTAGTGATGATTTAAGACAGCATCTTGAATTAGTTATTGTGCTTGATTCTCATAGGAAATTGTACATGCAGTGACATTTTTGCCAACCCTCAATTATCTAGGCACAAGAAAAGTTTGTCAGCTACAGTTTTAGACTGGTCTTTGGATGTCATTCTTCTTTATAATGCTTCAATGTATTCTTTTGATACCTACAGTTTTAAAAAATACATAATTCAACTGAATATATGTTAACAATTTCGTTATTTTAGAATGTACAAAACATTAAATCTAAGGTTATACTTGGTCTCAATTTGGGGGAAAGAATGAGGGTTGCTAGATAAGACATTGCTAAATCAAATTAAACACTATTATCACTTATAAAAAAGAAATGAAAACAAATTACTTTGAAAATTAATCATAGTATCGCTTCTCAGCCTTTTGGCTAAGATCAAGTGAAAATCAATCATGGAGGTACTAATTTCAAAATGATAATTTGTAGTTATTTTTGTTCCTATTAAGATAGTGAATCCTTAAAGGACACTCTTATCTTAAAGGAAAAAGCAAAAAGGAGAGGTTTTTAAAAATAAATATATCTGTAAATTTCAACTGTCAAAAAGAAATTTACCTAATTACATGTTCAACTTCTATATATTAACTAAAACTAATACTTGTGAGATACATATAAGTAACAAGGAGATTCAATTTTTGAACAGCATAAATGCTAAAGGCTGAGAATACATGTAACCTAAATATAAAATGATTGCCATTTATCTAGCAAGGACACTAAAAGATTAAAAAAGAAGAAAGAGATTGTGGGAACATTTCAAAATTCATGTGCTAGTTTCTACTTGATGTTTAAGAACAGAACCAGAGCAACTGATACTTCAATTACTAAAACATATGCCCCAGTGAAAAGTCCCATAATTTGAGTAAATTGATCTGTGAAACTTAAATTATGTAATTTCATCATCAGGATTCACAAACATAACTAATGTACAATAGGATGGGTGTAATAATTGTTCTATTTTTTCAACTTTACTTGAAATGCACATGAATACCATAAAAAATGAAATTTTTAAAATGATAATAAATGTGTTTGCTTCTTAGCTCAGTAGGTCACTCACTAAATGCAAAAGAGTGCTAATTTCCTGAATTCTTTGATATTTTATATTGATGTCTTATTCCTGTACAGTATTATCAGGAATATCCCTTTTTTTTTTTTTGCAGTCAAGTCACTATGATAAAAAGTTCAGATAGAGGTGAAAATTGCCAAGAAAATTTCATTAAAATGCACTCTCAATCTGAATAAATCAAAGACAGTCAATTAATACCACAGTTTGTTTTGATTTTAAAGGATGAAATCAAGTAGTAGTATAGGAAACATTTACTCCTGTATATCCAGTTCTTGCTGTGTAGGCAGAAAAAGAAAGAAAATAAAGTTAGAAGCATGAAGAAAGATAAAATGTAACCACATACAATAAAAACCAAAGACAAAGAACAATGGAGAATTATTTCATTTTATGTCAAAGTAGGAAAATGATAACAAATTTACTTGGGGGGAAGTAGAGAGGGTAGATAGAAATTTATATAGGTATATATTATTTAAGTACAGTAAAGTTGAAACTAAAATAAAAGTCCAAAACCTTAATCTTTTTCAAGATTTAAAAAGATTATAATTGTAAAAAATCTGTTTTTCTCTCCTCCAGCTTTTTTTCACCTGGATAAATCTAGATTTACAGAGTAGTCCAAATACATTAATTTGGTTGGAGAAAAAAGGAAGCGGTAAAATTCCAGTAAATAGCCACAAAGCAGGAATCCAAAGTTAATAATGTTAATGAAATGAACTACCACACAGTGATCAAATATGTGACTCCTTTAACATTATCCTTTCTGCACAAAAAAAAAAAAGAGCTTTGCTCCTGTGCAGAAAAAATTACGTTATTCTCATTTAACATGTTACACATGTTACATATATAATCAAATTCTATAAACCACGTTCCTTGTGTAATCCTAGATTATGGAGCAGGAACTTAAAGAACCAACCCTGAAATTCTGGTCCTAGAAATCTTTATTTTTTTTTTTTTTTTATAGAGGCATGCTTTATTTATTTGTTTGCTGGTTTGTTTGGTTTTTTTTGTTTATACATGCACTGGGTACAGTCAGAAGCGCGGGAGGGTGAGAGAATTCACCAGAGCCAGAGCGGGGAGCAGAGCAGGCAGAAGGACCGAAGTACACTGCTGAGGGGAGCAGCGGGCGGCAGGAGAAGTCTGCACGCCATGTGGGACCCTCCTCCTGTGGCCGGGGAGCAGCCGGGGATCGAACCGGCGCCGCAGAGGCCGCGGGCAGCTTCGCAACCCAGCGCTCAACCGCTGCGCCACCGGGGAGGCCCCCTAGAAATCTTTAAAGTTAAATTTCATTCATGACCATGAGGAATAGAATTCATACCTCAAATAAATCAGAGCCCTCGGATTCTTGTCTGTCATATGGGCGAATTATGCCATCTTCATGGATCATGCGAGGGGGACGGAGACTAGACACTTCCTCAGTTGATTCTGCTGCCCTGTATAAAGCAGGAGAGTAAGTATAAGAAAATATGTGAGAAGCTTTCAAAATAATAAAAACATTTTTATTAAACACCTCATTCATATTATTTAATATTGATAAAAAATAATGAGTACACTTAATTTGCCAAAAATAATGGGACAAGTATTAAAACCAAGTGTTCCCAGCTTCCTCACCTTATATTAAAGAAAATGTCAAAATAATAAAAGCAAGGACTAAGTCATGTACTCATTGAGGTCTTGGTGTCTAGCACAAGGCAAATGCTGAATAAAAGTTGAGCCATAAAAAGTGTCTTTTTATTACTTCCTGGTGAAAGGTCATGAAGAGGTAACAGCAGGTAAAATATTTAACCTATTTATGTATTCATAGCAGCAGTTAGCACACAGATAATACTGTGCTCTTAGTTACCTCTGAATTCCTTGGAAGGTACTGCTGGCCATATCAATGATTCCACCAGTTGGACGAGCCACAGCACCCACCAACCCTTTCCCAATGCCTTTAAAGAATCCAGCAGCTCCTTCCTTTTTGGCACCTTCAAAATGACAAAGAATATATATTTTAAAATAAGCAACTTTGGACTAACAAAAGCCCAAGCCAAAACTCTTTTACCCAGGAAACTTCTAGATTTTGGCTTTCTAAAGAAGTAAAATTTCATCCCAACATATAAAATAATGGCTCTTAAAGTGTGCTAAAACGCAAATTATGAGGCCAGACCTACTGAATTAGAAACTCTGGGAGGCAGCCCACAATTTGTGTTTTAACAAGCCCTCCTAGTAATTCTCCTATACTAGTTTGACAACTACTTATCAGGAGTTTAATCAATAGCTGTGACTGCAGGTCTAAGAACTGATGAGAAAATATTCTTTTAATGTGGGTCAACTTTTCAAAAAGTATACTTCTTTTAAAATAAATATTTTATTGAATTATAATATACCATATTACATAGCATATTATCAATTACCATATAATTTACCCATTAAGGTGTACAAATACAGTAGTTTTAGAATATTCAATAGTGTAACTATCACCACAATTAATTTTAGAAAATTTGTACACCTTAAAAAGAAATTCATTGCCCATTAGAAATTATTCTCTATTTCCTCCTAATGCAAACCTATGCAATTTACCTCCATTCCCCTCCCCCAAACCCCAACCTAGGCAACCACTGATTTACTTTCTATTTTGATGGATTTGCTTATTCTGGACATATCCTGGAAATGGAATCAAACAATATGTGCTCTTTTGGGAGTGTTTTTTTTTTTCCCACTTAATATCATGTTTTCAAGGTTCATCCATTTTGTATTTGTATCAGTACTTGATTACTTTTTATAGGATATATCACATTCAATGTATTTACTTATGCAGTAGTTGATGGATAATTGGGTTGCTATTAAATACTGGTTATTGTGAATAATGTTTCTGTGCATGTCTATGAACAAACTTTTGAGTGAAAATATTTTCATATCTTTTGGGCATATACCTAGGAGTGGAATTGCTGGGTCATATATATTAATTCTATGTTTATATCCAGCTTATGTCCAGTCAGTTGTGAAATGACTATTCTTCCCTTATGGAATTTTCTTGGTATCCTTGTCAAAGATCAGGTGACCAAAAACAAGGGCTTGATTCTGCAATTTTATTCAATTTATCTATATGCTAGTACCATACTGTCTTAAGTCACTATAGCTTTGCAGACATTTTTTTAATTGGATAGTATAAATCTTCCAACTTTATTCTTTTTCAAGACTGTTTTGGTTATTTGAGGTCCTCTGAATTCCCATATAAAAGTTTTTTGCAAAGAATTGAGATTTTGACAAGGATTGCACTGAAGAAATAATTAAAAAGTGAGTCAATTACTATTGGCCATACAAAGGAATCTATTTTACCTATGCCTTGTTGAAAATAGCATTCAAAATCTGAATCGTAGTATATTATCTACATTTCTTAAACAATTGAAGACTATGAATATAAAATTAGTCAGTGAGTCTCTTAATTAAAGACCTAGCAGCAATGACATCACAGTTACCAAGCATCACCTCTTTAGACCATGTACAGGAAGGGAACATTTGCAACCTACCTTCCACAGGTTTTGTTATTATTCCAGTCACTCCACCAACAACTCCCTGGAAGAGAAATCAATCATGAAGGCAAAGAATGGAAGGTGCTTAATTTAGACCAACCACTAGAGGTCTCTACAGACATACTAGAAATACTCTATTTTTCACTTCAATAACATTGCAGTATAACAAATGTTTTAGCTGTGCAGCACTACTAATCAACATGAATATATACTACAATAATTTTTTAAGAGAACTTACTTGATAATGTGAAAATACACATATAATTTAGAACTAAGATTTTTTAAGTATCATAACAAATTTTAAATAGAGCACCCTGCAGAAGTAAAATTTTATGATGGAAAGAATGTTAATCAAGTCAAAAGACTCTAAATCTGGCTCTGGCATGAATCAGTTATATAACCATGGGTAGTTGATTCCATTTCTTTAAGCCTCAGTAAAATAAGTGAAGAGAGCCCCCAAAATTACTAGGATCTAATTATCATCAATTTTAATGAGATAGTTTTGTAATTTAGTCTAAGTATAGAAGATTTTGCTAAAGGACAGCAAAAACCAAATAAAGCATTTTTAAGATAATACACAACACTACAAATCACTGGCACACAAAGTAGTTACAGTTTCCTGAAATTATTTCCAAAATTAAAACAGTAATATTTTTATATTCTTAATAATTGTCAAGTAATGGTAGTAATGAAAACTCTCTGTTTATTATATAAACACGCAGAAAGAGAACTGCGGATACACACTATAATGAAAAGATTAGGTACCTCCGGGAAGAGGTGAGAGGTGATCAAAGAATATTTTACCCTATATAAAGCTACTTTTTAAAAGGAGACTCAGAGGTTCTTAATTATTTATAAGGAGACTATATCTATTATTGCCTGTGTAATTAAACAGTATGTATATAATACCTGTATAAATTTTTAAAGTACTAAAAAGTAGGGAAAGGCAGTTACTGGTTTTATAACACTTCACTTCTACACCTTCTTCCTATAAAAATACCAGTTGATGACTTTAAGAACTCCTCCCACTAGTTACCATCATTTACCATATGTCTTTTACCTTCTCCCTGGGATTTGCAGGGCAGTAATAATAAGGAAGGAAAACAAAAAAGACTGCAATTTATCACTACAGGTATTCTGACAGACCTTTACCCACAAGAAGCATTGTAAGTTACAAATAACCAAAAAGAATAATAAATTCTAAAGTGTATTAAAAAGTTGAGGGTTTCTTGAAGATTCAGCAGGGGACATACACGCAGGAAGCCCTTTCCTCCTCTAGCTAGACTGTCTCCAAAATCTTTAGGCTGTCGACCCATCTCTTCTCTTCTTTTTTGCTGATACTCCTTGTCCATTGTAATTGCTGCCAAGCCTTTTCCGACAGAACCAGTGATTCGAGATACAACTCCTGCTGCACCACCTGTAAAAAGGCCCAGAAAAGTTATATTGTTTCCCTAAAGAGCCTTACCACAATAGACAGTACATGATTGTTTTAAACTAACAGGTGATTAAAATTCTGAGTCATACATTATCGAAGAGAACTGTTTAAAATATTTTTTTGTTAAAAATATTTTAATACTACAGAGACATATAAGAAATCCCTAGCAAGTCAATGTTAAATTATTTTCCACCTAAGAACAAGGGAACACGTCTTTTAAAAGGGATTATTAGAAAAGTGATCCCTCTTTTGTTAAATGTAATCATTTGTTTTACACAAACAATGCATTTTATAACTATAATATACATTATAGTGTAACAGGGTGGTCCCCAGGAAAGGGGGAGGTTCCCTGCCCCACCCAAGGGAGGGTGGAGCTGAGCAGGAAGAGAAGAAGCAGAAGAGACTGAGGAAGGAAGGAAGCAGGATGGAGTCAGGAGACCTGGAGGAGGCACATGGAGCCTAGAGACACGTAAAGAAACTGCGCTTGTCTTTTGGTCGTGGACTGGGTGACACAGATGTGGGTGAGACCTGTGGGGAGGTGACCATGGCAGCTTTTATCTTGATGTTGATTTTGCTCTTTTCCTTCCGGGCTTGTCCGGTTGTTTGTGACCCTTTGCTGTGGGTCCCCACTGGAAGATGCTTTAGACTTTTAGCAGGCTTTGGGGCCTTGTTCTGGGCCAATCCCATTTGGATGGACTTTTACCCACGAGGGGATGGGTAACTTTGGGTGCTTCATTTAGAAACTAGACTCTTTGCCTTACCTGTATTGTTTCCTAGTTTTATTAAAGTTCCTTCCCATTAAAGTCTCCTATGTTTTGTGTTGATGCGGTGGATGGCAGAACCCATGTAGAATAGGCAGGTTTGCGGGGTTTGGGCTGCCCCTCTCCCTGTCCTATAACAATAGTACTATCTACATATATACATAGACACACAGATACATGATACTTACCTACTGTGTGTCCGAAGAGACTTCTTACTCCAATCACTAAGCCCTCAGCAAATTCTTCAGGGCCTTGAACAGCACCCTGGACAAAAAACATTAGATATTTAAAACTGAAATAGTTTGAGAGTTTTAATCTAGTGTTTAAGGGTTTCCATGAATATACAGAATCTGTGATTCATGAACATTGTGATAACAGTGAGTTCTGAAGACAGAGTTTTCACCCTTTAACCAAAATATTGAAGATACTTTCAACCCACATGATCTCAGCAAACCCTTTAAGATGACAAAAATCAGGTAAGAGCAAAACACTGAATTCAATCACAAACTTAAGTTGGTCTCCCAGTACTAAGTTCACCACATTGGTAAGGAGCCTAAGAGCCCATATAGTTTCAACTCTCTTATTCTCCCATTTATTCTCTCTGCCTTATCATTCTTAGACCTTTGCTTTGCACTCCTGGATCCTTTAAATGGATGTGAACAGGTTAGAGGAAAGCTTGAACATGAAACAAAGCCAGCTTTTGCCTCATTAGTCCTTTCCATAGTGTGAAACAGCCTTAAAAGGATCTTTATATACTACTTTTCCTTACAACTTTATTAAGTCCTGCAAAATGTGGGCATGTTTTGTGCTCAGACACTAAAAATATTTTAATTGTTAATTCTAAAACAATCTTTAATGTCACCTCAATTACTTTAAAATAAAAAAATATATAATTGATACATTTGTTATTTGAACATTATTCAGTTCCAAGATATAATACAAGTTAAATGTTATTTTAAAAACCAGAACATTCATTTTTCTATGCCTATACTTAAAATAAAGATCAATACCTGAAAGGGTTCATAGAATAAAGCTTCAACTCCTTCAGAGAGGCCTCTGATTAATCCAAACGGGTTTCCAAGCACATCTAAGCCCAGTACAAGGACATACATCTGTTTCAAGAACTAAATGGAAAAAAGTTAAGTCCTTTACAAACTGTTGTAAAGAACAAGATGATGCAATAAAAAGGGGGTTACTGAATAAATGATGTCATTAAAGGAAAGTTATGTACAGTAACTACCACTATGTCTATTAATTGATCCTTCACTATGTGCCAGACATTATCCCAGTATTTTACACAGGAGTTTCTGCTGCACCTCCCCCTGCAGTGACCTTTAGGGCTAACCGGCCCTAGGTCCGGCTGGGCAACCAGCGCACAGGGGAAGAACAGCAAAACCCTACCTGCTGCACCTCCCCCCCGCATTGATCTTTAGAAATGGCTTTTGCCACGGTCCCTAGATCCGGCTGGGCAACCAGCGCGCTGGGGGGGGGGGGCGTGGGGGGGGGGGAAACAGCCTGAAGCAGAGGAAGTTCAGCGGAAGTTCCCTGAAAAGGCAGAAGCTTATCAAAAGATAACCACCAAGAACCACTACAAGAATGCTAAAAATCTTATCCCTTCTTTCTAGAACTACGAACTTTAATCCCTTATCTGTCTTTCTAAACTTCCTTCTTTCTTAAATAATGGTCATTGTTTGTTATGTAGATCACCTCCCTGATGGTGATAGACTGAGCCCATGGGCAAGCTAATTTCATTGATATTCATTCCTGTGCTTTTGGAAAATATATATATACTGGTCACAAACTCAAAGAAAATTACACTCAGATTTTCACTCTTGAAGTGTGTCTGTTTGTCATTTCTTTCGCCGACGCCCTGACCACCCTGCACGCTTCTCTCAACCCTGAGGTGGCCTCATCGTCTACTGCTGTGCTGGTCCGCGGCAAGTTTCAAATTGGACAGAACTAGGTTTGACGCATATTAAGAACTAAGAAGTTATCTACCCTTGGACAAGTCACTGAGCCTGTGGATAAGTCTCAGTATTCTAAACTATAAAATGGCAAGTGTGTTATACTGACCTTTTATGGTTGAGTATGCATTATTAAATGAATACATAATTCAGTAATTTTTTTATTTTTTATTACTATCTGGGAAATAATAACCAATCTATCTGGGAAATAATTAATAACCAAAAGAAGAAACAGATGAAAATATATCCTTACTTAAACTTGTAACACCCATAAAACATATCACAGGAGAAAGGACCTTCTACTGTGGAGGTCCGTAGGATAGCATTGCCACTCTGAGGCTCTGACACAGGAGTATGTTTCTGTGCATAAAACTCAAACCACGATGTAGCTGAGGCATGAGAACTAGCCTGGACCAGAATTTCTCTGGCAAAATTCTACTAAACTATGATTAGAATCTGTTGTCATTGAAGAAATAATTGTAATCACTCCTAAATCACAATTCCTTCCCCATGTCATTAATGTATAACTGCAAAGAAAAAAAAAGAAATTGGTGGAAACTTAGAAAGGTGTACATGGGGGAACAGAACTAAAGAAATGGAAATTAACCATTGAGGAAAACTACTAGGTAATGAGATTAAGAATTGAGTTAAATTAGGTAAAAATGAGGTAAACATTATTGCACATTGTATAATCCATAAGTATTTTGTTCTGTTATTTTATGAAATACATTCCTTATGAGCTACTATGATAAGTCAATTACCTGTTCACTGTAATGTCTAACAACACTCCACATGAGTTGATCTCTATTGTAAAACTGATACCGAATTTCATAATAGGCAAGTCTAGGAGGAGAAAGAAAGATCCAAAGGTACTATGATTATATTTGGGGAAAAAAAAAGATTTAAAATTTCATAATTTTTAATGATAATCATTGCTAATTCACAATTAGATTGTACCTCTCTAGTACTAGTGTTGCACCTATTTTGAAATCTTTAATAATCTGTTTTAATTTGCATATATCCTTTGATTTATCATAATGCTAAACATTTCAAATATCTACCTGCAACTGTATCGTCCTTATACAAATTATTTTATTGTTCTCTGGCAAATATGACATTAGAATCTTTGGATTTTTCTTATCAATATTTACTACTAAGAGTATTAGCCCTCGGGCCTCCCCTGGTGGGTGGCGTAGTGGTTGAGCGCTGGGCTGCGAAGCTGCCCGAAGCCTCTGCAGCAGCAGTTCGATCCCTGGCCGCCGGCGAGGGTCCCACATGGCGCAACAGACCTCTCCTGCCATGCCCGCTGCTCCCCTCAGAAGTGTATTTCGTCAGTCTGCCTGTTCTGTTCCCGGCTCTGGCTCTGGTGAATTCTCTCACCCTCCCGCGCTTCTGACTGTACCCAGTGCTTGTATAAATAAATAAATAAATAAATCTTTAAAAAAAAAAAAAAAAAAAAAAAGAGTATTAGCCCTCTATGTCATACTTCGTCTTATTTCCCCAGGTCTTTGACTTTTAACTAATTTTGTTCTGAAGTGCTTATTTTTTGTATTATATTTTCCATTGGAATTTTTTCCCATTGCTTTTATTTTATTTATTTATTTGTTTGTTTGTTTGTTTATTTATTTATACGAGCACTGGGTACAGTCAGAAGCGTGGGAGGGTGAGAGAATTCACCAGAGCCAGAGCGGGGAGCAGAGCAGGCAGAAGGACCGAAGTACACTGCTGAGGGGAGCAGTGGGTGGCAGGAGAGGTCTGCGCGCCATGTGGGACCCTCCTCTGGTGGCCGGGGAGCAGCCGGGGATGGAACTGGTGCTGCAGAGGCTGGGGGCAGCTTCACAACCCAGTGCTCAACCGCTGCACCACCTGGGAGGCCCTCCCATTGCTTTTAAACTTGTAAGCTTGATAAAAACTTATAGGGAATATAAAAATAAAATTTATTAATTAAAAAAAAATAAAAAATAAATCTTAAAAAAAAACATTTTTTCCTTAATCTTTTTTAAATTTTATTTTTATATTTTATATAATTTTTTAAAAATTTATATTTTTAAATTTTATATTTAATCATTCAAATCTGATAGTATACAAGTAAGTGGAAATGATACAAATGAATTTCTCTCCCCAAGAAAACTATTTGTTCTAGACCATTGAATATTCAATTGAATATTCATTGAAGTTATAGGTCTCTGATACTGTAAATATTTTCATATTAAATGTAGCAAGGAATTATTATCTACACTTTGCCATATGATTACACTGAAATCTCTCCCTGTTGCAACATACATTTAAATATAATTGTGTTTCAAAACATGGTGAATTTTTACTATACCACTGAAGTAATTCAATTTTATTCTAAATTCATGTACTATTTAGATAGTAATAACTTTTTAAAAATGTAATTCTTTAGCCTATCTTTATGAGTAAAATAAGCAGAACTGAAGAACACTCTTCGAAAGTTTCCAAGCTCTTCAAGTGTATGCAGTGAGAATTATTTTTCTAAGCTAACATTCTAATACAAATGGAGACAATTAATATCCATCCAAAAACAAAACCTTGGTACAAAAGTTAAAATAATTCTTACTTGAATATAAGGTCATCCACATCAGTCAGAGTAGCACCTATGCTTTTCAATAGTAGGTTAACAGAATGAATTGCAATCATTTCCTGTTTTTCTTTGTCAGACTCTTCACCTCCAGAACCCAGAGAGAGACTCAAATGCAACTAGAAGAAAAATAATGTTCAGTAAATAAAAGTTAAAAAAACAAAAACAATGTATAAATATAGGAACCAATCATCCAGATACAAACTCTGCTTCTTTCAGAATCCTAAAGAAAGCTTTGTTAAGAATAATATATACAATAACACACTCATATCTAATTCTCATATTTACTTCTTATAAAATGTAAATTAGACTGTTCCAAAAGAGAGTTAAAATTTTATTCATATCAACACTCTTTGTGTTCATATGCATGGGACCAAAACACTTTACTAAAATAGTGTAACAAATTTAAATGATATTTGAAGTTATTAGTTTAGTGATAATTAAATAAATTTTAAATAATTTCATAAACTATATTAAAGAATAAAATTAGGAAGAAAAATAGATAAACTGACACATAGTGGTCTTCTAGTCATATAAGGGATAATTATTTTAGTCCAATTAAGGTAAATAGCTTTTGTGACAATTAGCAATAATAATTATGATATAATTAAATAATAATAACAATAATATGATAATTAAGGGAGCAATTAGCAAGTTCCTAAACAAATTTTTTAAAGATTAATAAGGCTTTAGCTTCCACACATCTCTTCAAATCATTACCGACACATGAAACTTTTACACTCCATTTTAGCTGCTTCTACTTTGTGCAGTATCAATAGGCCAGAAGACATGACAAGAGATAATTTTGACATGTGTAAGTAAAGCAGATGACTCTCTTTCCTAATTCTCTAGCCATTTTACTTAACCAAAGAACTTAATAGAGTGAACTTTGGGTAAAATCAGGAAAGTCTCATTGTTGGCTTTTTTCTTTGATAGTGATTTCTGCCCATCTGCAGAGTCAGAGTGTTAGGATCAGGAAAGCTTACATGGACAGATATCTACCCTCTCCTTAGGACAGTCACCACAGAATAAGAAAATAACTATGGTTTATGATCTTCATTGTTCAATTTCATGGCACAATTCTCACTATGCCTGAAAACATATATAGGTAATAATAGTCTTTAATACTCTGTTAGATTATAAATTCCATGAAGTCATTTCACATCTCCCACTGACTGCAGCTTTGATAGCAGTCATTCAGTAATATTTACTGAAGGTATTGTTCAATCTCATAAATAACTGATTTTCACATAATAAAAGAAATTATGTATAATCCATATGGATATAAAATAATATCCATTTTAAACCTAACATTAATACATGAATTTAAAATTATAATTGCATTTTATAAATTCACTCATTTAGATGGATAGATTGGTGAATACAACTGAAAATAATGTGTTATAAACAGTTTTTGAGAATGTAATGGATCATCAATATTTTAAAGAGTTACTTAATTATAAATCTGGCCCATTACACAAGTATAGAGTATTACGGTTGACAGCATTTGTGAGTTTACTAAGCAGTCACCTTCCCCTATAAAAGCTAAAAAGAACAACAAAAGGAGAAAAGGAAATGGGTTCATAAAGTACAAAATCAGGCAAGTGAAAGGTATCCAATTTTCCACTCCCTTAGTTACAATCAGATTTTGGAAGGGTGAAAAACAGCACATCAACAGTATACTACTACTTCAGCGTTTTCACATTCTGGTTAGGACACCCATTATAGCTTTCTGTTTAAACATTGATAGTAGTTACAAAGTGCAACCAAAACATTAAACGTTAGTGAGCACTTCTTCGCTTAATTAAGAAATGCTTTTGTCAGCTTCTTCCTTGAATAAAGGGGTTATTAATTCAAGACTAGAGAAAATGCTCGGGCGGTTTCTCTGTGGGAATTATTGTTGTACATATGTTAGAACTGTCTTAATTATTTCAATTAATCAAACAAAATTCCCGCCAAATATTTGATGCAAAAAATTAAAATCAGTTTCTATACAGACCATTTAAAAGTCCTACACAATTCTGAAAAATTTTCAAAATAGTAATTACAACAAACCTTAACAGGAGAAATATGAAAATGTTCAAAGAAACTAAGAATTGACATATCAGTCATTGAAGTCTCCATTAATTCTGTGTTTAGAGCATCAATATCGTGCTGGATTAACTTTGTCTGAAAAAAATTAAATCAAGAAATTCATATTTTAATTTTTTCCTCTGCTACAGTTAGTTAAAAAAATGACTAATTTAATTTTTAATCTAAAAAATTTCCCAAGAAATAAAAATTGTTACCCGTTTTCTTTCAGCTTCAGGGTCAGTTGTTGGGGTAAACAGTGCAATAATAGCGCCTAGAAATCCTTGATCAACTTTTAAAGCCATTTCCTGAATAAGGACCATAAAATACCTAGGAAAAACATTTTATAAATATGGAAAAGGGTGTCTATAAAATCTTAAAATTTTCAATGTTAAAATTCTGATTATGATCAAAAGTTACAGTAATATCTTATTCTTGCATTTCTGAAGAAGAGATATTATGTTAACAAGTCCAAGGTCTACTTAGAATGAGAATTTTTTCATTAGAGTTAAGGTTTCACTAGAGTAATTGTACTGTGTTAACACTTAGTATTTAAAGTCCAAAATCCTACACCTACCAGGTTACAGAAGAGACAAACAAAACTAGATAATGTAGCATGTAGTCCATAGCAATTGCTTTAAAGAACACCCCTCACAAATACATATCATTTATAAATTTATAATTCACTTTTTCATAGCCTAAATGAAGTTACAAAGGAGAGAATGTGATTAAAGTAATTTTACACTTAAAAACATATAAAGGCTATTATTAAAGTAAATTTCAAGAAAGAATATTACTTGACAAAAAGATTTCTGGGGGAAATAATTTCATATATAAGTCATTTTCAAAAGAGTAAAATTTATTTCAGTGTAGATTCTCATTTTAAATTCCTTTAGCTAATTAGGGGAATCTACTTACTTAAACTGTAGGACTTTACTATACTCATTAAATCTTGTGATGACACTCACATCAATAAACGGTTTGGGCTCTAGATGAAGAAAGAAAACAAATATAATCATTGCTTTATACTAGTTTTGAATAAAGTACTCAACTTAAGAAATAGGGTATATTGCAACTTAATCTTTGTTGTTTTTTGTTTACCTGAATCCAAAGCAATAGACTTTGGAGGGGCCACTGGATGAAATACAACAGGGAACATTGTACCTGGTAACTGATTATCAACCTGAAAAAAAGAAAAAACATTAACTCAGCAGAATTTAAAATAATTAAATTTAGAAATTTCAGTTTCAGAAACAATATTATAGAAGACATGGCTAATTTCATCATAATTGAATATATGTGGTGCTACTACAAGTTTCATCTCAAATTTAAAATTGTTACATATCTCATCAAGGGCATACTTTTATATAAAGGAATATATAAAATCCTCATAACTGTATTAACATTGTGCAGCATGAATGCCATAAATAGAAATATTTCTACCTATAGGTCATGAGAGATCTCAACTCTTTGCAAATAAAATGTTATTGGAGACTAGATATGAAATTAAGGAGAGGTAGAAAGTAGAGAAAATGTCATAAATAATATTTTGTAGTTAAGAGAGATGTATGGAGATAAGAAGGGAGCAAGTAGCCAAAATAACCTGCAATCATAAGCTCATTCTTTTGCAGAATAACAAAATAAATCTAGTTTTGGGGAGTCTGTGATAAATTCAAAGGTATATTTTAAAATAACAATGTCAGTACAAGAAAATACTCTCAGTGTTTAACTGGCAAAATTAAATGGTCTCAACAATCACAAGATCTTTGAACTTGGATGGTCTATATGTTGAATTCACAGATAGTTGGGAAGAAGGAAACAAATACACAAACAAAAGGAAAGATGCCCATTACAATGTATGCTGCATCATACATTAAAAGAGAAAACTGTCTACCAAGGTGATTAAATAGATCTATTGAATTCAATATATGTATTGAATTAAATATATCTATCTATTGAACAATGATGACATTGTTACCTGAAGCCAATATAACCTGGCCCTCAAACTTCTCTGGTGTGGAGACTGTTTAAATTCAATCTGAATTCCTGATAAAAAATCTCGTTTTATAGGGCACTGAATAGGGAGGCGCATTTCCATTGGAACTTTATCAAAATTGACCTGGAAAGAAAGCACATGTGTTTGTTAGGTTCTATTACTACTAGTAATGTAGCTACTCCATTTTGAATGTCCATTTAAATTGAAAAGAAAATGGATCTTAAACTGTATCATGCTGAAAAAGCTACCGTCAGATAATTTAGAGTTGAAGATCTTTGAAGCAGAATTATCACTTTTCCAATAAAGTTATGAAGAAAATAACTAATTATATAATTATATAAACTGTAAAGAAAATAAGTCATCTTCATATTTTTTAAAAACCTCAATAGTAATGGATAATTTTACATAATTAATTCTTAAGCTTTGTTTTCACAAAACTAAACAATGAATAGTTAATAGCTTCTTAATGTCTGACACTAATTATACAGTTTTTTTTATTGAGCATGGCCAACATTTATGGGCAAGGGGATAAAGAACATATCTGGTGAATAAAGGAAAGACAAAGAGTAACCAAAACTGTATGACTGTATGAACTGTATGAACCAGAGCACACCAGAAATTCCAAGTCAAATTTCTGTGGTTTTCTTGGAGCAAAAGCAACATTTAGTTTCAATACTATAAGGTTCCATATAGACTACATCTTCATTTGTAGACATCTACCCATGTCTAATAATCATTCACATTTAATGAATTTAATTGAGCAATTTTCTTTAGTTTTTTCATCATTAAAATATATAATTTTACATAGCCTTATTTAGCAACATGCGTTGGTATCGTTTAAAATACGAGAGAAAAACGGGCCTCCCTGGTGGCGCAGGGGGTTGGGCACCACAGCCTCCACAGCATGAGTTCGATCCTGGCCAGCCAGGGAGCAACCCACATGGCGAGGCAGGCCTCTCCTGTCTTGTCCGCTGCTCCCCTCAGCAGTGTGTTTCAGTCAGTCTGCCTGTTCTGTTCCCCACTCTGTCTCTGGTGAATCCTCTCACCCCTCTGCATCTCTGGCCTGTACCCCAGCTCTTGTATGCATAAACAAATAATCTTTAAAAAAAATAAAATATGAGAGGAAAAGATTCAATTCGCAATCTTCTCAGTAATCTTTTTTTTTTTTAGAAAATTTGTTACTTTTTTTTTTTAAGATTTATTTATTTATTTAAACAAACACTGGGTACAGTCAGAAGCGTGGGAGGGTAAGAGAATTCACCAGAGCCAGAGCAGAGAGCAGAACAGGCAGACTGACGAAATACACTGCTGAGGGGAGCAGTGGGCGGCAGGAGAGGTCTGCGCACCATATGGGACCCTCGCTGGCGGCCCTCACCAGCGGCTGGGGATCGAAACAGCGCTGCAGAGGCTGCGGGCAGCTTCGCAGCCCAGCGCTCAACCGCTGCACCACCGGGGAGGCCCTCTTCTCAGTAATCTTATTGAAAACAGAGTCCATTAAATGATTTGCCTTACAAATAGAATAAACTGTAAAAATGCAGAAGAGAAACATTTTAATCATGTTTCAGAGAACATAATAACAATATAACATTTTCACTGAAAATGTAGTAATATTAGTAATGCCAATCTTTCAAATACATAAAGAACTGATTTGCTAATTAGTTTTCTGCACACAGTTTTATGTAGACACTAAAGTTTTGGTGATTCACTACCACCAACAAAATATATGTAGAAAATTCCATGAAAAGTTGTTGCATACCTCAAAATTATTGTCTAATTTAATCCAGCCATGGTCTTCTGAAACTTGATGTTTCTTAAAGTATTGTTCCAATAAAATAATCTGTTTTTGACTGAAAGGCTTCCATTTCTGTTTTGGTTTCATCTCCCAAACAACACCAGAACTATAATCGTTCATAAAGAAAATTAAATTAGAATACATACTTAAGTTCGTGGAATTGTTATACAATTCCAAGTTATTGCAACAATTAAACTCTTATGAATTTATGCAAGAGATTTTTAAACACCAAAATATGCCTTTTTTTGTTAGATAACACATACTTGATTCTAACACTTTCCACAAAGTACCTATGACAAATAATATTCAATACATTTAAAAATCATAGGCTTTAAACACTAAATTTACACTTTATGGATTTGTCCAACTAAGTCTTTTTCTGCTCCACACATATTTTTCTCAGAGCTTTTTAACAGAGCTTAAAAGATTCCACTTCAGGTTGCACTGAATTAGCACTATTTCAACTGATTTGAAAATATTCTCATATGTAGTTCTATGCAAACTATTCACAGAGGCTAATTCTTCAGTAACTTCAACTCAGCATTGGCTTCTCAAATATACAACAACTAAGCAGCACTGGTAACATCTGTTGACTCATCAAGAGCTAAGGAAAAACAAAATTATTTGCCTTGTTCTTAATTGACGATTGAATGTTGCTCTGAATGGCCTCAATTCTTCAAGTAACTGTTCTCCCTAAAAGGCTAATTAATGGTCCTGAGTTAATTTTCTCTAGACAAATTTCTTTAGCTGTTAAAATCAGACATGATTTAATTAACTCACCATTGGTAAAAGGTTTTCCTTCCTTGACTAATAAATGATTGACTCAGAAACTAACTTGGTAGCAGCCTCACTTTAGATTTTATATTTTTATGAAGAAATTCTGCTGTGATGAGATATTTTGTCCTAAATTTTCCAATTTTTCTGGTCATAGCTTTACTGTGAATTGGGTATATTGTGATGCATGCTTAGTTTAGGAATACCAATATATACTGTATTCTTTTAGCTCAGATAAAATATCATTATAAAATAAAATAATTCATTGACAGTTCATTTCACAATTTTTCCCTATAAGCGAGACATTAAAAGTTTACTTCTCTTGTTTTAACATGATGAGCACATGGCTAATTTCATCATAATTGAGTATATATGGTGCTACTACAAGTTTCATCTCAAATCTAAAATTGTTACATATCTCATCAAGGGCATACTTTTATATAAAGGAATATATAAAATCCTCATAACTGTATTAACATTGTGCAGCATGAATGTCATAAATAGAAATATTTCTACCTATAGGTCATGAGAGATCTCAACTCTTTGCAAAGTAGTAAAAGAACAAGGTTATAGTACAAAGATATGTGGAGCACTCAAACACTTAAATTACAACTACATAATTAGATTTGTTGTACACTGAAAAGCAGTGCAAAAGCAGCTGTAGACATTATGAAAGAATAAGTGAGGCTATGTTCTAATAAAATTTACTTATGCGCAACATTGAATTTTGTATAATTTTCACGTGTCACAGAACATTTTTTGTTAATAACTTATGAAAAATCTTTTATGGTCCAAGGGTGGCACCAAAACAGGAAGCAGGCTACATTTGACTTATGGGCCATATTTTGTTAATCCCTGATTAGAGAATACTGTTTGCACAGTAATACAATATAAGTTCATATCATTTTAATTTACATAGCTTCTTGATATTAGTCAATAGCAATATTTACAATGTTCTCACTATGAAAGTAATGAATAAAATTTCTACTATAAATTATATGATTCCAACAACAATTCATAATAAAAAACCTCAGCAAACCAGGAAGACTGAGGAACTTTCTCAACTTGATAAAGAACATCTTCAAAAAAAACTTAGAGTCAATATCATACTTAATGATATTGAGAAACAATATGCTTTCTCGCTAAGATAAGAAACAAAACAAAGCTGTCCACACTCATAACTTCTGTCCAACATTACAGAAAAAATTCTAGATACAACAATAGGACAAGAAAATAAAAGGTACACAAGATAGAAGAAATAAAACTGTTCTCAGATGACGTGAGCGTTGGTATTAGTCAACAGCAGTATTTACAATGTCATTGCTATGAAAATAATGAATAAAATTTCCACTATAAATTATATAATTATATTGACAATGAGGATTTGACAATAAAAATATTTTTATTAGAAACCAAAGAAATGACATTCTTAGGCATACACAAAAAATAATAAATTTGTACAAAATCTACATGTGGAGAACTACAAGTCTGATGAAAAAGATCAAACATATAAATGAATAGAAACATCTGTGTACAGGGTTATGAAGACTCAATATTGTCAAGATATCAGCTCTTCCCGATCAAAATGATGACTTTTATCTTGTGGATACTGACAAACTGATTCTAAATTTTATAAACAAAGACGAAAAACTCAAAACAGGCAACACAATATTGAAAGAGAAGACAGAAAGTTAGTGAACTGTAATATATGACTTCATGATCACTACAAAATCACAGAAATCAAGACAGTGCAGTATAGGTGAAAGAATAAACACCTAAGTAGAACAGAACTGAAAATCTTGAAATAGATCCAAGTAAATATACTCAACTTATTTTTGAAAAGGCACAAAAGCAATTCACTGGGGAAAGGATAGTCGTTTCAACAAATTGTGCGGAGGGCTTCCCTAGTGGCACAGGGGTTAAAGACACAGTGCTATCAAGCTACCGCCAGCCACTGCTACATTTGTTTAATCCTTGACTAAACAGCTAACCCACATGGAGCAGCAGACCTCTCCTGCCTCGCCGGCTGCTTGCCCTCAGCAGTGTATTTCAGTCAGTCTGCCTGTTCTTCTCCCCACTCTGTCTTTGGTGAGTGCTCTCACCCCTTCTGGCTTTACACCCCAGTCCCTGTATGCATAAATAAATAAATCCTTTTAAAAAAAATGGTGATGGAACAACTGGACATTCACTAGAGAAAAAAAAAAATAGATCAAGATGAAGAGCTTATATCTTTCACCAGAATTAATCCAAAATTGATTACAGACCTAAATATCATATGCAAAACTATAAAACTCCTAGAAGATAATATAGGAGAAAATCAAAGTGACTTTAGGCTTGACAATGACTTTTTAAAGATGTATCATCAAAAATACAATCCTAGGGGGCCTCCCCGGTGGCGCAGTGGTTGAGCGCTGGGTTGCGAAGCTGCCCGCGGCCTCTGCAGCACCAGTTCGATCCCCGGCTGCTCCCCGGCCCCCGGAGGAGGGTCCCACATGGCACGCAGACCTCTCCTGCCGCCCGCTGCTCCCCTCAGCAGTGTACTTCGGTCCTTCTGCCTGCTCTGCTCCCCACTCTGCCTCTGGTGAATTCTCTCACCCTCCCGCGCTTCTGACTGTACCCAGTGCTTGTATAAACAGAACAAACAAATAAATAAAAATAAATAACATGCCTCTATAAAAAAAAATAAATAAATAAAAAAAAATAATGAAAAAAAAAAAATAATGAAAAAAATACAATCCTAGGGCCTCCCTGGTGGCGCAGCGGTTGAACACTGGGTTGCAAAGCTGCCCGCGGCCTCTGCGGCGCCGGTTCGATCCCCGGCTGCTCCCCGGCCACCAGAGGAGGGTCCCACATGGCGCGCAGACCTCTCCTGCCGCCCGCTGCTCCCCTCAGCAGTGTACTTCAGTCCTTCTGCCTGCTCTGCTCCCCGCTCTGGCTCTGGTGAATTCTCTCACCCTCCCGCGCTTCTGACTGTACCCAGTGCATGTACAAACAAACAAACAAATAAATAAATAAAAATACATGCCTCTTTAAAAAAAAAAAAAAATACAATCCTAGGGGGGGAAAAATGTGTTGAACTTCATTAAAGATCTCTGTGTGGGAAAGACACTTAAAAGAAGGAAATAACAAGCCATAAATTGGGAGAAAATATTTGTAAAATATATCTGGTAAAATACTGATATCCAAAATGTAAAAAGAATTCTTTAAGTTCAACAATGAGAAAAAGAACAAATAAAAAATAAGAAAAAGAGCTGGAGATACCTTAAAAAGAATATATCCAGATGACAAATAAGCATATGAAAAAATATTTGACACCATACATATAATTAGGGAGAGGAAATTAAAGCAACAATGAGATTCCACCACACACCTAGTAGAATGGCCAAAATCCAGAACATTAACATCAAATGTGGACGATAATGTGGAACAACTCTCATTTATTCCAAGTAGGAATGCAAAATGGTGCTACCACTGTGAAAGACAATTTGGAAGCTTTTTACAAAACTAAACATACTCTTACATATGATCAAGCAATCACTCCCCTTCTTGATATTTACCCAAATGAGTTCAAAACTTTTATCTATACAAAATCCTGTGCATGAATGTTTACAGCAACTTTATTCATAACTGCGAAGTTTGGAAGCAACCAAGAGATCCTCAGTGGGTAAACAGATAATGGTATGTTCAGTCATGGATTAGTTACTCAATGATGAAAAAAAAAAAAAAATAGTTGTCAAGTCACAAAAAAAGACATAAGAAACTTTAAAAAGGTATTTCTCAGTCAAAAAGCCTATTTGAAAAGCCTACACACTGTGCAATTCCAATGACAATGACATTCTCCAAAAGGCTACCTTTGGAGATAGTAAAAAAAAATCAGTGGTTTCCAAGGGGTTGGGGAAGGAAAGGACATATTAACAGGTAGAACACAGGAGATTTTTAGGGTAATGAAACAGTTCTAGATGATATTATAATGGTGGACACATGTCATTATATATATTTGTCAAAACTTAGAAAATTTATACTATAAAAAGCTAACTCTAACATAAACAATAAACCTTAGGTAATAATATTGTTTCAGTATTAATTATCAATAGTAACAAGCATATCCTACAATTTCAAGATGTTAATAAGGGAAAATAAGAGAAACTTGGGGAGTATATAGAAACTCTGTACTTCATAGTCAACTTCGCTTTACAACTAAAACTGCTCAAATACTAGTCTATATTTTAAAATTACATAAGTAATTGACTTATTTTTCCTCAGCACACATATTTATTGTGTGTGCTGAAAGTATTGTGTGTAAGAAAAACGATCAAGTTTTTCTAGATAAATTTTTAAAATGTCATAAAGGCTAATTTGATAAAATATAATAGCATATATAATATAAAAGTAAAAAGCGACATCAAAAAACAAGAGAAAATTAGATTTATATGACTTAAAAATGACTTTCATACTTATTTTAAAAAATACTATATAATTCTGAAATGTACAACCAAGAGAATATATTACTCGTGTATACACAGGTGTATTAATAATTTATTAATAGTATGCATAATACTATGTGCAAAATGTATTACACACATCACCTGTTTATTTACTTAATTTTTACTTCATTAAACACAAGTTTATTATAGTTCCAATGCTGATTATACATGGCAACATATTAACCACTCCACCAACTGGCCTCCATATAAGAATGAGTCTTTTACCAAAATTAGTATGATTTTTAAAAATCAAATTAAATAAATTCAAACATTTTTCTTACAGATATAAGCAGATCCAGAAAAAAATGGTCCCATCCCTATTAAAAAGTTCTAAATAACTACCCATTAAAGACTATGTAAACATAAAATGTCAACTATTGCCTCTTCTATGAACTGTATGACTCAACACTGCAGGCTTCCCCTAACCATGTCAATTTCTCCAGCACAAAATAAGGTAGTTGCTTCTATCTCTGCATTTTTATTGCATGAGTATGTATTTTTTGTATCATTTCTCAGTGTTTTTAAAATAGATTTAAAAAGCACAAACAACAAAAAAAAATAAGCACCCTCTTATTTCCTTATCAACTGATGACATACACTGTGCAGGCGAAGGCATATCAGTCAATTTTTAAGAATCTTTTCAACTAGCAGTGAAAACAACTGTTTAGTGTTTCTGAAAGAATGTACAGTGTATCAAATTAAGAACAAGTATCTGGTCACATTCAATTCACATCAAATTGAATATTGTGAACTTAATGTCTTTAAAGAATTCTGATGCCTTATCTTTCTTCTTCCATACCTGGTTATCCCAATATATGAAACTTCCTGTTTGTTTTCATTGTCAACCAGTGAAAGCCCAAGACTGTGGAGAGAAAACGTGATTTCATGATCTGCCTGCTCCATTTCTTCTGCCTGCAGTGCTTTGGACACCAAGGCAACATCATCAGTGAAAAGCAAAACTCTTTGGCGCCCATCTAGGAATGATACCCAGTGTATCTGGATGTTTGCATCATATGGAAACTGTCCACATTCATCCTGGAGAAAATAGAGGCTTTATATTAAAACCACATGCAATAAGTTCTTATTACATAAAATTGAACTACAGTAACTAAAACAGGTAAGAGAAGTTTTAAAAAGAAGTTTTAAAAAGCTAGACTGTGAGTCTAGCTTCCTTTCCTGTCAGGTTACTCATATAGCACTGATTAACATCAAATGATACCTTTAACAGATTATGCTCTCCAGTATTTGCTGCATATGTCCATGTAACTTTTCTGGTGCCAGTAGGATCTGCCCAGGCAAAAAGTCGAGCTTGTCTTGGCAGCAATACCACTTCTTCCTGTGATCCACTAAAACACAACAGAGCAAAGATTAAAATATCTTGGCCTTGAAAAACACAGGCCTCTGGCTTATTTAAGAGGGGATTAACACAACAATCTTACAAAATTGGCTTTGTTAATACAGCACAACTCTGCCTAAAAATAAGTAGCCTTAAAGTAAAAAAAAAAAAAGAGAGAGAGAGAGAGAGAAATGGTTTAGAAGCTTGAGGTAAAAGAATAGTGACCCTTCTGAAGTTGTTTTTACCCAGAGTTGATCCAGGCATGATCACACCAATGCATTTCATTAAGATAAATAAATACTCCTGTATATGAGAAAGCACCTGCAGAAAAGGCTGTCAACAGTAAATTGTCTAGTAGAAGAACTTCATTCAGTGCTTAAATTTAGCTTTTTAATCAACTGCAATATGTATGAAATAGGAATGAAAAAAAAAAAAACTGGGCCCATACTGTTGCTCAATGTGTGGTCCGTGGATTAGCAGCATCAGCATTACTGGGGCCCTGCTCAAATGCAAAGTCCTAGGCCCCATTTAATAGGATTGTAAGAAGATCTTAACACTGAGCATTAAAGTATAAGAAGCATTAACCCATATGTACAAAAATCTTCCCAATAGAAGTAAAAGAACAGCACAATTAGATTTCAACCCCAATCTGTGCTTTCTTTAGCAGTAAACTTAATGTAGTCTATATACCTGCTGATTTTTAATGATGTACACTTGAAACTCCTATTATTAAAATGCAGTGTAATTTCAATAAAAAATATAAACAAAATATCAGTAGATTCAAGCCAGGAGAGTTAATGAATGTGTTTGCATATATGTCCTTCCATACAGAATTTATATGTGCAAAGTAATTCTATGAAGATTTAAAATAATTCTTTGCAGGGTCTCCCTGGTGGCGCAGCGGTTGAGCGCTGGGTTGCGAAGCTGCCCGCGGCCTATGCGGCGCTGGTTCCATCCCCGGCTGCCTCCCGGCCACCGGAGGAGGGTCCCACATGGCGCGCAGACCTCTCCTGCCGCCCGCTGCTCCCCTCAGCAGTGTACTTCGGTCCTTCTGCCTGCTCTGCTCCCCGCTCTGGCTCTGGTGAATTCTCTCACCCTCCCGCGCTTCTGACTGTACCCAGTGCTTGTATAAATAAATAAAAATAAATCTTTAAAAAAATAATAAAATAAAATAATTCTTTGCAAATATATTTTATAAAGATTTAAAATTTGTTATGTCATTTAATAATGGCATGACCCAAATCAAATGACAGCACTAACAAGATCAACAAAACTCCTATCATCCTGTTCTACACATTCACCACCATTATCTATTCATTGTCCTCTCATTTAATCTTCTACTATCCCTACCAAAAACAAAACTAGATAAAGATTTATAGAAAGAGGTTCACTGAGCATTACCAGATTACAAAAGAATAATTATGCTTAAACAGACTCACAGTTCCTTACACCCAATTCTGAAATTTAAGAGATTCCAAAGCCCAAAGATTTTTCTCTAAGTCTGGTGTCATAAGACATTTGGCAGCAAAACCTGATCTGTACTGATGTGATTTTATTAACAGTTCTTATTTATTTCACTTGGCACAAATATTCTTAAGTTTTGCTGCAGATTATTAATGAGTTTGATTCAAAGTGTATTATAGTCTCAAAATCTAGTAAATGTTATTAGTAAGAAACAGTATGTTTTTCATATTATCTTCCCAAATTCTGGGAATTTGGAACACATACAGAATGTATAACATATAACACCAAGTGTTTCCTAAGTGTTTCCACAAGTTCCCAAGTGGACATGTAAAAACAAATCAGATTTTCTATGAACCTTTTTTCCATACCTCTGTTTATATGTGAGGACGTCCAACTGGGTGTGGTTTATTATTAGGGCAGGTGCACATCCCTCATGGTAATCAGAAAAGGTTATGACAGTTGAATGTTCAGCAGTGTTTACATCCACCAAGATACCCCCATTCTATTGTAGAAAAAAAAATGAATGTTTGACGTGTTTACATTTGGAATTTCAAACAGTTATACAGGCAAAAAAAATCATGAAGTTCTTACTGAAAAGCTAACTGGCTCTGATCCACAAATATGTATGTATATACAGCATTGTATATTAATATGGAAGCACACTGAAAAGATCACCAATGGATTCTGTAACATGTTTTCATAAAATATTTCAAATTTTAAAATTGACAGAAATTTTATTTATAAACATGTAAACTTACCAAATCTTCTAGGCTCAATAAAGTGCCATTATCCTGTTGGTTATAAAAGAATGGCTTGGAGGATCCTTCATAGCCCACAACTCTCACACAAAGTTTGCCTGACAAATTTTCAGGCCAAAATGGAAGGCACTATAAATATAAAAGTTAATATCAGTCTTAAAACAATACTGTGGTATAAACAAGTTAGTGACTAAGTTTTCAGTTCTAAATCGGACTGTAATACGATTATTGCTAAATTTCTTAAAATATTACCTCCACATCTCATATTAAAATTACTGACAAAATAACTATTTTTTAAACCAAAGAAACCCTAGTGGTATAACACCCTGAATGTACTTACAGAATAAACATAGTAAAAGAAATCGAAGACCCTATTAAGAATACTTAAATATCTTGAGTATTTAAAAACTATAATCTTTTTTTTTTAAAGATTTATTTATACAAGCACTGGGTACAGTCAGAAGCGTGGGAGGGTGAGAGAATTCACGAGAGCCAGAGCGGGGAGCAGAGCAGGCAGAAGGACCGAAGTACGCTGCTGAGGGGAGCAGCGGGCGGCAGGAGAGGTCTGCGCACCATGTGGGACCCTCCGCCAATGGCCGGGGAGCAGCCGGGGATCGAACCAGTGCCGCAGAGGCTGCGGGCAGCTTCGCAACCCAGTGCTCAACCGCTGCGCCACCGGGGAGGCCCCTAAAAACTATAATCTTAATGACATTTGTTTCTGTGCATATCCCATTTTAATTTCTTGATGCACTATAAATTCTTTCACAGAGAATACTATGTGAGATAAACAAAAATGTCAATTAAAGGCAAGGAGAGAACATCACAGACTTTGCTGGAAGTTCTGACACTATCTTCCTAGCTGTTTAATCTTAATCAAACCAACTCTTTGAGCCTCACTTTTCTTATGTGTAAAACCAAGGTTTTGATTCATAATGTAACCCAAAATGGTCCTTTGTTAAAGAATACTTGATAAATTCTATTTCTGAATAAAATAATATTGTTATGAAACCCACATCAAAGTTAAAAATATAATGAGCATTTATTTGCTGCTAAGTCTATGAAGTCTATGCCTCTCATGATTCTCAATTTGTTTGTGTTATAACCAGAATCCTTCCCATTAAGCTTTTTTGCTAGCATTTTTAAAAATAATTTTAGAACTTTTTAAGAATGGTTCTATCCTCAAGGCCAGAGAGTCTGGTTGAAAACTCAGATAAATTCAAGCACTAATGCTTATCTCTGCACCTGTCCTCTTTCCCACTCTTTTTCTCATTCTCTTCACTTTCTCAAATTTAATTGAACTTAGAAAGTTTAATTCAAATCCTACATCTTCTATGAAACTTTAAATTTTGCTATAGATAATGATCTCAACTTCTAACAATTTCAATGACCTTAGAGAAATATGAGATTCAATTTATTTCTCTGTAATGTGAGGGGTTGAATTTTCAGAAATTTTCAAGGAAATTTCTAGCTCATCTATTCAGAAATTCTACAACCACTATAACTTAGCATATAGTACCTTTTTTCTCCATGTGCTAAGTTAATGACTCTCAAGCTCACCAACAAGATTATATGTTTGAATACAGAGATATTATATTGACTAATACTTAGACAATATATAGTACATTATCTTTATGTACGTTTCATGGTATATAAACTACGTTCTATGCATACAGGAAGAAATTGAGAATGGGTGTTCATTTCCTAGTCTGGCTAGGATAAATAATAACAACAAAGTTCTTTTTTAAATATATGCTTACAGCATTAAAAAAAGCCTGCGAGCTGGCTATCACATTTTAAAACACAAATACAGTAACAACATAGTATATCAAAGAGGTAATACAAAGCTTAGTTACATATCTGTATTTATTGTACTTTTAGGAGCCAGTTACATTAGAGAACAATTTTACCTCTGCAGAAGCAATATAGTTCCACTTATTCGTTGGCATTGAGCCATCAGATGCAATTTCACCAACTTCAAGTTCTAATGATGACTTGTTTGCAATGGTACAAAAAGGTGTCAGAGTAACTATTCGTGTAAGATTAAAGCTGCTCATTTTGATGCTAACACCAACCTATGGATAGCAAATAAACAAGTTTATCATTCCTGGAACTTTATGCAACTTCTTTGATATATATACACACACACCATTCACACACAGGTTTCTTAAAATATTATAAAGTAATATTTTTTTTAATTACAACATTCCACCACTGAGAATCTTCACACAAAGAAGAAAAATTTTGGTACTTTAATGTGGCTCCATCAGAAATCACTTCAAGAAATGTCAATCAGGAATTTAACTAATGATGACTAATAATAATATTTTTTGTACTCTTTATACTTTTTAACATTTCAAATATAAATTATTTTATAATAAACATAGAAATTCAAGTTTTGCTGTTTTACTATGCCTGATATTAATAAGACAAAAACATCAAAGCATATATAACACCTGAAAACTGGCAACAGAATGTTTAAATTTTTATAGTCAAATTTAAGTTTTAAAAAATGTTTGGGAGGAAGCGGTATAAAATGAGGATTCTAGTAGTTCTGAATATTTACCAAGTGGCTTATTTGGATGGACTCTGTTTTAAACTTGGATAAATTTCAGGTTTTGCTTTGATACTAGTGGCCATAGAAATGTGTAGATAATAGACCTTCACTTTGGATTCAAATTTCTGTATCCTTTGGAGTGAGCTGGTTTACTCCAAATGTAGTGAATGTAGTCAAAGATAAATAAACAAGGACAATCTTACCAGGTATTCCATATTGTTGGCAGGACACTTCACACACCCATAACTTCCCACTGTATCCAATGAAAAACTATTGGACCAGGCACTTGTTGAAATTTTCAACTGTACCTATACCAGAGAACACATACCATCATATAAAAAATCTGGAAGGCTGTATTAACTTACCTAGTGAAAAGCTGTTAGATCACTAGAAATTTGTTTAGCATCATGGAACAAAAAATAATAATGAAAACCAAATTGCGTGGGTAGCAGAAGCACAAAAAACTGGAGGAGCCAATATAGTAAAAGTAGGGCTCTGACCTTCCCATTCACGTATGCAATGAGTATGGTAAATTTAAAGATGTATATCAATGAGATACTCTGTTTTTTTTTTAAAGAATCATAATATAAAATTATATTTTCTAGTATTAGACTTGATATAGAGCTAACAAATTCTTAAAAGTTTTAGCATATAGGGGCCTCCCCAGTGGTGCAGTGGTTGAGCACTGGCTGCGAAGCTGCCCGCAGCCTCTGCAGCGCCGGTTCGATCCCCGGCCACCAGCGAGGGTCCTACATGGCGCGCAGACCTCTCCTGCAGCACCTGCTGCTCCTCTCAGCAGTGGTCAGTCTGCCTGTTCTGCTCCCCGCTCTGGCTCTGGTGAATTCTCTCACCCTCCCGTGCTTCTGACTGTACCCAGTGCTTGTATAAATAAATAAATCTTAAAAAAAAAAAAGTTTTAGCATATAAAGAATCTTTGTCTTTAGTATTATTCAGCGAGTGCTAAATGAAAGGCATTGTTATAAACACAATGGAAGATAATAGGACAGTTCCTGACTTCAGTGAGCTTCCAACTAGATAGAGCAATAGGAAAAACACTAATAATTATGATGCAAGACTTAATGTGTTAAGAGCCATACAAGAGGTACTAAATGTTATTGAGGTGAGAAGGTAAAGCATTTCTTTCTGGCTATGAGATGGAGATAGAGGGTTACAGAAAAGCCCTTCTGTATTCTCGCATTAACTTCCATCTACACAAGTAGATTATAAAAGGCCTGAGAATAACCAGAGGTCATACACATAAACAGGTAATTACCATACCTTGTATTAATCAGTAATTAACACTGACACAATGGTTCTCAAGACATGGTTCCCAGAACAGCACCATCAGCATTACCTAGGAATCCTTTAGAAATGAAAGTTCTGTGACCTGACCCAAACATTTTGAATTGCACCATGGGGAGAGAACCCAGAAATCTGTTTATTAAAACCTAAGATTATTCTAAGTATGCTGAAATTTGAGAACCACTGCTCTAAGAGGATATCTAGCCCTTCTTTAGACAGAAAATCCTACACACAGGGCTGGCCTGAGCAGAATGCCAAAAGATGAACAGCAGATTATCAGAAGAGATAAGACCAACAGGACATTCCCCCTGACTGATGGGGGTGGGGGGGGGAGGAGGGGTCCGGGGGGTGGACATTTTAGGTAAAGGGTGTTGTATAGTTTTCTCTTTCAAAAACTTGGCTTAGCACTTCTTACATAGGAGGACTCAGTTCATATAAGAGAAATTCAACTGTCTTTTCTTTTGAAATGTTATTTCATCACTGGAAAACTACATAAAATCAAGTTCATAACTGATGTTACTTCAAAAACAAAAGATTTCTAGGACCACTGGAAAAAAAGAGAAACTCAGCTTCAAGAATTGGTTTTTGTTAATTCCTGATAACACAGTTGATTATGTAGTCCTTTAAAGTCTCTTTGGATCTAATTCCTAACAGGACTTAGTAAATAAGTAAGCATGGTTTTATGGAGGCTAATGACTCCCAAGTTTCCAGGTTAGAGATTTATCTGTTTAAATTTTTATATAAATATACCTTGTTTTTACTAAAAATGTTCTTCTTCTTGAAAGAGAATAAAATAATATCCCTTAAATCTGCTGGATGTTTCACATGAATATCTTCTGAACGATACTGAAGAACCCGAGAGGTCTTGTTGATGAGCCAATAAGGACTAAAAACAGACAGCACCATACGGCTGCCAATTCGCCTCACATGGATTGACACATCCAGTGTCATCATTTCTGTAGAGTCAGAAGTAAAACACACAAGAAAGAATTCGGGAAGTGTATCACATATACGGAAATGTCCATTCCAGTTTTTACCCTGATATTTCACCAGGACTAATTCCATTATTTCTCCACTGATTCTTGAATGTAAAACATCGGCAGTACTGCCTTCTGCTAGCTCATGAACTTCTGCTGTTCCCTAAAAGCAGACAAAAATTAAATTTGCTTAGCAAATTTTTAAAAATCTCTGCAGTAGCAACATCCATATTTTATGCAAATGATAAATAACCTACCAGATTCAGATGAACTACCAAGTCTTTAGTGAAGACATTTTTACTTATTAGGAGTGCCAATAACCACTGAGAACTTGAAAAAAAAAATAGCCTGCAATATCAGAGCTCTTTTGGTCATTAGTAGGCTAACAGCCTTAAGTTTTAAGAGAAAAATCAAGAGCTTTGCCATAAATCAATGACTGGATTCAAAAACTATGTCTGCTGTTCATTAATTACCACTACTTCGGCTCTATCCTCTATTCACATGTTCTACCTAATGGTTCCCACTTAAAAAGAAAATGGAAATGATATCAAACTATTCTGACAAGCTACCTAAATAATGTACAATTATTTGAAAAATTAATGATAGTAACATAATAAATTAGGATTCCTTGCTGAAAGTGTCTCTTGTATAAATACTACTTAGTTCATTTAACTAATTTAGTCTCTACAATTGAGCGATGGGTCATTGTAACACAAAGACAATTTCGGTTCCAAACACCTCCCAGATTCTTGTATTGTAAAATGTTGTGGCAAGTAGAAATTTCAAAATATTTATTATACTTCATTGTTAGAAATTTTTCTCTATTGTTTCTTAAGACAAAAAGTAATTAAGTTCAATACAAATTTGGGCCAAATAATCATAATATTAACTTTAAGATTAAAAACCTAAAAATTAACCTTATAATAAATTAAGATAGAATATTTTATCACTATCTTTTTCCTTTCTTTCAGTTATAAAAATTCTGCTTTATTAAAGAGATGATTATGGTTCACATGTTATGGCAGATGCAGCAGAGTTTGATGGCAAGGAGTTTGATGCTTAGGTTCATTTTCTAGCCCTACCACTTGGGTCTGTCCCATTTCCCTCAGTAACTCAGTTTCCTCATCTGTAAGATAGGCCTAATAACAGTACCTATTCGGAAGGGTTATTGTAAGGATTATCTATGTTATTATATGTAAATCACATGATATAATGGTTGGCATATAACAGACAATGTACAAGCTTTTGTTGTTGTTGTTATCTAAGTATTTCAAAGATGCTGTGAAAAACACTGATCTCAACAAAAAACACTACACTTCAAAAAAAAAATCAGAATTCACCACGCAACACTAAATGTCAAATAAAATATAAGAGACATACCTCAAGTAAGAATCTTAAAGAATATGGGAGAAGATTCCTCAAGGTAAGGGAAGGATAAAGATGAATAATGTAAGCTGGATCCCAATCTTCCCCATGTGTACATATATAACTTAATTCATCAGGCAGAGCAACTGTATTCACTATTAGAGGTAAGAAGCTGACTTCTACTGATGGACACTGCAGCATGCACCTGACTTCTGTGCTCCTGTGAAGTTCTTCTTTCCAGGAAATGTAAGTGGTGGATTCTTTGTACTGCTTCTCTAAGATACCAGCTGGCTGAATAAATAATTGACATCTACAAAAAGAAAACAGATTAGTGAAAAAAGGTTTTGGTTGAGAACTTAAGACAAAGAACTTCAAAAGTTTTCTGTTAATTTTACAAGGCAAGTATTATTCTTTCTATTTTTATAGATGAGGAACCAAGATAAGAAAGGTTAAAAAACTTGACCTAAATCACATAGCTAATTCATGGTGGCACTTTTGGAAAATACATTCAGTAAACAACAAATTGAAAAAATTCCTCATTACAAATGAAAAAAAGAATCTAATAAAAAAAGGTCTCAATATTTTTAAATGTCACATGTACAAGAAATTTGTATCTGGTACATTCAATGAAAATAAAATGCATTTCTCTAAAATTATATGTCTTAAAATCTTTTACAAATCTTCAGAAAATAAAAGAGGTAAATTATTCTAAAATATATTCACCAATTCAAAGAATTAAAAATATATATTATGAACTTTATACAGCTTAGTATATTCAAAGAAGTACCTACCTATATGAGTCTAAAGGAACATGGAACTCTTCTTCTGGTCTGGCAACTCCAATGCGCTCCAATAGCTTAACATTTTTAACAGATTTATAAATGATAAATGCAACAGAAAAATGGTTTTTAATCTGTTGGACAAAGAAGACACATGAATTGTTAAAGATACAAAAGTTCAAATGAAAACTGTGAGTTACAAACAATTACTTTCAGATGTACAAAACTTCAAGCTTAACAAACTGAAGGATATTTTTATATTAAAAATTTTGAGGATATTTAAGTGCTACATGTATGTTTAAACTTGATGTTTAAGAGGCAATAGAAAATTATTAGAATATTTACAAGTTCTATATATTATTTGATGACATTTAATGTTTGTATATAATATCTTTCAAATATGCATTAATTGTTGAAGATTTCAGTCATATAGTTCTTCATTACAACAATTATTCAATGTACCATGTGATGAAAACACAAAACAATAGCAAGAGAGGTATTTTAAAGAGTACTATCGGGCCTCCCTGGTGGCGCAGTGGTTGAGCACTGGGTTGCGAAGCTGCCCGCAGCCTCTGCAGCACTGGTTTGATCCCCGGCCACCGGGTGAGGGTCCCACATGGCGCACAGACCTCTCCTGCTGCCCACCGGCTGCTCCCCTCAGCAGTGTACTTCATCACTCGTCTGTTCTACTCTCCGCTCTGGCTCTGGTGAATTCTCTCACCCTCCCACGCCTCTGACTGTACCCAGCGCTTGTATAAATAAAAAAATGAATAAATCTTAAAAAAAAAAGAGTACTATGACTCTTTTTTTGACTACAATGTGATATATGCCAGAGCTAGTACTAAAGAAGAGATAAATGACCAAAAATTGAAATATTTTCATTTTTATCTGATATATAGGAAGAAACAGTTATGCTGACCATAAACTGAAGCCTGTAATAATGCACAGAGAAAGAAAATGGATAAAGCCTTAAAAGTAGAAAATAAAACAATTACACAGATCGAAATGCTGCAATATTTTTCCAGAGGCATCATTTCAATATTCCTTCACATATACTTGAAAACATATTCCCAAGTGATGCACAAAGAAAAGGGAATGCTATCCTATTTGAGAACTAACTCTAATTCAGTACTTCTCAATTCTGAATCATTAAAGGAATACACAAAAAGATAAATTAATTTTAAACCCAGGAGACATCATAAATAGGCTTTAAATGAACAAGTTTGTTTTATCAGACATTTAAAGTGTTACAAAAGCAAGTTAGATATGGAATGTCAACCATTTCAATCTACTATTTATTTCTAAATAAATTGCATTAGCCTAATGAAGTTTTATTCTAATCCTATCTTCAATTAAAATGATTTACTATCTATTGATATATTTAAAGGAACACAATTCACTTTAATGTATTACCTGCAGAGGAGAGCGAAGGGTAATCACTTTATTCCCTTCAGTTGCATCAATCTGTACCAACAATGAGTCAGAATGACTGGCATTGGGATTCCGTACATTATATAATCGCCGTCCAGGCCTGGACACAGGGATTTTTGCAACTTCTGTATATCCATGAGGTACTAGAGCAGACCACAGGTGGGAAGCATCCCAAATATTAATTTAATTATGTTTTTCTATAACAGAATAATTATCAGTAACTCTAAATAATGACTAAACTATTCCTCCTCATGAATAGAGATAATGAGTATACAAAATGTTATTCTAAGACACAGGAACTAACAAAGAAAGAAAATCAGTTATTTAATAAAAATTTTTACCCCAAACAATTTTTCTTGAGGTTTTAAATGCATTAAAATAGACAAAATCCAACTTGTTCCCTATTTTCTCAATTACACAGCAATAATCTCCTATTCTTTTAATGGTAATAGTTACTGTCAGTATCTTAGGATTTTTGAATATAGTTATTTCCTCTCTTCACTGAACTCCCATCTGTTTCAAAGCATTTTACATATTGCATTATATAAGGGGGTAGAAATAATCTAGTTTTCTTTTTTTAAAGAATTATTTATTTATTTATACAAGAACCAGGGTACAGGCCAGATGCGCAGGAGGTGAGAGGATTCCTCAGAGACAGAGCAGGAAATAGAATAGGCAGACTGACGAAATACACTGCTGAGGGGAGCAGCGGGCGAGACAGGAGAGGTCTGCTTCGCCATGTGGGACCCTCGCCAGTGGGCCAGGATTGAACCAGCGCTGTAGAGGCTGCAGACAGTTTCACAGCGCTGTGCTCAAGGCCTGCACCACCGGAGCGGGGGGTGGGGGGGGGGCGGCGGCGGCAATAATCTAGTTTTCTAAGATGCTTCTTAATCAAGTAAAATTTTCTCAAGTTTAAAAGAAAACAAGAGACAAGAGTTTACCAGCTACTTGATCAAGTCTTTAGAAATGTCACACCGCAAGATATCTGTAGCAAAATATTTTTCATAGTTTACAAAAATTAAGACCACACCTATAATTCCAAAGTTGCCCTTAAAATAAGTATAGCATACCAAAGGTCAAAGTGAAAAAGGAGCTTTCTTGACGGCTCAATATAGATCGCTTCCCATGATGTGAAGGTTCCATGCTGGCATAGTCCAATTCCAAATTCTGGCCAGCATCAACATCATAAATATCACTTTTCTCAGGAGAACCCATCACTTTGAGGTTATGATTGGGCTGTACCTTAATGGGTACACCTACAGCATTTTTTACTGTAAAAGGTGCTCTGTCTTTTAAAGAGTAATCAAAAGTAGAGGCAGTGCCTTCTGAAAAACCCTGAAAAGGAACACAACATGGCAACAAAATTTTTACAAAATGCATTTCTTTCAAAAATTAAACCATGACTACATATTTTAAAGAAAATTGTTTTGATCACAATAAACTAAATACATTTCAAAATTCTATTTGAAGTATTCCAAATAAATGCCAAACATACTTTTGCTAAGTTGTTGAAAACACTAAGACAACTTTTAGATATTGTTATATTCATTGTATCTCCTGAAGATATATGAATTGCTGTTTGTGGCTCAGGAAGAAAAATAAAATCATCCCCAGGCATCAAACTTTTATCCTGGACTGGATTCTTCTTTACCTATGAGGATAAATGATACATTTAAGTTATTAGCCAATTAATAATAAAATTAACATACTCTCCATAGAGTTAAATTCTCCTAAACCAATCACTTTACCTTAAGGATTCTCAGAGTCTCACTTTGAAAAACATACAGTGCTTCAACAATCCAGTCAAAAATGGGCAGAACAGCGAAAATGACACTTCTCCAAAGAGGACATGCAAATGACCAACAGGTATATAAAAAAATGTTCAGCATTGCTTATCATCAGGAAAATGCAAATTAAAACCACAATGAGATACCACCTCACACCAGTGAGAATGGCTCATATTTTTAAAAAACAGCAACAACAAATGCTAGGGAGGATGTGGAGAAAAAGGAACCCTCTTTCACTGCTGGTGAGAATGCAAAATGGTCCAACCACTATGGAGAGCTGAGTGGAGGACCCTCAAATTACTAAAAATGGAGTAGCAGTTTCACTACTAGGGATCTACCCAAAGGACACAAAAAAATATTCATTCAAAAGGATACCTGCACCCCTATGTTCACTGCGACACTATTTACAATAGCTAAGATATGGAAACAGTCTAAATGCCCTAAAACACATGACTGGATCAAAAGATGTGGTATATATACACAATGGAATACTATTCAGCAGTCAAAAAGATAAACTCATGCCATTTGCAACAACATGGATGGAGTTGGAAAGGATTATACTAAGTGAAATAATCAGAAGAAAGAAGAAAAATATCAGATAGTTTCACTTATAGGAGAAATACAAGAATACAGAGGTGAGAAAAAAAGACAAAAGTAGCAGACAAACTATAAATCTAAGACACACAGCAGGGGAGAAGGAGGGAGACGGGGTCAAAATGGGAAGGAAGGGAACAAGAAACTATGATGACTTTTCATGGGTGATGTGGTGGTGAGATTTTATGGGGATTACACCTGAGGGGAGAAAGCAAACATAGTACCAAAATGAACGATGTAAAAAAATAAATAAATATATTTTAAAAGAATATTCAGTGCTTCACTTTGATTTAGCACACATCAGCATTCTTTTTTTTAGTGTGTAGTCAAAGCATGGAGAAATGTTTAGAATTGCATCATGAATGCACTCAAAACCAGTGACAATATTTGTCTCTTGTGCATTCCCTAGAACAAGCAATTTACTCAGTGTTGCCTTACTAATGGGTCATTATGTGTTGATGAGCAATCTAAGATAACCCTGAAGTGTACATTAATCCTTACTGGAAGTAACATCTGGAAACAAGTTTCTTTCTTTCAACATTTTACCAGTAACACCTATATAAAATATAAGCTTTCAATCAGTCATCGGAGTTTTTATTCTAAGAATATTTCAAAAATCTTGTAAAATATTTTTGTTAGCTTCCCACTGCCACAGAGATGTAGGTCAGAAATATTATAACTAATGGAGAAGAAATTAGAACAGCGAATAAGTGACTTCTTCCCTTTAAAATAAGAATCTACTCAAATTCAGAGCTCTGCATGTTAGTTACATTGTCCCAGAGAGGGATGCTATGATAATTTAAGGGTATATAACTCACGTTCCTGTTAATTTAGAAAAATGTGCTTTAGTATCTAGGACCCTCAAGTGTTCTTAAGAAGTACCATTAAAAATATAAAACAAAAGAGTTCATAAAATAGCAGTTCTCAAATCTTTTGGTCTCACACTTATATTCACTGAGGATTCCAGTTTCATGTATATGGATTATATCTACCCACATATACTCTAATATAAACTAAGGTTGAGAAAATGGTAATTCATTTAAAATAACAACTACATGTTAACATAAATTATATTTTTAAGAAAAAAGTTGTTAAAAATAGAGTATATTTACAAATATCTTTCATGCATGCTCTAAAAAGGGACGGATTCTTATTTCTGCTTCTATATTCATTCTTTTTTAGTATTATAGAATTGTTGGAAAATTCCATTATATTTTTATGAAAGAAGTAAAGTAAAAATGCTATAACATCTATTATGAAGAGTTTTGACCTCATGGACCTCCTGAAAGGTCCTCAAGGATCCTGCACCACATCTTGAGAATAACAAAACAAAAAAATATAGATGAACATGTTTAGTGTGCTTCTACAAAGATACTTTAAGTCTTCCTTACATGAAGCCTTAAATTCCATTGTCTCTTTCCTGCCACTCTCTCAATCAGTGGCTCCCAAACAGCATGGATCTCATTATAATAGTGAACCTGGAAAGGCACAAAATTATGAGAGACAACTTTATATATTTCTATAACTAGCAAGAGGAAATAATTTTTGTCAATAGCCATTAAAAAAACAAACCTAAAGACACAAGGAATATACATAAAGAATATATACAGGGCCTCCCTGGTAGTGCAAGAGGTTAAACCTCAGCACAATGAAGCTATTGGCAGCCACTGCAGCACGAGTTCAATCCTCCCCTCTCTGTCTCTGGTGAATCCTCTCACCCCCAAACACCTCTGGCCTATATTCCAGTTCTTAGATGCATAAATAAAATAAATCTTTTAAAAAAAAGACAGGTATAAAGAATATCTATAAATATGTATATATTTTTTCTTACTTTATTGCCATAAACAAATTCTTTAGCAAAAGCATCTTTAAAAAGTAGTGACTAAATAAATAATACTATTGCTATATATCAACAATTAAATGTTAGATGTATTATCTACATCATGCACAAACAAGAAAAGCTCATATCTTAAATCTGCAATTGTACTTTTGAGAAGTCAGTTCTGACAGTACTATATGTCATACCTCTAATGTCATGTCAGCAGCAGCAGTCATTAAGGAAGTCCAATTTTTGATATTTCCCGAAATTTTAGACTCTGCCAATAATAAAGGTACAGTTCGATGCCCAAGGCCACATTCTAAGGTAACCTGAATGGATTCCACAGTAACAGCACAATTTTCCTCTATCAATGTATGTTGACTATCTTTGAAATTTTCTGTTATTTCTGTTGCCGTGTCAACACCAAGAAACCAAGAGTTAAAATCACTAATAGACTTGATACCCCAAAGATTTTCTATTTCCTTAGATGTATGTTTAGATTCATCTTCTTTTGTTTTCGGAGACATAGCAGCCATAATTGTCATCACAGTATTAAGAATTATGGGTGAAATCTTTGAAAAGAAAAGGAGAAAAATTTTAGAATAAATTCTTCCTCAGATGAAAAGAATTAATATATAATGCAAAAACTAATTAAAAATTTAAAAATATTAAACTTCTAACTAAAGAAAACACATATAATCATGTCAAGTCAAGTAACCTCAAAACATTGATTTCTGCTCCAGATTACTCTGGAATTAAGTAATTTATCTTAAATGTTAATTGTCAAGAACCTAAATCAAAACTGTTCAATAAAGAATCAAGAGTATGATGTGAACAGAAAAAATGTAAATTTGCAATGAATTTTTTCATTTTCCTCCAGCTGCAATGAACTAAATCAAAGTGTGTGATGTCATTAAAATACACCCACTTGGCTTTCATGTCTTTGCTCAACTCCTCCCTCCTCTCACTAGGCCATAGTAGGACAGGATGATGTTCTCCATGCCCAGCTAGCACACTTGCAACCCAACCCTCACACTGCCAGTGGACTGATTTTTCTAAAATGTGACCTGAGCATGTCAATCATTAGTTTCAGTCTCCAATTTCTCACAATTTTCAGAACAAAACTCAAATGCTCTTCAGCTTGAGACACAAAGCTCTTCTTGACTCCATGCCTAATCAATTAACAAGCAGGGTTTTCCAAAGTTTAAGTCGTACATTAAATAAGTTAAATAGATTTCTTTATTGTTCCTTTCTCAAAGCCTTTACTTAATATGATAAAAAAGTATTTAGTATGTATTTCTTCTCAAAGTTTCCTGTCAACTGAACCTGCTTTTCTTTTGCCTTATTAATGACACCTAAAATTAGTGCTCTTAATCCTACAACTCTGCCATACCCTTCAGTCAGCCACAGGGAACCACTACTCTAAGTCCTTTAAGGAATTTTCACATCTCTGCCTTTGCGCATACTGTTAGTTATATCTATATAGCCCTTCCCCTTCCTCTCCATCTAACATGTTTCAGATTGTAAAATCTCAGTTCAGGTAACTCACTTCCAGAGAGATGATGATCTGGTGTGAGTAAATGGTCCCATGTCTTTTTGCATGCCTCTAGCATTGGGCATTGAAAGCTAAAATCAATGATTTACTTCTCTCATATATGTTGTTACATTTTTTGAAGGCAGGGACAATGTACTGCTAAAGCCCTGTATAGGACTTTTTTCATTCGTAGTAAGAGATTTTTTCAAATGTTGAATAAATAAATTGACGTACAAAGATAGAAAGAGGCGGGGGATGGGAACCCTAGCACCTTCACCTAGTGTCTTTGAAAAAGTACATGCAAGTTCAAGGAATTTCCCTCTCCTTTAATTCTTTAAAAAAAACTGTATCTGTTAAAACACAACCTAAGACTATCTACTATCTTTAAACGCTGGGAGAACACTACATTGTTATTTACATGGTAATTCAAATGACATTAGTTTGAACCTGAGTCTAACCACTATTGTTCATTAACCTATATAGGTAAAGGTATTATTAGAATTAGCATTAACCACCTCATTTTTCTATCCTTGAGAGAGAGAGAGAAATAGATTTTGCTAAGTATTCTATATCTTCCATTTGTAGGTGGTAACAAAATAATATTTAAAGAATCTGAATTTCTCTGGAAAACAAAGATTCTCTTTCAACATTTCAAACAAAAGAAATTTTAAAAAGTAAATTCTAATAATTAATTTCTACCATAAATCATTACAAATGACATAAGTTATATAAAACATTTAATCAGTTATTAAATTCAGTCAAATTATGTCTCAAATAAAAAACTAAAAATGACATGCAACAAAAAACAGCAACCTCATTTTTCTAACCTTTCTTCAGGTCTCTTCCCACTCAATTAACACTCCCCCCCACCAAATTCAACACACCAATGTAATCGGATAACCTATTTTGATCATTGGTAGGGAGTTATAAGTACTCCTTTAATTAAAAATAAGTATTTGCATTAAAAATATATGTTAATGTCAGAGATATTTATTAATTACTGAATACATGGCTATAGAATGCTATACATACATGAGCGGTATCAAAAAATACTGTCTCATAACTGCAAGTATACAATATTATTTGAAAATTAAGAATTCATTTTCACCTAATAATATGAGAGGCACTTACTTTAATTATAAATTCTTCAACCTTAATATTTATATTTTGTTTCCCTGAAGCCCATGTACATTTTTCCATAAATAAAGAGCATGGCTGTAAGACCTAGAAGCAAATGAAGTTCACATTTACACAGTTATTTCCTTAGTATATATGTAATACACACAAGAGCATTTCTTACTTAATTTGACATCTTTAACTACAAAGTCTACAGCTAAAAGCAAAAAGGCAAGTTAACTTCACTGAGAATCTCTTGTCAGGGCTTCTTTGAACACAAGTCTGTGAACATTTTTAAAGATTTTGAGAAGCTGTGATCAATTCCTTTATGTCAAATTCTTAAGTAACAATGCACAGTTACTACTAAAAGTTTAAAATGCTTCCTTTTGCAAAGATACATTTTAAGTGATGAGCTCCATAAAATCTATTCTTAAGATATCTATAAAAACAAATGAGAGACTGTGGGAAGGTAGGTAAATGACAGTTTCAAAATGATTAACTAAATGGATCAGTCTTGAATATCATACAAGATAATTATTAGAATAAATTGCATATAGTCAAACTAAATGCTTTACTGAAATTATGAAATCAATATTCTGACAGTTAAAAGAAATAATCTTATGCCAAAGCTGGAGAATTTGTAGTGGATAACTTTCATTTCAAAAAATTAGATGAACTTTTAGTGGAATAATTAATACAAGCTTTCTATGATATATCCAAAGAAAATGATCCTACAAAGACTGTTTCATGATCAAGTATAGACTAAACTAGCACTACTTTTCTTCATGCAAGTCACTTGGCTCACAAATATTATAATTTTAAAACAAAACTGTAAATGAGTCACATAATAATCCTCTTTAACATAAAATTATCAATTTAACATAAAAATTTACATGGTAATTTAACTTCTTAACAAAAATCATATTTTTCAACAATCATGAAAACAATTGGAACAATGAGCTTTTAACAATAAAACATAATCTCTTTTGGTCACATGACTTCAATTGAATTTTTTCACCCTTAACTCAAAGATTTAATAGTCATTTCCTCAGTGGGCACACCGTGGTGAACAACAACAACAACAAAAAACACCTTAAAACAAGTGTTGATTTGCATTAAAATTCAAACACTGTTCAACAAAAGATGACAGAATGTAAAGAAAACCAGTCTGGAAATAGTCCCCAATTCAGTTACTAGCAGTCATGGCTAAATCATTTAACATCTTTGGAACTCAACATTCTTATCTATAAAATCTCAAGCTTATAAATAGTAAATAATCTCTAACATCCTACAGAGTTTTCAAATTCTAGAATTCTATGAATCAACCATTTCTGACATTCTTCAAACTAAGGATATAAGGTAATTCTTACTGTAGTAATGTTTTTTCTTCTCTTTTCTCGGAGAAAAGGGCAAGCAAGTACTTTAAGATCTCTCACAGAAGCTTCCATCATCTGTTCAAGTTTTGATGTTGACAAAGAAAGATTACACTCGCATGAGGCTGTCAGAGCGGGAGCATCAGCCTTTGTCAGGTTGGCAACAAACACCACTTCTGGATCTGTGATTTTGGCCTTTAAGGTCATATTCGGCCTTACAGAGTCATCTGAAGAAACAAAAATAGGAACCAAAAAGTTGTAAACTAAATCTTGTCACCTGAGTACATTTTACCTACAAATCTCTAAGTTGTTTCTAATATCCAATTCTAACAAAAATGGTAAAATTAATGCTAATAATCAACCCAATATCACTGATAAATGATTATTAATGGATGCTGATTGTATAAGATAATGCAATTTAATCCCCGTCATAAAAGGATTATTCCCACTTCAACCTACCAGGGATTATCTTGCCTAAAGTTCTTTGTATCCAAATTAAAGTATAAACAGGTATACACACATGAGTGTGTACTGTGATATGTTGGAGGGGAAAAGAGAGGAATATAGGAAATAGGAAAAGAAACGCTGATAAAATGTAAACATTAGGGCCTCCCTGGTGGCGCAAGGGGTTAAGTACCACATTATGAAGCAATCCACAGCCTCTGTCTGCAGCATGAGCTAGATCCCCAGCCGGCCAGAAAGCTAACCCACATGGTGCGGCAGACCTCTCCTGTCTCGCCCGTTGCTCCCCTCAGCAGTGTGTTTCGGTCAGTCTGCCTGTTCTGTTCCCTGCTCTGTCTCTGGTGGATCCTCCCAGCCCCATCTCCCCGCTGCCACATCGCTGGCCTGTACCCCAGCTCTTGTATGCATAAATTTTTTTTTAAAATGTAAACATTAAATTGTTTACTTTGGTTTCACCCTGAAGTCTAGTCAGTGTCAGTGTCAGTGTCAGTGTCTAGTCAGTGTCTAGTCATACAATAGCATAAATACACTAAATAAGAGAAATCAAAGATGATTACTGTTTAACAAACATTAAAGGTAAATGAAAAAAATGAAAGTCTGACCTTACCAATAAATGATAATTTTCCAATTTTACTGAGTTATACATTAGGGAGAAAAAACCCTGACCCCAAACAATTAAAACGTAACAACAAAGAAAATCACTGGTCTACTTGGTAATGTTGGAATAAAAGGCTTATAGAGCAGGGAAGTGGCTTTCATAGAAAGAAACCAGACTATTACATACTGGTCTACAGAATTGAAGGCATCTAAGTTTATGCCCAAGGATGTTATGCTGGCTCCACCAAGATTCCCATCTTATGATTTTTATCTGTTCAATTGTTCTTCAATATGCTAGATTTCTTCCAAATATTTTACTTAAAAGATTTTTTCTATAACAGGCTGCCAACTACAAAACCAGATTAACTCCCATTCTTTCTGGATGAGTAAAGAAATGTTAATGGCAGAGTTGGAACCAGATAAGAAATTTTCTGATCCCTAATAAAGTATAAATCTACTCTTTCTCTTAAAAATGTACACTAAAATTTTTATATAGAAAATACTTAAATTTTAAATAATTTTATGTTCTTAAAATCTTCAATTCTCTTTCTTCTGTTTGTAATTTTTGCTAAAATACATAGCAGGTTGTTATCTATGACAGGTAAATTCTGCTAACCTTTCTCTATCTTGCTTTTTGCTGTGGCAGTCTGTCGTAGTGGAACCTGTGCTTCTTTGGCCATATTTTCAGGACTTTGAGGCATAGCTTTGACAAAGAAATCTGCCACGGTCATCAGAAATTCCACACTGGCACATACATACAGCTTGTCAAGAACGGCATCCATATGACTTCCATTGCTGTCTTGTTGGTAACTTATATCAATCATAGAACTGTTGCTATCTTGATGATCCTTCTTGTCAATCATTCTGAAAAATATATAATCATATTTTAATCCTACCAAAATAACTAAAAATATGAACATTTTCCCATACACTTTAATAATCTTTCTGTCACCTTTCAGTTTTTAATCTGATTAGGAAATAGGTCAGTATCAGCAGTGCCTAGGAGCAATGCCAGGTGGAATGTCAATGTTAAATAATGTACAGAAAATTCAGAGATGACAAACCTTGATGTTGCTCTCTCAATACCTTCCCTGAGATCATCAAGGGTGCATGTCTTAAGTTTAATGCTGACATTCATTGAGCCATCCTTAAACATCTTTCCCGTGGAAGACATAAGATGAAGTCTGAGTTCACCAAGTCGGAAACTGTCATTATGAAATGAAAGTTTGGATTCCTGTGGCACATTTTGCAAGTAAAAGAATCAATTATCTCTAAACAATGTATAATTACTTTTAAATATATTTCTTAATTTAGATACAAAAGGCAAATGGATCTCACAAATTTTAAAAGCATGAATTGTTAAAACACAAATGAAACAGAAAGAAAATGCACTGTGACAGTATACATACAAGCAACTACTTTTATGTGTGCAATATTTAACATTAATATACAAAATTATCTCATTTATAGTTCAAAGCAAATAAAAAGAAACAGGAATTTTTATTAATTAATCTAATTAATATTTAATGAACTCTTCTGTATAAAACAGCGATAGAAATATGATGTTTATAAATAAGGATAAGGCATAGTAGGTGACCTAAGTAAGCTTTTATTCTAATGGAGAAAATAAAATAGAAATACATTACAAGGAATTTCATAAGGTAATGCTGTAAGTTGCAAATGATCAAAAAATGACATATAGTCATTTATTTATTCATATTCATTCATGTGTATGCGCTCATATTCCACAAAAAACAGTACATGATTTAGTAAAGAATATAAACAGGAAAAATCCAAAGGATCAAAGATCACTGTGCACTGCTAAAAACTGATGAAGGAGGTAAGAATTAACTTGATGCTTGCATTTTGAGTAGGACCAGATAGGTTAAGAGGAGGCAAGTAGAAGACATTCTGGACAAAGAAAAATCACAAGCAAACAATTCAAGTGTCTCTGAGGGTACAAGGTATTGATTGCTTAGGCTTGAATATTTCAATTAAAGAATGGGAGGGAATTAGGCTGGAAAGAAAAAGAGAGGTAGAATCAAGGTATCAAATCCTGAAGTAAGGTTAGAAACACTAATAAAATAAAGACAGAGAGCAAGACCAATGTATATTCTACAAGCCAAACAGAATTTAATAGACACAATTTTTAGATAAAAAATACCAATATTCTAAAATTTAATATCAAGAGTTAGGATTCGTTTGTAACTAGAGAAATTTACTACATACCTGATTGATATTGTTGTAAAGGATAATGGAAAGAGATTCAAAGTGAAACTCAAATTGGAGAGAGACATTCTGGTCCACAGAAATCTTTGAGTCTGTCAAATCTTGTTCTGATGGTTCAAATATAAAAATGAAATTTAAAGAGCTTTTAATAGATATATGATTTTATAAATATCTTAAAAACTGGTATAATTTATTATTCTAAATTTCTATCACACTTTTTAGGAATAATTAAATTATATTACATGAGACAATAAAAATGAAAATTATTTATTCTATATACATTTAGTACATGGCCAAATGCAGAGGTAGTCCACAATAAGAGGTGGAGGTGAACTTGCAAAAATACCAAAAAAATTTTTAAAAAGACCCTTCAGGGAATGGCTAACTTATTACAGAGAAGTTTAAATTATCAAAACATTTCACAAACTGGTTATATAATTCCAAAAAGAGATGAAAATGAAGGCAGAGAAAAGTAAAATACTTTGTCCCAGAATACACAGCTAGTCAGTAACAGATCCTCCACTAGCCAAGGACTCTTCTTACTTTCTCTAATAACCTACATCACCCTACTCATTACCTTTACAAAAACAGAATGTAATTCATCAGCAGAGTCAAACAGAGCTCAAATATAATGTGGGGAAGTGAATCTGAGATTTTTAGGTGAATGAGATTTTGAGGTGAATGAGACAGAAGTAATTCTGTCTTTTCCCTTATTTTTAGGCAGAAACTTTATCGATAAATAAGAATAGATACTAATTTCAACCACACTTACAAAATAATTCTATAATCCCTTTTGAAGACTGATTGTATTCTTTGGTCATTTAGAGGAAAAAGTGTTCTTACAAGTGACTGGAAAGGCCTTTAACCATATAAAGGTATCTCCGATTTGGAGAAATTTGGGGTTTTTTTCTTCACTCTTCCCAAGAATAATTCATACTTTCATCATTCATCATCTTCACAGCTTTCATCTGAGCTTACAAGTTTTCCAAGTACTATATTAACCATATAGCTAGATGCATAAACATAAACTATTTCTGAACATAATGAGATCATTAACCACATAAAGCTTGCTACTAATGTACTCAACATGGGGTTATAGACACTGGCATTACTAAGCACATGGAGCATGCATAACTATGCACTTGAACCAAAAACCTTATTTTGCACACTACTCTAGCCATTTGTGTGTTTGCAAAACACATGAGGTCTAACTGTAGGATAAAGAGTGTTGGTATGGTATTATTAAGTGGCAGTTTTTCAACTGCTATCAGAATTAACAGCTGATAATTTGAGGATTATAAAAATATAGTAGCCTGGGGTCATCAATTATAAGGACAAGTAGCACTTCATCTTTTTTTTAAGCCATGGAAAATTGACCTATTACCAATCTTAAAACATAATGATATTCACATTAATATCTTTAATCAATGAAAATAAAGTGAAATTACACTGTATACGATTTTAAGAAAACAAAAAGGAACCTTAAATTTTAGAAAAATTGCCTTTCAAAAATGCCTAATTTAAGAAGTTCAATGCCTTTTTTTTTTAAAGATTTATTTATTTATTTATACAAGCACTGGGTACAGTCAGAAGCGCGGGAGGGTGAGAGAATTCACCAGGGCCAGAGCCGGGAACAGAATAAGCAGACTGACGAAATACACTGCTGAGGGGAGCAGCGGGAGGCAGGAGAGAGGTCTGCGCACCATGTGGGATCCTTGCCTGGTGGTCGGGGATCGAACCAGAGCTGTGGAGGCTGCGGGCAGCTTTGCAACCCAGCGCTCAACCGCTGTGCCACCGTGGAGGCCCAAAGTTCAATGCTTTTTAAAAATTCTATTTTAATAATCTGGAAAACTCCCTTACATATACCTCACTACGTCATTCTCCAATAAAACCAGAGATGTAAAATTGTTACTATGTAAGAATACCTTCCTAAAAGCAAAAAAAGACTACCTTTCTCTCTCAGAGGCCAGTTTCTAAGTATGAAATCCAGGTCCTTTTCTCTCAATTATTTTGGGACCTTACTATGTTACATGCCAAGCTTGCTTTTTTTCACTCCAGGGATACTACTTCAATGCCTCATGAAATTCAACATATGCAGCTTTCACATGCTAGAAATAACAGGTGGTCCCTCTCTTTAGATAGACAATGAGTTTATCCCCTTTCCCTGGATTTGTAAGAGGAAGTCCCAGCATATTTTTCACAGTAACACATTATAAAATCTTCTCATACTATATTATACTGCTGGACAATTTAAAAAAACATCACTTATCATAAAGATGATATTAAAACTAATTTTTTTCCATCCATCAAAGCAAAAAAAATATGTTATCAATTTTACCTTTGAGGTGATCAGATCTAATTAGAACATCTTTTCTTACTCTTACAGCATCCTGGGTAGATTGTGTAGGGCTTGACTGCGAAGAAGCCTCTCCCAGATTTTCCAGTAAAATTTTCATTAAAACTGTTAAGTCATCTTCACTGAGTGCAACCTAGAAACCAACAATAAATTTTTATTAATAAAAAGTAACAACAAGTACAGAACATCACGTTTATGTCTCAATTAGGGGTTCTGTAAATTAACTAACAGTTCTTCTACTAAGAGAGATAAAGAGTTGGGATCATAAATACCAGGAGAGAAGTACTTCATCTTGTACACTGTGAGATTCCTGTGTATAAACCCAGTTCTGCTGACCAGATACAAACCTTGACTTCTGGCACTTCATCACTCTCCCTGCTTATCTGTACCTACCTTGTTCTATTCCTGGACATGTGACTCTCTTCCCTCTCCCTATTTCCCCATCTCCATTTTGCCTCTCTTTCTTCTCACCCAGTACCAACCCCTTCCTCCACATTATTTGCTCCACTCCAAACTCAATACAGGAAGAGGGCTGCTCAATTTTTTGTCTCACCAAGAAGTGAAAAATGGTGTTCTCCTGCAATTTAGCAATGACCAGGAAGGGAGGAGCTTGTTCATTGCCTACATATACAAAAGGGGATGTGTGGCCGAAATATAAGCAAGATTTTTTGAGTCAGTGAGATCTGCTGGATCAATTCTAACTTTTAAGGTATGTTGGACAAATTTCTTAGCCTCCTTAAGTCAGGTTTCTTAATCTTTTAAATAGGAATAATATCACTTTCTTCATAAGTAGCTAAAGAATGAAGAAGCTAAAACAAAAAAAAGGCAGCTACTGGCAGCAAAGAGCCACTGAAACTTTTCATTATACTTTTGTACATTTTCATCATACATACAATGGTCTAAAATGCCTATTTCAAGTAGTTCAACACAAATTCACAAAGGCATGAAAGGATTCACAGCACCTTCTCCTAGAATATCACAATACCCCTTGTTACCAAGGAAATTGCCTGACTCCCAGCCTAAATGAAAAGAGTGATATATTTTGGCATGAGATAATGACAGGGATTTCCGTTGTCCCAAATCCCATTCCTTAGAATACAAATGTCACTTTAACCTCCTAGAAATTCCTTGTGTTCATCTGTGATAGCAACCAAAATATCACAACCAGAAATGCAACTTACTTCATTACCACTTTTGGTTTGCTGTTGGTAAAATAAACAATTGCATCATATACTTAAACTGGTCTTCAGTCAATCTGAAGGACAATTTTGAGAGATTACCCACTATCATCTCCTTGATACCATTTCATAGCTGCACTGCAGACACAGGAGAACTCTACAGATTATCACCAAAGAAGGAATGTCTAGAAAGAACGAGATCACAAATGAGGCAACAGAGACTACCCTGGATGGGTGGATGAATGCCTGACTTAACAGGGAATTTTTAGTTAAAGTGATGATCATACTTTCATGGTAAACTTTGGTCTTCTTGGTTTTTACTTGTTTCTTCTCAAATACTTCCAGCATAAAAGAAAAGCGTAAAGAATACAATAATCCTCCCCAGTGAACCAACCATCTAGCTGTACCTTAACAAGTTGCTATATTTCCTTCAGATCATTTTTTCCCATTATAGGTAAGGTTGAAACCTCAAATTTACTTCTCTGAGTTCCCATTCCCTTCTCTCCACCCCAAAGTATTACGAAACTATTCTTCCCATGAATTCTTTCTTATATTTTCCACTATTGTGTTTCTCTATAAATAACATATAGCATTGTTCACTGTCTCACCTATTGCACTATAATTTTGCAACATTTTTTTTTGTTTGTTTAAGATATACCCATTTCATTTCACATAGTTCTGATTCATTCACTCTATCTGGCCTATAATGCCCAAAATTTGAATATAGTGTAATTTGAGCCACATTTTCCTATTGATAGAGATTTAGGTTTCACTTTTTCTTTCAGCAACCTATAATTATACGATCTCTGAAAGAAAGGAAAAAGGATCAAATAGTAATCTGTTAAAAGTAAGGAAGATTTAAAGACCCACAACTTTGGAAGAGAGAAGTCTACAAGAATATCACAAACAGACACTTTTCTTCATATAAGTGAGCCATTCATGCATATACACAGACACCTACAATGGACTTCAATTTTAATTTCTTCCCTAGTAGAACTCTGGTCCTTTGAGCTTTAATGTTTCATCTTAGAACTACCTCTGGAATAATCACAGATATCAAAAACAGTAAACTACTAAATTTTGATTTTTCACATACTGTTTAGTCACTTCCCTAACCTCCCCCTTACTGTTTAGCTTCAACAGTTTCCTCACACATAGGCATACAAAAATCAAAAGATTCCTATATCCCAGGACCATCTTCAACTATTCCTGCCTCTTCTTGTAAAGCCTACACATGCTCTAACTAGTGCAGTACTGGGTCTCCTTGGTGGCGCAAGGGATTAAGTCTCAGCACTATAAAGCTATAGCCAGCTACTGCAGGATGAGTTAATCCCAGTCAGGGAGCTAACCCACATGGCACAGCAGACCTCTCCTGTCTTCTCCCGCTGCTCCCCTCAGCAATGTATTTCAGTCGATCCACTTGTTCTGCTCCCTATTCTGTCCCTGGTGAATCCTCTCACCCTACCTCCAGCACCTCTAGCTTACATCCCAGCTCTTGTATACATAAATAAACAAAATACATCTTTACAAAAATAAAATAGTGCTGTATTTAAATGCCTACCAAATAAACATATTCACTTACTTAAAACCATACCTACTTTACTAATTAAATGAGTTTTCTACACAAGAAAAATATTACTAAGGTTTTTTGAATGTGGTATCCAATGTTACTTTACAGTGTCTTACAATTAAACTGCCTTAAAACCTTAATAGAATATTCCAAATTTACAAATAATTTTTCTTACAAGTGTTGTTGGCTTTATCAAATATCTGACTAACATGAAATAAAGTGTGTGAAACTTGGATGACCTCAATTTCAGTTAACAAAGCATATTCTTTTAATGTGTTGTCACTTCTGATGTACACTAGAACTGCATGATGATAAAAGCAATATTCATATATTTTAGATATAGACTTACTTGCATAGGTTTTAGTTTTCCTTCGATCTCCATCCCTGGAATTTGCACATACCATGCTGCTGCCAAATTTCGTTGTATGGACAAAAGCATGTTTACTGGTTTTAAAATTTCAATGTCTTGCTGTGGCAAGCTAGTCTGCAAAATAGTTCTGAAAGATAAATAGAATTCATTTCATATTCAGAAATATTTTGAAAATTACATTTGAAAATGAAGACTGGCATATTGTGTACCATTTTTCACACAGGAAAATGCTGATTTCAATGACACAAATTTCATAAAGTATAATTTTGCACTTACTATCTTTCACAAAGACTAGCAGCTAGTACAAATGTTATACAAATGTTACATACTCCAAAAATTGGAGGACAAAGTGTACTTAGTTTTATGTTACTAGTACTTTTTTCAAACTCAAAGGGAAAACTCCACTCAACCTAGAAGTTAAACAAACATATGGTAATCGTTCTAGCTTACTTGCCAATAACCATCTGTACAACCAAATAAGTATTCATGTCATTCAATATGGGCAACACTTTCACATCTGTATAGGATAATTCTTTATATAACTCAATGAAAATGCCCAAATGTGTCAATGTTTGGAAATGGAAATAAAACTTAAATTTTATTATATTTTTGGACAATTTCTCCCATCTACAAAAAACAGGTATGTGCAAAGTAAATTAAATATAATGTATAAATATAAATATTATAGTAGTACTTTTTTTTTCCCAGTAAAAAAAATCATATTCCAAATTTGGTAAGACAAAGCACAGGTGCCCTACTATTAACCATTAACCAAAACCAACAGTCAATGTTTCATAATTAGAAGAATGAAAAATACAAATCACTAGAGCATTTTACCCCCAGAAAACATTCTATAAAAATTCTATTTCTAGTAAGTAATACAAAATTACATATTTATACCTGGACAGCTTCAACTGAGTAAGTTGGATGTTCATTTTGTCAATGACTGGGGGAAGAGTGTAATGTTCCTTAGAAACTAAGCTAAATTTGTTTTCAACTCTGATTAAGCCCAAATCTGCTATAACAGCATTAGGTGATACTGAAGACTGAGGTATGATAATAACTGGTGCTTTCAAATTGATATCCATCAAAAGGCGGAAACTCTTCTGAGCCAAGTCTTTCATGCTTGAAGCAGCTCTTTCTGCAGCCTGGGCAGTGGCTGTGCTCAAAGCTTCTTTAGCAGTCTGGAAATTGTTGAGGAAGTTCTGTTGGAAGAAACTGTATTTAGAGAGTATCAAAAAAAAAAAAAAAAAAAAAAAAAAAAACACCCAGGATTTATTTTTGAAAAGCAAAATTTTGAAAAGCTTTACTTTAAAGAATAAAGCCCAGAAAAACACATTCTAGGATGTTAATAACGTTACCTCCAGGAAGGAAGAATAGTTTAACTTTCATAGTATCTATTTCAGAATTACTTGGCTTTTATGAAAAATTTTGGTAACAATTCTTTAAAATATCACTTTTATGGGCCTCCCCGGTGGCGCAGCGGTTGAGCACTGGGTTGCGAAGCTGCCCGCGGCCTCTGCGGCGCCAGTTCGATCCCCAGCTGCTGCCCGGCCACCGGAGGAGGGTCCCGCATGGCGCGCAGACCTCTCCTGCCCCCTGCTGCTCCCCTCAGCAGTGTACTTCAGTCCTTCTGCCTTCTCTGCCTCCCACTCTGGCTCTGGTGAATTCTCTCACCCTCCCGCGCTTCTGACTGTACTCAGTGCATGTATAAACAAACAAACAAATAAATAAAAACATGCCTCTAAAAAAAATAAAATAAAATATCACTTTTATGATTAAATGTCTGCCATTGCCAATTCAAATATAAATGAATTTACTTTTCCCAAATTAGATTTAATTCTGTACCTAAGTCACAGGAATAAAGTATATTTTTTGAAACTAATGTTTTGCCAGTTTATTTCTCAAGGTTTACTTAATTATATTGAAGCATAAACAAAGATGATTAAATGTCTATGGGTTTGTTTTCATTAATAAGTCAAATTTCTCAATTTCAATTAAAAAAACAGAAAAATCTTTCCAAATGAAGAAAAGATCATTCTTGGAAGCAGTATTCTCAATGCGCATCCTGTATTAGTCCTTCAAACATCTAAGGGGCTTAAAATAATTCTTAAGGATATTTCATAAAACAATCACCAATGAAGTTTAAATGTAGAACATCAAAGTGTATTATAAGAACATGTAACTATGGAAATGTTAAAGATTTTTAGTTTATATGTTCAAGACAATGAAACAAAAGTTCATTTGGTCATTCATCATGTAAAGGATTTCCTTTAATGTAGTGTTGCCTTCAGTATTAGGGTATTTACTAGACAGCCTTATTTTTGACTATCTAGGTTCAGATGTATTTATAAGCAAAGACAGACCTCAGTGAGAAATAAATATATTTAAAAAGTAAACTTACCAAAAGAGACATGAAGAATTTATGAACGTAAACAATTTGAATACAACCCACTTTGAGACTAAGTTTGCCATCTACTTTAGACATATCAGTATAGGCCTTTCCTTCTGTGGCATCTGGATAAAGACTCATTTGGAACCTAAAGACTTCATCTCCCAAAATAGAGACAGCCTAAAAGCATTAAATTAAGTGGTTATTAAACCAAAAGAACTATATAGCCTTTATCACCATGTTAAAAATAAGTTTCCTTATTACAGAATGCTTTATATATAAAGCACCATTTAAATACAACCTAGAATAAATTTAAAGCATTTTACTGGACAGTAACTTTTTACTATTTCTATAAAAATAGTTTCATCAACAGAAATATCAATCACTTAATTGGTCAGAAATAACTTTTACACATCATCTAGTCTATAAACAATCTGAAAACAAACTGTGACCATATTGGTGCCCAGTCCCTAACAAAGTGCTAAACATATAGCACAGTATCTATTCATATAAGGAATATTATATTATATTAATGAATATATAATGAATATTATATGAATGACCATATTCATATATTATGTATTAGATTGTATTATAATAGATAATATAATTAAAATTAAATATAATTAAAATTATATTATATACAGCTAATGTATAATTTTATTTATCTATTATAATACAATCTAATATATAATTATAATACATACAATCTAAATTATTATAATACAATCTAATATATAATTTTGATTATAATACAATCTAATATATAATTTTAATTATATTATCTATTATAATACAATCTAATATATAAATAGATACTGAATAAGTGAATAAAGGTATGCTAAACCCAAAGAATTAAAATAAATTTCTATATAGAAATCATTTTTAAAATTACCTTTTTGTGAATGGAATGTGAATCAACATTGTTAACTATGATATCCTTAAGTCTGGCAAACATATCGGTCTGCTTTGGCTTTACAAAAACAGAAGCATCCATTCCTGTGGAAAACAGGAAACTTAACCAAATTCAGGTGAACCAATTCAGTGGTATTTAAGTTCAATTCTATACTACCAAGATATGAAGCAAACAGAAAATATTTACTATCGGTGGTACTATAGGCATCAACTTACATGTATGAGATACGTAATAAAGTTTATAGTATTTTCAAATAATGTAGGCATCTCATACATAAAAGTTGTAGAAATTTTAAAACAAAAGAAACCGAACTTCAAAGAAAATTAGTCACAGGTATCTAGACACAAATATTCTATACATTGGCAAAATTAAAAAGTCATCATTTAGGAAGACACAATATTTGTAAAAGTCATCTCACCTTTATTTTATTGTAAAAACTACTGCTTCGATAACTAAGCATAAATGAATATAATATGATAAGTAAGTCTATTCTTTCTACAGTAAGCTATACCTGAAATATAATCATCTAAGATTTCTCTCTAAAAAATATTTGTTATTCTCAGAATTTCTATGGCAAAATGATTTCAAAAGTTGCTGTAGCTGAGCTTAGAAATGAGTTCAAAACATTCCATAAAATAAGTACTTAGTAATATTTGTTGAATGGAAGTGACATTTTACCTTTTTTAACTGCTTACCGTGTAGCAGGCACTTTCCTAAATACATGTAAATGTATAACTTAATCCTTAAAACAACCATATGAATAAAATTATGACATTTTCTATTTTATAGAAGAAGGTTAATTAACTTGCTCAAGGTCAGTCACTAATACGTATTATAGCTAAAATTTGAACCTTGCCAGGTTGGTTCTAAAATCATAGCATATTCTGAGCCATTATATAATACTGCCTCATCCTTTTATCAACCAGATGATGGGTAAAGCTTACAAAATTTCTTTTAGAAACTTTTCCTGATGCTATATATGCACAAAAGACAAGGGAAATAAGGATAATGACATTTTCTTTCCTCAGTGAGATGTTAGTATGATATTCATTTTTCAATTTCAGCTAAAATTATATTATTCTGGAAAAGCAAACAGAACAATAAGCGAGTAAGTTTTAGATGTATGTATATTGACTTTTTTAAAAAACAAGGAATGTCTCATGTCAGTCATGAATCATAATTAACTTTTTTTTTTTTTTTTTTTTATAGAGGCATGCTTTATTTATTTATTTATTTGTTTGTTTGTTTTGTTTATACATGCACTGGGTACAGTCAGAAGCGCGGGAGGGTGAGAGAATTCACCAGAGCCAGAGCGGGGAGCAGAGCAGGCAGAAGGACCGAAGTACACTGCTGAGGGGAGCAGCGGGCGGCAGGAGAGGTCTGCGCACCATGTGGGACCCTCCTCCAGTGGCCGGGGAGCAGCCGGGGATCGAACCGGCGCCACAGAGGCTGCGGGCAGCTTCGCAACCCAGTGCTCAACCGCTGCGCCACCGGGGAGGCCCACATAATTAACTTTTTTCTAACATTTTAAAGTACACCTTTGAAAAGTTTACACAAGTCTAAGGTAAATAAACTAAAATATGGCTCATGAGAAATTTACCATGCATAAGCTCATTCTTCCCAGAGGTTTACATAAAGAACAGAAATATTTATACCAAGGAATAATTACTTACCGTGTATCCTAATATCTGCAATGCTACACTTCTGATCACAGATAAAGATATTAAATGCATTTAATTCAGCTATGATCTTTAAATCAAACAGATCATCTTGCGAATTACTGCTGGATACTGAAAAGTAATAGAAGACATGTGATTAGCAAAGTGCAAAGATGATATCAAACAAAATAATCTCAAACTCACTAGAATAAAAGTACATCAGGAACTATAGAACCAAAACGGCCTCCACTGAGATTATAAATAACTAATCAGGACTGTGAATAACTTTTCCAATGCCAATAAAGATAAAAACTAGCATGAACCCACCAAATTAAGAATAAAGGCAACCGTTAATAGCACCTCAAAAGAATAATGTGAGAGAGAAATTTTACTATAGTGTTTCTTCCAGGGGAAAAACAAACTCTCTATATTAAGATTGCAGGCTTCTATTAGTGTCAAATTTTTATTCCAAACTCTTTTTCATATCATGTATTATATCAAAGAAAAATAATTCACAAAAAACTAAAATAGTTATAACTAATAAAATATATATTAACTATGTCACTAATGTGTTATTAACAATAGAACAAATTTGTCTAGATAACATCCTGTTACTCCATGAAGAATCCCAAAATACATATTAAGATAAAAGAACATAAAGGGTTAATGTTAAAAATATATATATTGTACAAAGTGTTTGTTATGTGTACATGTACTTAAAAGCACAGTCAAATGGATACCTTTAATCTACTTTAGTCCAACTCCTAGTTGAAAAATTTAGGTTACAATTTCTTAGAGATTTGTCTTGACTGAGGAAAAAGAACTTTTTTTATATAACACTGCAAAAGCATGGGACATCAAGACAAAGAGTAATTCATATGATTCCAGTTATAGTGGAATCTAAAGAACAAAACAAATGAACAAACACATAGACACAAATTGGTGGTTACCACAGGGGAGGACTGAGGAGTGAGCAAAATGGGCGAAAATAATCAAGAGCTAGAAACTTAACAGTGACAAAATAATTACAAGGATGTAATACACAGCATGAGGACTATAGTTAATAATATAATAAATAAATAAATAAATAAATACATAGGTATATACATGGAAAATTTTGCATAGTGGTGATGATTGTACAATAAATTAATATGCTTTATATCACCAAATTATACATTCAAAAGTGGCTAAAATGGAAAATTATGTATTATGTACATTTTACCACAATTAAACAACAAAAAAATGAATATATCAATCCTTACATAATCAAGATGCTAACAGCAGCTTTTCCCCTCTTAAGATTTAAAGCAATATAATCAAACCAAAAAACCAACAATATTGCATAACTGGAACACTATTTTTTGTATTAATATTTTTTGTAGTTTATAATATGTTTGAACACTGACTTTTCACTTACTCAGCCGCAAGTGTGTATACTGTACATATATATAAAGAAGTATTTCTGCAAGATTAACATTACAAGTGCAAAAAGAAAAATAATTTAAAACCCTTTTACTCCAGTTGATAGCAAAAATATTTCTCTGCTCTCTAGTTTAAAAAAAAAAATCTGATTCTTATATCAGATACAATATTACTGATGGTTTTATACTTTAAAGATGCCAGTAATATAGATATAACTCAAACTGACAAAGGTATGGAAATAAAATTATTAGATGTCAGAAAATACACATAATATGATACTGAAGAAAAACTAATTAATTAAAATGATATTTGGCTTAAAAATAGATGCACGTTCATGCAGGATAATTACATCTAATATTTCACATACAAGTCACATATCTGAAGATAATGCACCCAGACCTGTAAGTGATTTAAAGATAGCGATTAGAAATCGAAATGAGTATCTCTTCCATGAGATTCCTCTTTGTGTGTCTTGCAAAGCATTTAAAATTGTTGAACACCAGATAGATTTACTTGACTGACTGAAGTGGGCCTTTGTTACTATGCCTAACTGTATTCATATTTTAATCTTTTTCCTTTCTCACTTTCATTGGAGAAAAGACTGCAAAGAGATCAGTACAAAGTATACTTAACTTCAAGCAAAAGTTAGGCAGTGAAATCAAATATAAATACATGACTAATATTAAACATTTATTTAAAATCCCCCACTAAATTACCCTATAACAATATAGGGATAAAATTTGCTTTCTTTTGAAACAAATCCAATCTGCCAGAACAGCTATTAACTTATTTAAGGGGCTAAATACTTAACTTGCATACGAAAACTATTATTTGATTATTAAACTTCAGATAGAGTATTAGACCATGGCTCAAAATTTAATATCACCTTGGATGACACTTCTGGACTCCCCCACAATTGATTTCAGCTCAGATTCCTTCTCAGAAGAGGACAGTTCAGAGGATGGAACAGAGGATGATAAAATATCCATCAAGGACAATAAAGCTTCCAAATGAAGTACTAAGTCTAAGGATGAAAATGAAACCTACAATAATGAACAAATAGAGAGGCAGATTTCAGATATGGTAACATTTTCATGTTAAATTTCAACATACACAAGTAACAAAATAACAGTTCAATCCAGGGTCTTAGAAAAAAATTTAAAGAAACAAATCACTATAACAACTTTAATACTTTCCATATAATAAACTAACATTCTGTCCAATCCCACACTGGTCCATAATTCTAACAGAAGTTGCTAGGTTATAAGCAAAGATTAGAAGTATTATCAAGCCTTAAGTCAATCACATTTCAGATGGTTCTAAGACAATGTTATATATGCTCAAAAGGACTGTGAGCAATGTCTGTACTAAGATATGTTTTAGCCTTGTCCTTAATTTTATTCTAATCCTATAACCAACATATAATTCATACACTTAACACATTTATCAACACTAGCTCAAATAATCATAGTGAAAAAAAAACCCTTAAAAAAGTGTATTAGAAAAAAAAAAAAAAAAGGAACCCAACCACTGTTGGTGAGAATGCAATTTGGTACAGCCTCTATGGAAAGCAGTATGGAGGTACCTTAACAAAATAAACATGGAAATATCATATGATGCAGTGATACCACTAGTATGTATGTCTTTACCAAAGGAAAATTAAAGCTCTAATACAAAAAAATTTAAGCACGTCTATGTTTATAACAGCATTATTCAGAATAGTCAAGTCATGGAAACTAAGTATCCAACAACATAAGACTGAATGAATTGTGGATTATATATTCAATGAAATACTACTCAGTTATTAAAAAACATGAAACAGTGCTTTTCAGGACAAAATTAGATGGATCTTGAGGTGATCATGCCAGATGAAATAATCCAGAAGGGGACAGGACACAGGCGATTTGACAGAGGGTCAGTGAAGTATGTGTACATATACTAGTATTAAAATGCACCCTGAAAAATGACAGCTATGTAAACAACTAACAAAATAATAAAACTTGAGGAGAAAACGTTTATTACTGTATATATGACAGCAGTCATTAATTCAAATCTGGGAAACAATCATTTAGGAAATCAAACATTCTGTAAATTTAATTTCATCTCCATATCCATTTCTTTTCTTTACAAGATCAAGTTTACTATTATTTCCACCCTCATTCTAATTTTAGAACTCACAATCTCAGAAGTGAAGATGGCTATGAAATTAGATATAAACATTAATGTAACATATTCTTATTGTGAATTAGATTTACCTTCAGTCTCTGCTTGGTACTGTCATGAATAGTTTTAAATTCTGGTCCATCACTGTTCGCCTACAAATAGTGAAGGATTAGACTTCACACAATGAAAATACATTTATTCTTTACCTTTTTTTTTTTAAGATTTATTTATTTATGCATACAAGATCTGGGGTACAGGCCAGAGACGCGGTGGGTGAGAGGATTCACCAGAGACAGAGTGGGGAGCAGAACAAGCAGACTGACTGAAATACACTGCTGAGGGGAGCAGCAGGCGAGTTCAGGAGAGGTCTGCCGTGCCATGTGGGTAGCTCCCTGGCTGAGGATCAAACTCGTGCTGCAGTGGCTGCGGACAGCTTCATAGGTTGCGTCCTAACCCCTTGCACCACCAGGGAGGCCCCTATTCTTTACTTTTCAAAGAATGCTATGAAAACACTATAAATGTAGTTCTTTTTTTTCTACCTCATTTTATTTTATTTATTTTTAATTATTTTTTTATTTTAACATTTACCATTTTTTACATTTTTTAGACAATATTTGTTTCCCCCCACCCCCTCAAATTGAGTCCCCATAGAATTTCCTTCCCCAAGGCACCCATGCACCATCACCACAGTCCCCTGCGCTCCTCTCTAGTGTACAATTCATTGTACACTCTCTCTCTCCCCTCTCCCTTCTCCTCCCCTGCAGTATATCTCTGGCTTATAATTGTCTGTTTTTGCTTTGTTGTGTTTTGTACTGTTATTGTTATTTTCTTTTTACACTGATTTCTTATTTGGTTCCCCTTATAAATGTTCTTAATGGCAAAGAAGAATATGGAAAAAAATGGCCACATGCATTTCTCACATTTGTAAAAGCAAAAACTCAAATTCTTTATCTGGGAGGAAATGCTAAAAGTAGGGGAAATGATAGTAAATCTAGATTACCACAAAATTGCTTCCAGTTATAATGGAACTTTGTATATTCCCACTCATTCAACAAAATAGAATAACTCAAAGGTTACCGAAATTATTCAGCATTGTTAGATACTTATATAATTCACTATAATTAACCATTTTTTGAAAAAAAAGTTGTAGGAATAAAAAGTGAAATATTAAATATGGGGGGTTATATAACTATATATTAAAATATTAGAAAATTCTAGAAATGAAACCAGATACCTTTGTCAATAACATTTTCAGAAGGGGTTCATCAGTTACATTAGAAGAGTTAATAATGTGCAGAGGCTCTCCTTTAGAATCTAAAAGAGAAAAAGAGAGAGTTGATCCATTGAGTCTCTTAAACGTTTCTAATATGTTTTAAAACAAACTAATCAGTTACACAAATTTATGTTTGTCAAAATTCAATGAATTGTACACTAAGAAGAATGAATTTTATTGTATATAAATTATACCTTAATGAAATTTGCTGTGGGGAAAAAAAAAGACTCCATAAAACAATATCCTGCAAGAGTCAATTGCACTCCTGTAATACATGGTACTATTGGTATTACTTATTTGAACAAATTACATAATGTAGTAAAGAACAAAGCTATAAAATAACTAAACTAGGAATTATTCTTCATACAAGTTTACTTAAAAATACCCCATGAAGTTCCTGCAAACTTTTAACATCCACAGCAACTTTAAAAATTGGTTTGGTAAAATTTAGAAAGTGAATTTGAAAGGGCAAGCATACTCACTCAACAATACCTTAGTATTTATTTGAGAGAAAATGATTGAGAACACAACACAAAATAATGTTGAATTTTTCCTCTCTACATTTTTGTATTGTTAAATTTTTATTTTCACAGTTATGTATTAATAACAAGTAAAAAACACTGATGTAACTAAACAATTAATTTTTAAAAAGCAAAATGTCATACTTCCTAGTAAATTAACTCACCTTTTCAAAAAGGGCATCTGGACTCTACACCTGGGTATTGTACTTGGATCCTGAGTGTGTAACATGTATCAGTTCTCGTGGCAGAGTTATAATAAAATGGAAATGTTTTACAAGTACTAAAGGTTTATGTATACATACTGATGGCATATACTTTACTTTTGTGATGTTATTCTATTTTGTGCTAAATTAATACATTTAAATATATTCTTACTTTATGATAAATAACTCATAAGATAAATTTAAATGTCAGATTTTTTTTTGCATAAGTGTACTAAATTTCAACTCAAAAACTAATCATAGTGACACCAACAAATATACTTAATGGTGACAAAATGGTAGGAATCACATGTCTATTACATGAATAATTTACACATACTATATAGTTGTACTTACCAGTGAACTCAAAGCATCGCATACTAATTTTTTTTAGGTAAGCTTCAGCAGTCAGATCGTAGGTTTTAACTCTAGCTTCCATTCCAAGCTGCAGGATATTTAATTCATGTAAAGGTCGTCCTCTCTTTTCTGCTTTTTTCATCAAAGTAATCACAACCTAGAAAAATGTAGCAGTATGACTACAAGCTATTTCACTAATAGACAATGAAGTCATGCCAATAATTTAACAATCATACAGCACAAAATAACAAAAAAAATTCTCACAATCTATAAAGATGCTTATTCTGTCTATTCCTGGAAATTGCCAAGTGTTACTTATTTTAAAAAGCACACTTTTGTTCAGACTTTTGAAGTACAGACACTATATATTAGTGGTTTTCAAGGTAAAATTTTAAAAAATAAAAAAAAAAATAAGATTCTTCCTTCTTCCCAGAAGTCCTAATCTGATGTATGGTCTTTCATCTAAAAGTCTTTAAGATCAATGTTCAACTCTATGATACTAAGGCAAGGCTTCTCAATACAGGCACCACTGATATTTTGGACTGGGTATCTCTTTATAGTAGGGAGCAGCCCTGTGCACTGTAGGAACTGTAGTAGCATCTCTGGCTTTCACCCTGTTTATCAGCAGTTTCCTCTTACCAGACAGTGATCACCAAAAATGTGGTCAAACAAAGTCAATGAAAGCCTGAGGAGATAATGCAAATTGCTTCCCCCATCCCAATCACTGTCCTAAGGGAAGGGAACTATAATAACATGCGTGGGCCTCCCCGATGGCGCAGCGGTTGAGCGCTGGGTTGCGAAGCTGCCCGCGGCCTCTGCGGCGCCGGTTCCATCCCCGGCTGCCTCCCGGCCACCGGAGGAGGGTCCCACATGGCGCGCAGACCTCTCCTGCCGCCCGCTGCTCCCCTCAGCAGTGTACTTCGGTCCTTCTGCCTGCTCTGCTCCCCGCTCTGGCTCTGGTGAATTCTCTCACCCTCCCGCGCTTCTGACTGTACCCAGTGCATGAAGAAAGAAAGAAAAGAAAGACAAGAAAGACAGAAAGACAGAAAGACAGAAAGACAGAAAGACAGAAAGACAGAAAGACAGAAAGACAGAAAGACAGAAAGACAGAAAGACAGAAAGACAGAAAGACAGAAAGACAGAAAGACAGAAAGACAGAAAGAAAACATGCCTCTATAAAAAAAAATAAATAAATAAAAAAAAATAAAATAAAATATAATAACATGCATGACAAATGGCACTGAAAAGGACTAATGGGTTTTCTATGTAATGGGTTAATGATGTCTATTTGCAAAATATTATTCATCAAATAGCTTTCAATTATCAAAACTTAAAAATCTTTAATAACTCTGATATTAAACCAGAAAAACACTGGAGGCTTAGCATGAAAGAAATTAGTTTCAAAGTATTTATTTCAGATGAAAAAACAAAACTGATTGTTTAAGTTTATTATTTTTAACTCAGAAAAAGCTTATAATAACCTCATACAAGGACTTAACGATGATAGGATTTTGTAGACAGAGCTTGCAAGTCCCTGTATCAAAATAAGCTCTCTCACAGATTCAGACCGCTTTACCTATTTCTCTTTTTAACCTGCCCCAGCCCCTTTTGCTTCCTCCAGGAAATCTTTCCTGACCCTCTCAGGCTATATAAGTACCTCTTCCCTACCATTATTGTCAGAACTTCCAGTTGTACCCTAGGGGCATACTTTAATGAGAACACTTAAAAATTTTTTAATTATTTTCTTATTTGAGTTCAGATTCTATGCCTTTTACCTCTGGATCCTTAGCACCTAGTACATGCAATGAATGAATATTTGCTCAATGTATGACTATAGAAAAGAAAAATCTACATACTCTCTTCTCAAGAATTAGCAACAGAAACAGATAGTGGTAAAAAATATTTTTAATAGACATACTGTGTTTTATTCTATAAAAAATTTATCAAGTTTGCAAAGGATTCCTTCATCATTGTTTCCTTTCCTGCCTTTCCTATATGAGATCCAAAGCAAGTCATATTCCATCTGTCCTGCAATCATTTGAAAAGCATGTTACAGGCCATGCTACAATGGAATATTATATCCCCCAAATATAACTCATCTTAGATAAACTCTCAAATTTTATATTACTGCTAGATGTAAGTAGTCTATATAATCTTTTTTAAAATCCATATCAATAATCTATAAATTTATTTTTATACAGTAATTCGAAATATCCATTATGTACTCACTTTATTTTACAAAAACAGATAAAAATTACATACCTCTTTGATTTCAAAATTCAGCAGAATATTAATGATATCTACAGATCTAATTTCTTCCACTCCAGCTGTTAAAGTACCTTGTGAATCAAGTATGTCTTGTGATGTAGAGACTTCCAGTAACTCTTTAATTTCACCTAAAGATGTTGAAAAGAAAAACATTCACTTCTATTTACATATTTCTTCCACAAATATTCACTTATCTTGCTAACTATTAGGTTCCTACCATGTCTATGGATTTTGAGCAACCCACAAAGCAAGGCAGCCACAGTTCCTATCCCGAAAAACCTGAAGTAGCCATCGGTGTCATCGGCATATTACAATCCCCACTGGGGAGGAACTGAACTGCCATTTCCTGAATTTATGATGTATGTATGTGTAATCATGTTCTATCCTCAGCACCTGCACAGATGCCCAATGCTACGCAGTGCTCCATCATCCAATTACCTAAGACTTCATTGCTCTACTTTTGCTCTTTCCCCTTTCTGATCTTCTACCAGGTAAGTATTCTTCGGACATCTACTTCCATGCCTTCATATGTCACAGGTAATTAAACTACTCTTTCTTCAACAAACTTGGGTCTGATCTATTGCTTAACACATCCAAATCTTAACCCCTTGAGTCTGGTAACAATTAGAAACCTTTATTTATGGCTCCTAACTTAAGCACTTTAGAAAAAAATCTATTCCTGTAACTGACTTTGGCTTAAAGGAAATCATTTCAACCTAAGTTTTTATTCAAAACCATCTTTTTTGTTTTCTTAATAACAAGTAACAATTTATAAATATGCATTTGTTTACTTCATTTTTATTAGTTGTCATCCTACTACCTTGTGAAACAGATACATGTCTAATTCCACCGAGTGTCAGTTCCTTACCTGTTGTTTGTTGTTTTGGTTTTACTTTACTCAAGTCTTCAGTAACTTCACCAAGATTTTCTGTCAGTATTTTAAATAGAAGATTAAGATCTTCTTGATTTAGACTAACCTGTGAAATATTAAGTTAAAAGAAAAGATACATATTTCACCTTAAAATGAAACAACTTTAATACAGAAAATAAATTTCTGGTAACAAAACAAGGAAGAAAAAAATCCTATCATTAACTGAAAAATTATATAATCACTGCCCACTCAAGTACTTCACTAATTATTTTTTTAAAGATTTATTTATTTATACAAGAACTGGGGTACAGGCCAGAGATGCACGAGGGTGAGAGAATTCACCAGACACAGAGCAGGGAGCAGAACAGGCAGAACCAAAAACACTGCTGAGGGGAGCAGCAGGCAAGGCAGGAGAGGTTTGCCATACCATGTGGCTATCTCCCTGACGGGCCAGGAATCGAAACCATGCTGCCAGGCTTCACAGTGCGGCACTCAACCCCACTGCACCACCAGGGAGGCCCTTACTAATAATTTGATGTTAAAACTTTCATTCTCAAAAATAAGAAAATGTTCAGAGGAAAAAAATGTAATTCATGATTCAACATTAGTTGTATTTACTCAATTACATTATCCTCACTAAAAGTCAGGAATGCTTAAAGAAATGTAATGTTTTTTTAAAGTGACAAATTCGGAAAACATAAATTTCACTTTTTAAACAATAAATATCAATGAAATAAGACTGTCTTCAATATAAAAAAATGGGTATTTCCCTCAATACTATAATTATCTTAGGAGTAATGAGCTAACTTAAAAGTAAGTGTGTATACAACATACAGGATGAGTCATATGACATGTTAATAATTTACATACAGATCTCTGCTAACATGTATGTATATAGCAAAATTAAAACTTAAATAACATTTTACTGAAGATCAAATTCTACTTAAATAATACCACATTATTTGAACTCAAACTGTGAATGTCTTCATTCTAAAATTTCAATAACAAAACTTTCTTTACTCATATACTTACATTCATTGACTCAAGATGTCCTTTAATTTCTACAACAGGCACCTTATGGTACCAAGATGCAGCCAGATTGCGATCTACAGAAAACTCCAAATTAATTGGGTGCAACAGTTGAATATCAGGATGGGAGATACCTGGCTGGATCACTGTCCTAGTGAAAAACATAATTGAGACATATATGCATAAACAACGGAGGGGAATGCAACATATTCAAAAAACACTGCTTTAAAGTTACTGCTTGAAGTGATTTGATTTAAAAAAATACCATGTGAGTGTCTTCTAATGTCAATCTATAATTAACTTAGTCTACAATTTGCTCTCAGGGACAGATTATACTAAGTGATATACAAATCAGCCATTAGGAAAATTTTTTCCTTCAATAGTAAATAGGTGACAATGGAATATTCAATTAAAATATTTCAAAATAAAAAATAAATTCAAAATAAATGTTGAATAAATATTAAAAAGAAATTCATGTTGTTGAAGACATAGAGGAAAGCATCACTGTTGTTCAAGGACTGATATGTCCTTGATACAGAGACTAAAGAAAAAAATGGCAAAATGGACAATTAGCATTTTCTTTTCTTTTTAAAAGATTTATTTATTTATGCATACAGGACTGAGGTACAGGCCAGAAGTGTAAGGGGTGAGAGGATTCACCAGAGATAGAGTGGGGAGCAGAACAGGCAGACTGACTGAAATATACGGCTGAGGGGAGCAGTGGGCGAGTCAGGAGAGGTCTGCTGTGCCATGTGGGTAGCTCCCTGGCCAGGGATCGAACTCATGTTGTAATGGCTGCAGATACCTTCATAGGTTGTGTCTTAACCCCTTGCGCCACCAGGGAGGCCCCACAATTAGCATTTTCTAATGAGTTTCATAAAGTTCTTTTTCTAGGAGTATTACTTTATAATCATTCCTTTTTAATTAAGGATAATGAAGTCCCTTTGAATGGTATTAAGTTACTTTAAAATGAATCATACATGCTTTCATTTGTAATCTAGAGCCTTATGAACACATCATTATTACACAGTATTTCTTCCCAAAATATGTAAGCTCAGTTAAATCATGAGGAATCACTGAGACAAAACCAAATTGGAAAATTACTAGACTACTCTTCAGAACTATCAGCATGATAAAAGCAAAGAAAAGCTGGAGAACTATCAGTACAGAATACACTCCCCCTTCCCTTAGCAGTATAGTATACAATTAAATGCCATTTGTGATCCTGGATCAAGGAAAAAATTACTATGATGGACATTCCTAGAACAACTGGCAAAATCTGAAATATTAACTGCATATTAGATCAATGTAAAATTTCCAGAATTCAACAATGGCATTGTACTTATGTAAGAGGACAAATATCCTTGTTCTTAAGAGATAATATGCTGAACAATTTAGGGGCAAAGGGTTAAGATGTCTGTTCTCAAAAGGTTTAGCAAAAATGTTTTAACTTCCAGCTATAAAATAAGTCCTGGGATATAATGTACAGCATGGTGAGTTGTAGAGATACTAGATGAGATCTTAAAAGTTCTCATTACAAGAAAAAAAAACATTTTTGTAAGTATGTACAGTGATGGATATTAACTACATTTACTGTAGTGATAATTTCAGATCATATACAAATATCCAACCACTTCCTTGTTACATGAAGCCTATACAATGTTACATGTAGCTTATATCACAATAAGAAATAAATTTAAAAGTTTTAAATGATAATACATATACAGACTTAAAGCAAATATAAACAATGGTGAATCAAGGAAAGCAACATAGGCACATTGATGGTACTATTTTTTCAATTTTCTAGAGGTTTGAAATTTTTTAAATAAAAAGTTCATCAAAAAAAGAATCTCACCCTCCTGCGCTTCTGACTATACCCAGTGCTTGTATAAATAAATAAATAAATAAATCTTAAAAAAGAAAAAAGAATCCTTAGTTATTTTTTAAAAAATAAAAATAAAAAAATAAACTGCTCTGATAAGAGGTTCAATGATAATAAAATTTCATGGAAAATATTAAATACATCAATAATTACTGAAAGACATACCTAGAAAGTTTAAGTGTTGTGAGCTGTACATCCATTCTATCAATTACTGGAGGGTTTAAGAAGTTTTCACCAGACACCAGGCTGAACTGATTTTGAACTCTGATTAACCCAAGATCTACCACTACCGCATTTGTGGAAACAGAAGACTGTGGTATAACTATTACTGGTGCTTTCAAATCAATATTGACAGAAACACGAAAACTCCTCTGAGCAAGATCTTTCACACTTGTGGCAGCTTTTTCTGCAGCCTGGGCAGTGGCAGTACTGAGAGCCTCTTTGGCTACCTGGAAATTGTTCAGGAAGCTCTGTGGACACAAAGTATAAAAGGAGAAAATCATACGGAAATCAGGTACTATATTAACAACATGATCTTTTTATGTATTATTTTTTTTCCTAATAGTTAACTTTCAGTTGAAGTCTATTTTTTCTAGAGTTAGGAAAGAATTATTAATTATCTACCTATACTTATTGATTACCCATCTATATTTATGAGTCAACGGACCAATGTTAATGTTATATGCTGAGGAAAAGAGAAAAAAAAATATTTTAACAGCCTTTGTACTTGAAAAGTTAGGTTTCATTATGTGATAGCAAAAATAATTCCAGATGTAACAGAAAGCATTAAAGAATTCATATTTCAACTGTTGAAGAGAGGTTTTGACTTCTACATTAATACATAAATTCAACCTATAATCAAGGCAACACACACTCTAAAATCCAAAGTTTATTAAGTATTAAATTCAAAGTTATTTAAGTATTTCTAGGTTGAAAATATGTAAACAGCAATTTTACCAGAAGTGACATGAGGAATTTATGAAGATAGACAATCTGAATACAGCCAACATTCAGTGACACCACACCATCCACTTTGGACATGTCAGTATAGGAATCCCCCTCGGTAGCATCTGGATACAAATCCAAGTTAAAACGAAAAACTTCATTTCCCATTATTGACACAGCCTGAAAAGCAGAGATTTGAATGTACTCTATCCAAGAAGATGGCAACAAGTAAAATCCCATTTAAAAAGGGTTTATATTTATAATTATTATAGAAATAAACATTTCTCTATCAAAATGTATTTAATTAATATTTTAAAAATAAACATATTTAAATGCAAAATCTCATATTTAATTTAAAAAAACTAAGTATTTACTACCACCTACCTTTTTATGAATTGTCTTAGGATCAACATCTGTGACAATAATGTTTTCCAGTCTAGCAAACAGTGACTGCTTTCTTGACTGAAGAGAAAGAGAGGAATCAAGGCCTGAAAAAAAATTTTATTACTATTATTTTTACAAATTTATTATAATAAGATCTTAATATATTTCTTTCCACTCATAATTTTCTTGTGTTTTTTTTAATTTATCAATGAACTTCTAATTAATAAATAAGTTGTGATATTAGGTACTTTTAGTTTTATAAACAATGACACCTATAAATTCATTAAAAAAAATTATGTGGACACATCTCCAAAGAACACATACAGGTAGCCAAAAAGCACATGAAAAGATGCTCATCATCTCTTATTATCAGAGAAATGCAAATTAAAACATACACACACACACAAGGGAATACTCAACTATAAAAAACAATGACATCTCGCCATCTGCAACAAATGGATGGATCTAGAGGATATTATGCTTAGTGAAATAAGTTAGAGAAAGAGCACCATGATTTTACTCATGTGGTTATACAAAGAAACAAATGGATGAACTAAATAAAATAAAAATAAACTTTTAGACTCTGAGACTAATTAGCGATTATCAGAAGGGAATGGGTAGGGAGGTTAGTAAATTGGGTAATGTGGTCAATTGTATGGTGATAGGCTAGGATCAGACCTTTAATAATGAACTTAATGTAGTGTATATGGGTATTAACTTTTAATGGTAAAACACCTGAAGCTTATATAATGTTACAATGCAGTGTTACTTCCACGAAAAATGAGATTTTCCTGAGGGAGAATGGGGGAGGGGGGAAGAAAGCATGCAAGGAGATTGCTTCCATGATGTTGTGGGAAGTAGTCTGTTCAGAAATGATTTCTTGAGTATCTTCAACATTTATGAATTAACACCATGTTTCAAATAAAGTATAAATTGCTTATAGAAAAAAAAATAATTATTTTAATTTTCAAACTTCCAAAAAAACTAAATCCAATGTAAATAAATTATCTTGGGAATTTAGTAAACCCTTCATACCTTATATCTAGCCATTGATATGGAAGCTATAAAAGTGTCATGAAGCAATTTCAGACTTAGTGATGCACTGCCAGTTGAGAAGAAACCAAGGGAAAAAAACTAGTGTCTTGTTTTTAAGTGCTTCAAGAATTTTATTAAACATAATCCTTATCTTTACCAGCTCACAATATGTTGGTAAAGAGTCAGCGAAAAAGCTAGATTTGTTTTGCTAGCTTTTGCATAAAAGAATAGGTTCATAGGTTTCATTATTTATTATAATATTGCTTTACATTTGTACCAAAATAAAGCTTAGTCATAGATCTTAATCTGAATTTTGGATTGACACTTATCCTAGCCCATCAGTAGCATCCCTTCGTTGATATTAGTATCCCTTTTTATCACCAAGACAACTCTTAGAGAGGTCCAAAACACTAGTATGTGTGGTTCAATTTGTTGGTCAGCTCCTGACCAACATCTACATTCCAAGGAGTTGAAAGAACATACTGTCCTATACCATGATAAAATAAAATGAACCAGTTTTCACAGTTCACAGTTTTTCACAGTTTTCTATTTGCATATTCTCTAGCACTGAAAAAAAAGACAGCACTTATCTTTTTAACATTTTTTAATACCATGAGAACTTTTACCTTGAATCTTGATTTCAGCAATATTGTTCTTCTCATCACAAACAATGATACAGAAAGCATTCAACTTGGCAAACAGCCTGAAGTCAATAATGTCACTATCTTTAGAGGATACAATCACTAAAAATAAAACAAGACAGCCCATCACAGTGAGATCCTGGTACTCTAAACTCTATTAAGATTTTTACCCTATATTAACTAACCCACAGTTTTGTTTTAAAATATTATAAAATCCTCAAATTCTTAAAGATTTCAAAAACTTTCTTGTTTTATATGTTCTATAGAGTTTGCACTTTTAATAGTGAGCTGTTTAATAATTTAAAAACAAGAAAAACAGCAAAAATAAATAAGGACACTGAAATAAGAATTCAAATGATAGCCTGTAGTCACATAGTTTAAATAGCAGCATCAGGATACGAACAAAATTCTTTCTGTTCCAAACTCTAGGCTCTTGACCAACTATTCCAGCATCCATACCCTCCTGTCTCAGGTCTTGATTTCTTTATAAGTAAAATGGAAAGGAAGACTAAACCTCTATGGGGCCCCTTCAGATGCCCAAAAAGAAGCAAACAGAGAGGTGAGGAACAGTTCAGTGTTAATAGAGGTCTTCTTCCCCTATTTCCCACAAAAGGCATCCACCACCACCACCACAAAGGTTAAGAATAAAAACAAGACATTTTTAAAAGAATATAAATTATATTTGCATTATATCAGTCACCTGATTATCATTTGGTTTGGTGAGAAGTATGGAAAATGGAATGTAATGACAGAACCACATGAGCTCTCTGATTCCCCAGATAGCTCTAGAATTCCGAAACCCTTCCTAACAAAAACCAAAAAAAAAAGTATTTTTCATACCTTTCTGCAGAGCTGAACTTTTTTGTTGCCTTTCAGTTGAAATTTGTATATCTTTGGTATCACTCATGTTTTGGTCACCTGATTGAATAATGGTCATCAGGAAATTAATAGAAGAGAGAAGAGCTTGGGTTTGTAGCAACAGATTTAAAGACGAAAAAGCCACCTAGAAATGGTTAAAGAAGAAAATGAGTTTCCTAGGTCAATTACACCAATAATCTCCACAATGGACCCAAAAGGCTTCCAGCTAGGCTTGCTTCACTGCCTTCCACAGCTTAGAAGGAAGGTAGAGAAGATTTGCAATCCAGACTCCTTAAATTGGCAACATATGGAGAGGAAATAAAACTTACACACTTCAGAAGCTCATTTGAGTATCAAAGTAACTTAACTGCCCCATTTCCCAAGCATAATTATCATGGAGCCTATAACCTGCTTGCCATGGCCATCACAATATTCAACATGCATATGATATTTTTTGGCTCTTTAATGGACTATTTATTATAATATAAAACACACAAGTTAGAACATGAAACTCCAGAATCAACATGTTATTACTATGTCAGAAATGATTTTATATGTGACATTCATAAGAATAAAATATTTTATTTTTTTAAAGATTTATTTATTTATGCATATTATAACTGGGGTACAGAGATGTGAGGGGTGAGAGGACCCACCAGAGACAGAGTGGGGAACAGAACAGGCAGACTGTGAAATACACTGCTGAAGGGAGGAGCAGGTGAGTCAGGAGAGGTCTGCTACACCATGTGGGCAGCTCTCTGGCTGGGGATCGAACTTGTGCTGCAGAGGCTGCAGATAGCTTCATAGGTTGCGTCTTAACCCCTTGCGCCACCAGGGAGGCCCTTTAAATATTTTATAGTACAATTATGACTGAGTTCTTAGTCATTAAAGAATTTTCCAAAACCATAATGGCCTTATCTTTTTTATTTTTTTAAATTAATTTGTGAGCTGTTTACATATCAATATAACTTTGGGGCTACATGTGTACATCTCCATACATGCACATGCTTCACACATCCTCCACCAAAACTCCCATGTCAATCCCCTATCCTTTCTCTTTCCCCTATCCTTTCCACTCTCCCTCCTAGTTCTATCATTTAAAAAGAAACAAAAATACATAACTTATTGGGGAAAAAAAGTACTACATTTTAAACATTGAATTCAGCAAGCTAAGATAACAATATAAATTACTTTCAAGAATATGTGGCTTTCTAATAGCAAATTAATTTTTAATATTTATTTAAAGAAAAGCATCTCTTACCTCAAAACACTAAGTAAACATTAAAATTACAGAAAGTTCAGAATATTCAACAGCTTCTCCTATGTCTGAAAAGTGTAATCTAAAACTCATCTCTCATTTTCTTTTTAATGTAACCTACAGCTACATTTTGCCTCTTCATCCTCTACATGACTATCTTGGCCCAGAAGTATTCAATATCTCTCCTTTTATTTCACATACTTTCTCAGTCCTGCATTAAATGATAGAACCGAGCTTGGGGTTTTTTTACAATTTTTTTAATTATGGTGTTATTGGTTTACAATAATACCTAGTGGTTTATTCAGAACCCAGTTGGCTCCTCTATAGCATTCCCTACTTTAGAAATAATTACAGTGTGATACAGTAAGTTAAAACAACAGAGCTAATATCTATGAGCTTAATTTAGGACTTATTCATCAAATAATCCATTCAATACTCCTCAATTGATACTGGAGACTTCCAAAGTAGGTTATTTTCAATATGACATGATTCTCTTAGAACTTCTTACCTTAAGTGTTTGTTCAGTTTTTTCAAAAGTAGTTTGAAAACTTGGTCCATTCTTATCAGCCTGAAAATAAAAAAAAGGAAAATAAAGAAGGAATTAATAAATCACTTAAGTTCTCTAGTTAATTCATATTATTATAACTGTATTTTTATACATTCTGTAACATTATTTTGAAGTTATATTCATATAACTTGCATAGTTATTGTAATAGTGCAATTATTCTCCTCTTAAAAGATGGGAAAGCATACAACATTCTGTTCTAGGATACTGCAGCTAGAAATCGTGATAACTCTTAAGTTTGGAAGGTTTAGAGGTCATTCAGTCCATACATAACCTAATTGCCTGAATTCCTTTATATAGTCTTTGGCAAATTTATTTCAGGATATCGCCAGGGAAAGAAAGCTCATTTTCTTACAAATTCAATTTTTAGAAAAACTTGATTTAATGAGATATTCCTATTGAACCAAAAATATACCTCCCCATTGTACCTACCCATTAGTTCAAGTTCTGTACCTAAAGAACTTACATAGTGAATTTAGTGTTTTATCTCTTATCAGAAGCTTCTGGCAAGGCCTGCTCCCCTGCCTCCCTGCTCCCACATTACTCTGTCACCTTCTTTATTAGAGAATCAATAAAATTATATTTCAACTTTTGTTCACTTGTCTATCTTCTTCCCAGTATAAAATGTCCTTGAGAATAGGGAATTTTTTTTTTAATCTCTGTATCCCAAGTGCCTAACAGAACATGACACATAAAAACACTAAATAAAAAGCTGTTCAATTATGTCAATTAACCAAAAAAAATAATTAATATTTCTGGGTTTTTGTTCTACTTTTTTTTATAACATTATATAAGTTACATGTGTACATCACTGAAAATCAACATATGTATATACTACATTGTTTACCACCAAAAATCCAATTCTGTCCTTCACCATAAAATCATCCTCTTTTTTCCAACTTACCTGTATCTCCTTTTGTCTCCCCTTTCTCCCTTCCTTTCTGGTAACCACTAATTAGTCTTATGGTCCAAAAGTTTAAAAATCAATTAATCTTGAGTGAAGCTAAATACCACAGATTCCTTCAGTGTTTCTCATATGATAAGTTTTTGAGTCCCTTCCTAATCCTGGCAGTTCTCTTCTGAACCTAATTCAATTTGTCTTTATACCTTTTGATGTAAGATACTCAGCCAAATGTCACTATTCAACGTAGGTAGTTGAATATGTCCCAGAAGACAGAAGTAGGATCTACTTTACCCCAGGTTTTGGGAAGCTTGGTGGCTTTGTAATAGTCCTAATCCTATACTTAAGTGAAATAGGAAAAAGATGTGAGTGGGAAGAGAAACAGCAAATATCCCTATGATTCAAACCTATAACATACACACATACAGAATCTTTAGTAATCTACCATCATCCTTTTTCTTCCCAGAGGTTACTTTGGAATATACAGTAAAAATATAAAGTCTATTGTCCTTACCTTAATAAACTCCACTTTTAAAAGATCTAATCCAGGTTTGTCAGAAGAGCTAATTAAGTAAAGAGGCTTCTTTTTGGATCCTACATTGAAGAAAAAGAAAAAAAGTACTCCAAATAAATTGCTCTTTTTTTAAGATTGGAATTTCCTAGATGTCACCTTCTTTAAAAAAAAAAAAATATATTAACTAGGCTTTAAAAGATTACCTGCATATATTTTCAATGTTACTAAATACTGAACACTATTAAAGAAATAAACCAATCCAAAATGTTAACTTACCTTTGGCATTCAACTTACTTAAAAGCATGCCTACTTATTTTTATTTGATTTTACATCTGTGTTCAAAATAATGAAAACTTCTCTATATATACACTTAAGGACACATATGCATTTGTAAGGCAGTAGAAAGACGACAGGTTCGAGAATCAGAATATATTAATTCTAGTTCATTTCGACCCTTACAAAAAGTTATTTAACTTCCACTTTCTCAGCTGTGTAACAAGGAAACTGAACTACAAAAATATTTTTTTTTTAAAGATTTATTTATTTATTTGTACAAGCGGAGAGCAGAACAGGTAGACTGATGAAGTACACTGCTGAGGGGAGCAGTGGGCGGCAGGAGAGGTCTGCGCGCCATGTGGGACCCTCATCTGGTGGCCGGAGATCGAACCTGTGCTGCAGAGGCTGCGGGCAGCTTCGCAACCCAGCGCTCAACCACTGCGCCACCGGGGAGGCCCCACAAAAATATTTATTAACAATTTGTTAAGCTCTAATATTCTATGAAAAAATATTTCATATATTACATATTTTTAACTCATTTCCCTCTGTTTAGACTAAGAAAAAAGGATTACATAGAAAATATTTTTTTCGGGCCTCCCCTGGTGGCGCAGCAGTTGAACACTGGGTTGTGAGGCTGCCCGCAGCCTCTGTCTGCAGAGCCAGTTCAATCCCTGGCCACTGGCGAGGGTCCCCCAACCCAAAAAAAAAAAAAAGAAAAAAAATTTTTTTCAAGGGAGGAGAAATGTTAATTTTTTTTTTCATTCAAAACAACAAGTATTACCAGATGTCCTCCATATCCTCAAGTGAATGTGCAAAGAAATTGTCTCCATAGGAGGAAGTGATTTATCCACCATTCTATTTTTTTGTATTTGCAGTTCTTTAATTCCGGCTTCTGAGATCTCAGAAGCAGTCCCAGTCCTAACATTCCCTATAGGTGAAAACCTAGCAAATCTGTTACATATATTCGTCCCCTCAAGTGTAAATTTCATCTTAACACAGTACTTATAAAAACAAAGACACAAAAAAATTGTTCTAAATTGAAGTTTATCTTAGTTTCAACAATTAACAAAAAACAGGCCTTCATACATGACTAAAACATTAGGCAAATATTAAGTTATTTTAATTACTATAGACTTATCCATTCCTTCATTTCTCAAAAATCTAATTACACACAACATGTATATTGAAATTAATAAAATATTAAAGCTTACACAAGAATGAATTTACCACCATTCTAATTTCTATAATTTGAGTCTGTGTCTGATATATGTACACTACTCAATAGAACAAACCTTTCTTTTATTTGTAAAACAGGAATAATATTTCTTGTATAAAGGAGATTTATATGAACTCTCCAAAGCAGTAGATCATAGTAGTTAAGTGTACAGTGAAGGGCCAAGGTTGCAGGATTTCAATCATGGTTCAGTCTACATACTAAAAGTATGATAAATTATATGACCAATTTATCTCTTAGTCTTCTCATATGTAAAACTGGAGATAAAAACACTGCTTACTTCATAGTACTGCTATAAAAATCAAATGAGTATTATTTGTATAATGCCTGAAATGGTGCCAGTTATTATTCATTATAAATATTATTATGTAAGTGAAAGCTATTACCTTGAATTTCATGGTAAGCCAAGCTGATTTTCTTTAAATACGACACTGCAATTAAATCATATGTTCTTACTGTGGCCTCTGTTCCTAGCTGAGTAACATTAAATACCAGAATTGTATCTTCTTCTTTCTGTTGTTTGGTAAATTCTAAAAGCACCTAAAAAAAATTAAGACAGAAAAAAGAAAAGGTGATAAATAGTTTGAATCATATTTAAAATAAAAAAACAATCCTTCTTCATATATATCATTGTGAGGATAATAGAAACTTGGCTCATACGTAGTTCTACTACCATAAATTTATTTACTATGAATGGAAATTATCATCTTAAATTCTATTACTAAGAATAAATTTGATCTACATAAAAATCATGATGAAACTTTATATTGACTATTGATTTACTTTCTAATTTAGTAAAAATAGGAACATATGCAATCTTTCTTAATATGGTTTAAATAAACCTGTATTTCAAAACAAAAATCATGACTGATGATATAAGAAACATTGCCATTTAAGTAAAAAGTAAACAAAAATGTTATTTTTATACTGCCAGTATTTAAATTTATTTTGGAAATGACAGCTAGTATATTTAGTCAATAAAAAATAAAAAAAACTTGTTAATTTTTATTTATTTATTTTTAAGATGTATTTATTTATTTATACAAGCACTGGGTACAGTCAGAAGCACAGGAGGTTGAGAGAATTTACCAGAGCCAGAACGGGGAAAGGAACAGGCAGACTGACGAAATACATTGCTGAGGGGAGCAGTGGGCGCGGCAGGAGAGGTCTGTCGCGCCATGTGGGACCCTTGCCGGTGTCCGGGGATCATACCAGCGTTGCAGAGGCTGCAGACAGTTCGCAGCCCAGCGCTCAACCACTGCACCACCAAAGAAGGCCCACTTGTTAATTTTTAAACATGCAAGTTCTTTGATATTCCATCTATTCCTCCCTTTAAATTTGAGAAGACTGGCAATTCTCCTGCCCACCTGTGACTATGCAGGTGCCTCTATTTTTCTTTCTCCTTTTCCTAATAAACCTGGTCTTTTAAAAAAATAAATAATAAATAATAAATAATAAATAAAAACTAACTGTTCAACACAAGTGATACTACGTCATCACTTCAGAGGAAATGATACTATAATGACTTCCAAAGTCAAAGAAAGCCATGAAACTTCCTCTTGAGAATGTTCACAATGGGACAAGCTAACTTCCATGTAAAAAGTTCAGGTATCCTAACATTGCCACGTTCTAGAGGTATTTCAGACAACAGGGTCATATGCGATCCCTGCCAACAGTCGGTATCAACTGCACACCAATAACTGAGTCCCTTGACATCCAGACCCTCTGAGACTTCAGGTCACCGTAGCTCCACTCACCACCTAACTGCCACCACCAAACTATGTGAGAGACCATATACAAAAAATGCCAATCTCAGCACTTCTAGAATTCCAAACCTACAAAATTATGAACAAAATAAATAGATGTTTTAAGCTACTACATTTTTGGGTAACTTGTTAGAAAGCAACAGTAAGACAACATTAGCAATGATATAATTATATATTTGAGAAAAAGGAGTGTCAATTGAAAAACAAAAGGAAACAAAGTAAGATATTCAATACAGAATGTATATACAAAATACATTTTAGATAAATCAATTACTCAAATGAAGTCATAAAATAAAATATAAAATCATGGATAAATATTTCCATAATGAAGAATTTTCTCAACATACACCAAAACTAAAAAATGAGGTAAATTTCACCACAGAACTATTTTAAACATCATCACAATGACCCAAAAAAGTCAAAATGGGAAAAGTATTTTAAACAGAATTTTTACCTGAGATGATTCTAATAGTTTATAACTTTTATAAGTGTGCTCTGCATTCAATGTTCAATAAAACATTTATTGGGCATTATTTACCATATATCAGGCCATGCCAGTCACTAAGGACAACAAAGTGACCAAGACAAGCAAAAAACTTGTCCTGACAAACTTCATGTGAGAGGGAGGACAGCATTTGAGCAAATATCTGAAGAAAATAAAGAATCAAGTCATGTAGGAAGAGAGAGTCCCAGAGTTTTTTTTTTAGCTTAACAGTAAAGATTTATTTATTTATGCATATAAGAACTGGGGTATAGGCCAGAGGTGCGGCAGGTGAGAGGATTCACCAGAGATAGAGGAGGGAACAGAACAGGCAGACTGACTGAAACAAACTGCTGAGGGGAGCAGTGGGTGAGACAGGAGAGGTTTGCCGTGCCATGTGGGTTAGCTCCCTGGCTGGGGATTGAACTTGTGCTGCAGTGGCTGCTGATAGCTTCATTGTGCTGTGACTTAACCCCTTGTACCACTAGGAGGCCCCTGAAAACAGGTTTCTAACCCTGAAAATAGGTTTCTAATTAAGAGTCTTAAACTCTTCCAGATTAGGTTGGCTATCATATCGATCATTAAGACCAATTTTCACAAAACAACACTTCATATTTTGGATGTGTTTGTGCATGTGAGACAGAGTATCACATTTTTCATATACTTAATGTTTGGGTCTAGTAACAAAATTGTATTTATTTATAGACAAAATAAATACATACCTCTTTAATTTCAAACTTCAGTAGAAGATTAATAAGCTCCTCATTTGGAGCCTCTACAACTTTTTTTGGTTCTGATCCCTTCATTGTTTTACCACTTTGTGTTTCTCCATCGTCTGCATCAAAATACTCATCATCAGACTCTAAAGGAAGAAAACATTCTTTGACTAGGAATAATGTCCACTAAAAACAGCAAAAAATACTGAAGATTAAATCCCTCAAAAGTAAAATTCATTTACTAGATATAATCTTCGTATTTAGAACCAGAATAAAATTTCAGTGTGTATTAAGTCCCACGGATAATCATACATAAAAATCATACTACCCTATTACTTTTTCCTTCAATAGCTCAAATTGTTTCTCACTTAGTTCTTTCACTCAATATTCAATAAAATATTTATGTCATGTATCAATCTGTACCAGCCACTAATTGCTATCACAACAGGACAGACATCATCTTTGTCATCATGAAGTTTACACTCTTCTTCAAAATTAAAAGACATCAATGATGTTAGAACTAGAGAAAAGGATCAGTTAGACAATAAATCTGAATAAGAAGAAATCAAAAAAACCATCCCTTTTATTATTGAAACAAAAAAAATCAAATATTTGGGAATAAATCTAACAAAAGAGGTAAAGGACCTATACAAAGAAAACTATAAAACACTGTTAAAAGAAATAGAAGAAGACACAAAGAAATGGAAAGACATCCCCTGCTCATGGATTGGAAGAATAAACATTATTAAAATGGCTATCCTACCAAAAGCAATATACAGATTCAATGCTATTCCAATCAAAATTTCAATGTCATTCTTCAAAGAAATAGAACAATTATTGATGAAATTCATATGGAATCACAAAAAACCCCGAATAGCCAAAGCTCTCCTGAAAAAAAAAGAAGGGAATGGAAGCATCACACTCCTAGACTTCAAACTGTACTACAAAGCCATAATCATCAAAACTGCATGGTATTGGAACAAGAACAGACATACAGACCAATGGAATCGAATAGAAAATCCAGAAATAAACCCACAGATTTATGGTCAACTAATCTTTGACAAAGGAGCAAAGGCTATGCATTGGAGCAAAGAAAGTTTGTTCAATAAATGGTGCTGGGAAAACTGGGTCGCTACATGCAAAGAATGAAGCTTGACCACTACCTCACACCATACACAAAAATCAACTCAAAATGGATTAAAGAACTAGACATAAGACCTGAAACCATAAAATATATAGAAGGAAATATAGGCGAAACACTACGTGATTTGCACATCAAAGACATCTTTACAGACACATCACCCAAAGCAGTGATAGTGAAGGCAAAGATAAACAGCTGGGACTACATCAAATTAAAGAGCTTCTGCACAGCAAAAGAGACAATAACAAAAACAAAGAAAAACCCTACCAACTGGGAGAACATTTTTGCACCCAACACTAATGATAAAGGACTGATCACAAAAATCTGCAAAGAGCTGATGAGACTCAGCAACAACAAAGAAAATAATCCAGTCCAAAAATGGGCAGAAGAGCTAAAAAGAAACTTCTCTGAAGAGGAAATGCAAATGGCCAACAGGCATATGAAAAAATGTTCAACATCACTTGTAATCAGGGAAATGCAAATCAAAACTACCATGAGATACCATCTTACACCAGTGAGAATGGCACATATTAAAAAAACTAGCAACAACAAATGTTGGCGAGGGTGTGGAGAAAAAGGAACTCTTCTGCACTGTTGGTGGGAGTGCAAACTGGTCCAGCCACTATGGAGAGCTGTGTGGAGATTTCTGGACCTACTAAACATAGAGCTTCCATATGATCCAGCAATTCCACTCCTAGGTATTTACCCAAAGGACACAGAAACATCAATTCCAAAGAACACCTGCACCCATATGTTTATAGCAGCACTATTTACAATAGCTAAGCTTTGGAAACAGCCCAAATGCCCAAAAATAGATGACTGGATCAAGAAGATGTGGTACATATACACCATGGAATATTACTCAGCATTCAAAAAAGATAAACACATGCAATTTGCAGCAACATGGATGGCGCTGGAAGGGATCATGCTCAGTGAAATAAGCCAGAAAGAAAAAGAAAAATACCGGATGGTCTCACTCATAGCAGGAATCTAGAAAACTTAAATAAGGGACCAGGAAAATGAATAACTATAAGAAAGTGAAAATCAAAATCAACAAAAAACTATGAAACAGAGACACTTTTGAGGGGTGGGGGGCGGGAGGGGAGGGATTGGGATCAGAATGGGGGGGTTGCAATTGTATGGGGAATATAAAAATAAAATTTATTATAAAAAAAAAAAGAAAGAAAAGGATCAGTTAGAGATTGGGAATGAGGAGGAGGGAAGTACATTATTTAGTATCCTAAACACAGTCAATCATAAAATCCTTTCATTCAAATGAAGAAATTTAGACTAAAAATAAAATAAGTGCTTCTAAATCTCACCGTTGGCTAGTAGTACAAATGGAACTAAAATTAGTAAATTACTATAATACTTTCAAAATTCCCTTGTTTTTTAAAAATTTTATTTCTATATACTAATTTACAGACTTGGAATAGTAAAGATCTTACTGTCCTTACCTGATTCTATTCCATTCAGCAACAGTGATGTACTAAGCAGACCTTTTGTCCTATCTGAAATAACAGGAATTGAAGACACCTAGCAAAGAATATGAGTGTTAGATACCAATTTAACAAAATTAAATGAATATAAATGAGGGAACTATTAGACAGGTAATAGAGAATAGATAGAAATGGAAAAACATATACATAATAAACAAATATGCCCCAAAAGTACATAATCAACTAACTAATGACTGGCTAGAGTTTACTAATTATTAAGATTACCACCCGCATTTGCAAGGGCATAACTACATTCTCAAGCAGGTAATCTATCATTGTTTGCCAATTAGTTACTGTCTACCACAATACTAACTGAGCATCTTTATTACGGGTTCCTGGAATATTGTTTCAATATTAACTGGCTCTCTCAAATTTCATTTGAAAATAAGTGGAAATCCATCATTTATTTTATGTTGTAAAGATCGATTCCAATTAAAGTGACCTAAACTTTTTAAGTCTAACATGTAAGAAAATTTTACACAAATAATTTTGTTTTATAACATTTTAAAGATTTTCATATCTAATTTTATTTAAAACACATTTCATAAATTTGAAAGACATTTTTTCCTTTATGTATTTTTAATCCCTTTGTTGCCCCAAACTGACTTTCAAACACCATTCTAAAACTGTAGTGAAAACAGGATATGATGCTTATTTATTCAATGCCATGTGCACTTCTGCACAGAATCAACAAAAACCTCAAAAATATTTAAGTAAGTGAAACTGGCCCTAAATAATACTGTAAAATAAAATAGTTCACAGAAAGATGAAAATAATTCACCATATATACAAATATAAAGAGATTTAATATTCTTAATTATATCTATTTACCGGTCTCTCTGGAGACTGTGCTGATTTCTGTGGCAATGGTACACTGTTAATCAAACATAGCACATCTTTCATCTTCTGGTCAGAAATTCTCACATGCATCAAAGGCAGCCCTCCTGATGCTTTAAATCTAAAAATTAAATAATTAACTGTAAGATTTAGAGTTTAGCTTCTTTGTAATGTGGAGAGGGGGACTATAGAAAAAACTACAATGTGATTTAATCCAATTAGATTAATTCCTCCTTTCCTAAGCATTGTTAGAGAATGGGAAGTTCTATGTAAATCAAGTTTCCAGATAATTTAAATGTATCCATCTTTAAAATGGAAGCATTTTAAGTGAACTAATTTACTTTTCAGCATAAGTGATTTAGTAGAGGTTTGCAGACATTTTTGTAATTTTTGTTTCTTAATTACTGACATATTATTTTACATCCTTGTTTGTTTTTTAACAATATAAGATTTCTCCCCTCAGGTGTGGTCACCATAATTCTCCCACCACCAACATGTGCATAGTCCAAACTTTCAAACAGTCTACTTTTTAAAGCCAAAAACACTATATACACATTAACTATTTCCTGGCATCAAAAATTTCTCGGTATAAATATCAAAGAGTACCTACTCCACACATTCTCTATTCCCTCACCTTGCTTAGCACCTGACATATTATATGTATACTTGTTTATTTTAACTCTGCTCTGATTAAAATATAAGCTCCATGAAGACAAATGCTTTACTCACTGCTAACTCACTTTTGTGCCTTCATTATTTGCTTACCTTTTGGCCAGCTTCTACTCTGCTTCCCTACTCAACATTAAACTCCCTAGTTTTGTCTCAAAAGCTTTGTGGCAGCTATTTGTTATTCATTGAGCTCTTTTGGGTTGCTAGTTATCTTTGGCTTCCTAAGTTGTGAACAACTTAAGTACATAGACAACTAGCCACTAAAGAATAATTTTCTACATAATACACAAATCCCTAATGTTCAAATGAGGCTATTTGACTGTTCCTACCTCAAAAGAGTGAAATTTCTAAAAAAGTACTCTATAAACTGAAATGCACCATAAAAATGTAAGATGCTTATAGATTATTTCTGAAACATTACATAAAACCAAAAGTATCACCATTAGAAGCACTTGTTTAACCTTTCCACACAAAATAACTAAAAACTGGACAAAATATGTGAAACAATGGTCTCCTTGACATCAGTCAACAAACGACAGTTGTAAGATGGGAAACAAATAAAGTCTTAGAAGTAGCCCAGCTTACTGACAGACAAGTTTCAAAATGTGCAGGTTGGAGCAAAGCACTATTTCAAGGGAAATTTAAAGCATAATGTGTATTAAAGGAGTCAAATCAATGGGCTAAGTTTACAACTCAAAAAGAAAGGAAAGAAAAGAAAATGAAACCCAAGTAATAAGCAGAAGAAAGTAGGTGATGATAAATATGGGAGTGGAAATCAAGGAAATAAAAAAGAAACATAACAGAGATAATCATTGATACCAAAAATGAGTCCTTTTTTATCTTTTTCTAACACTTATTTTCAAATAAGTGTATATAAATACAGAACAAAATACTTTCTGAACAAAAATTTTTAGCAAATACTACAGTACTTTAAAATAATAATAAATCGTTACCAAATGAAGTTATTCAGTAATGCAAGGTTGGTTTAACATCCATTTGCTAGTGTACCAATGAATTACAGATACATACAACATGACTGACTGACCACTCTCAAATTAATTATGTTGAGTGAAAGTAACCCAACAAAAAATGTATAATTCTATCTATATAAAATTCTAGAAAATCCTTACAAATCTATAGAGTCAGAAAACAAATCAATGTTGTCTAAGGATTGATAACATAGGATTTAACAGGCAGTGATGAAAGACAATACAAAGGAATACAAGATGTTTTAAGGATGATGAATATATTCATTATCTTGACTTTGGTGATTGTTTTGTGTGTGTGTCAAATTTATCAGGTAGTTTACTTTAAATAGATATTATGTATGAATGTCAATAATTCTTCAATAAGGCATTTTTTAAGAAGCATAAATGTATCACTTAAATTATCCACTTAAATTCAAAATTCAGTTTCTACTTTTCATTCCCTTAAATTATTCTCAAGGTTTTACACAGTTTAGAAATCTAAATAAATTGGTTTTTAAAGATTTCGTTAACACTGAATCTTGGATTTGATCCACTCAAAAATATATTTAACCAACTTTCATAGGAATTAAAAATACCAATTCTTCTGAAAGAAGAAAAGTGACATATATAATTCAAATATTTTCTTTAAAATGCCCTTCTGTCATATGGTATCATTTCTTTCTGTCCATCAGAAATCTAGCTTTGCTTTTTTAAAATCTGGTAAAGACAGAGATACAATGTTGATTTTATAGTATAAAGGAAATGCATACATTACCTGGCCATTCTAATGTCTTTTTCTACCATTGCCTTGGCCAACTCAACATGAATATCCATGGGTTGCAATATATGCATAGTTGATGGATGCTGAAATCGACACTTTTTCCAGTTTTCCTCTTAAAAAATAATGTTCAGTATTACATGACTCATTTTTATTTATTAAATGATTATTTTTAGATTATCAGGTATTATGTAGAAAGCTACTTTAACTTATTAGAAATAGTTAACAAACATGTTCAATGAATAAACAATTTTTACTTTTTTCAACATACAAGTGAAATAGCCTATTTGATTTTCAATATAGATTGACACAAGTCAAAGATCATAAAATTGAAAAATTACAAATATTTAGAGAATGTTTACAAAGGTAACATCTTGTATTTTAAAGCAAACGGCAAACATCCAGGAATTTATCGCCCTGATTTCAGAATTAGTGATGAAGGTCAGGAGTTGCAGTGGTAAAAGGGAGAAAATATAAATGACAGAGGAAAAAAAGAGCTTTGGAGTTCCCAAGTACAAATAGGAAATTAACACATAATTCCAAGCAAAATTACTTTTATGAAGAAAAACGTGTAATAAGGCCTTTTCTTCAAATATGAAGGTCTCTAACACACACTTTCCAATAACTAAAAGAATGCTACAAAGATCTTAACTGATGGCAATCACTGAACATATTTTATCATTTATAATTCAAATAATTATTATTAAGTATATATAAAAGAAAATTCCTATGGTATGCTTTCATGGTCCATGGTAGCTTTTCTCTTCAAAGAATTAACATGTTCCTAATATATAAAAACTAATTAAATATTAGTATGCAATATATAAAAACTAAGAGCATTATATATTTTAATAAATCTCATCATTCCAAGCAGAGTATACATTCTGTCTTTTCCAACAATGTCCTACCATGAAGTGGTACACTCCTGAGTATTTAGCAAAGACTGCTTTATAAACTAAAGAAATACAGAGAACAAGCAATCTTTACTTAAGTAGTGAAAAATACTAAAGTTTCTGGAAAGCAGTTAATTATCTTTAGAGTTTTAGGACTCTATAGTCCTCAGATATCTACAAAAGTAGATTTAATACTACTGGAATAAAGACTAGGCTAAAATAGCAAAATATTTCAAAATAAAGCAGCAAGATAAAAAAAAATTGAAATATCCTAAAAGCAATGGGACAAAGGAACTTGAACAAACTGTTCATTCTATTTTGTGTCCTAGGAAGTTTCATAGTCACATTATAAAAAAATAGGCAGTGACTAGACTTTTAGATTCAAATGGGGCTACATACCTAACAGTGAGATATTTACCTATATTTGTATCTATAACAATGATTTGCCACGAGGCTCCTATTGGGTTTTCTTAAGTAATACGTTTAATATGTTTAAAATGGTTGTCAACATGCAAACATATTCATGTATTTACCAAATATACTCAACACATTTTGAAATCCTAAAAATTGAGCAACAGTTTACCTGCTCTTGCAAAGAGTAGCTGCACACTTTTTATTTCAACATCAAACTTGTCATATGCCTTATCCATTATTTCTTCTAGAGATGAATTACTAGTCTTCTGCAAACCTTGATTTTTACTGTTAAGCTAAAATGGAGGGAAAGTTTCAATTTTTTTAACAGAAAAGTACATACATCTACATACTTAAGTTGTACTTTCTTAAACCTAACTATATAACTATTTTATATAATTTTCTGATAACTATTTGTAGATATTTTATTGGAAATATAATATTTTAGCATATATTTTTATTATATCTGGGTAAAGGAGTTCAGCACATTTGTATTTATTAGATCAGTTATACATTCATCCTCCTCAAATAAGCTGTCTAGACTTGCAATTCTTTCTGATCTCAAAAGTTACCGCCCTCTATGATTCCGCTCCCTTGCTACCTAGCCTACAATCCACCATGAAATATCATCTTCTGTTCCTTCTTTACCATAATAATCAGGTTCCTAGAGTTCAGATCCAATCAATCCAATCTCTACTTTCTTTTCCCTCTTGCTGAAAGAGCAAGAATCAATTCGGGACTGCATTTTTTTAAACCTTTACTTTTTCTCAGAGGTTTGTATTTCTAAGAGGTTTCACACCTAAAACCTTAGAGTTCTTTCACTCTATTAAATTGCTAACTGCGTATTAACAAACATATATTCACATGTGTATAATTTCCTATTGTCAAAATATATAAATTACAATTTATACTCCTGGAAACTCAGGAGTACTTGATAAGTACTTGTGCTTCTCTCCAATGAGAAAAAGATAGCAGTAATTCAGTCCTCAATGTAAAATCATCTACCATTACAGAAATTTTGAGGATTTTTATTTTGTTTACTTTTTTAATAGTCAAATTATTTATCTAAAAAGCTTAATCTAAGCTAGGTTTGACAAAATGTTAACAGGATATAAATTTTGGTCTAGTTTAAGAGAACTCTGGGTGAAAAACAGCAAACTATCAGTTAGCTACCAAACTGAGCAAAAATGGCTGCAGACACTAGTAATTCAAATATACCTACCCGAAATGTACCAAAATCCAAAATGAGAAGATCTGACTTTTCATGGTAGAAACCTGTCTTTGGGACTATTAAATAAGAAGGCTTTAGATTTATCCTTAAATCAAGGACTTTTCGAGTTTCAATAATATGTGTAAGTCCTAAAAGAAAAAACAGATTACATGGTCAGTTAAAATATATAATCCTATTATTAAAAACAAGAGTAAGAAATTCACTTAGAAAGTATTATAGAAGAGCATCATTTCTTCTCACAGGTTAGATTCTCATTTCAGTGTGTAAGGTGAAAATGCATATGGTCAATGACAATCATATCACATAGTACAGTAATCCCAATATAGCTAGTATTTTATCCAGAAATAAAGTAATTCATTATTTGTTACTTAAGCAACCACATAAAATAGTTTACATGAGTTCAGAAACCATACTGCAACAAAAGTATGTCTCTTTAAACACTATGTACAGACACAGTATAGCGAACCATTTAAAAACAGAGATGGAATGATGTTTTCCATGTCAAGTTCACTGGTAGGCAGATGTTCTTAAAGATAATGGCAGGCAGGTAATGAGGATGCCATTTTACTCTTTCTCACTTCGTTGAACAGGTAATTTGACTTAGAGTAAGCCATGTACACGCAAATACAATTCCACTGCTTATTATAGCCTCAATTGAAACCAAAAAAAAAAAATGCATTTGCACTATTTTAAACACAATATTTATATTAGAATAAATAAAATTTGAGAGTTTAGTTATTCTTACATAATATTTTTTTTTTACCTGTAGCTGTTTTCTCTTTAATTTCTTCCAGCTTCATCAATGTAGCTGATGTTATTTGCTCAAGATCTAACCCCTTATTAGATTGAAAGAATTCAACTACTGCATTGATGGTTTTCTGTAAAATGAGCAAGTTATAAAATATGAGCAAGTTATATATAGTACTTCCTATATTATAAATTTAAAGTTTCAACTAAAGTTTAAACAACTATAGCTATAAACTCAGCAAGTACTTCCAAAGATATTCTGCCTTACAACCCAAGTAAGTTTATGGTGAGATCACAAATGTGTGCAATTAAGGTGACCTTAAGTATGTTCTATGGTGGCATGTTGATTTAGTAACACACATTACTTGTAATTTTACTCCTGAATTAGCCAGAAGATGAAACTCCACTTTTCTATGCTAGATTGGATTCTCTTACATTTTGAAGTATAGCAAGATTATATAAAAATCTGTCTAGCCCTTATCTATACAAAAAATTGAAACTTAGAAATCAGTTTTGCAAGGTGAAATAAGTTCTGGAGACAATGTGAATGTATAATTTTAACACTAGTAAACTGTAACTTAAAAATCACTAATATAGTAAATTATATGTATTTTATTACAATTTAATTTCTTTTTAAATCAGAGAATACAATAAGTACTGCAATCTTTATATAATGTTTTCTACCCACACCATGAAGTCACTTCTATACTATGAAGTAAAAAGAAGTCCAGGATTTCAACAATAGGATGGGGGGGCCAAGAGCGATACAATGAGTAGAAGCCCATTCTACTGTCTAACTTGAAATAAGAGAACCTAAACAAAAAAATGGAGTCACAGATACAGAACTTGAGCCAACAATTTCACCAACATTTTTCATTTTTTCCTCACATGACAGTATTTGAAATTAATTCCAAAGTTCTCTGAATTGGTTCCAAATACAGAAGTATAAGGGAGAATAAATAAAAACAAACTGAAGTAGGAAGTCAGTATGTAACTATGGGGAGTAATTTGTACAGTAAGTACAGACTTTCTTATTAGTATATTTGATTTTTTTCATTTAACATAAGCATAGATAAGTGCACATCACAGTAGAAAAAAAATCTATACTATGTGAAAAATCAAAATTAACTGCTAAACACATACGCTTTTAAAACAAGAAAAAGGTGCTAGTAAATTTAGTTGTGAAATAAATGTTAAGAGTAAAATACAACAAATAAGAAAACACTATGTCAGAAGTATAGAGAGTTTAATAAAGATTAACTTTCCCCTTGTACTTACAGCATCATAGATAACTTCCACAGGCTGAGACTGAACAACCAGGGTCTGATCAGCAGTACTATTTTCTGGATTGGTTTCAAATTCAATTTTAAGCAAGGATGATGCAGTATCACCAATTGAAGCCACAAGTGATGGTACAATATCCTGCTGTCTCAGACCTGTTATATACCAGTGTTCTAATTTTGCTTCCACTCTACATTTGAGGAAAAAAGAAATTAACATAAATATGTTCCTTTGCAATGTATTGAGTTAAAATACAAACTTCTCTCTTACAAAACTCCTTTGAGAGTCAGAATAATGCTCACTACCCAGAGGTGAAGTCTAGACTCCGTGGTCTGGCATTCAGTTACCCAAATATCTGGATTTATTTGTTTTGTTTGTTCTTAACTCCTCCTCATCCACATGAAAAACCCACTTAGCCAACTCCAAAACACTGCAGAAGCTCTAATCACTGTTATATAAAAACAAGCTATACTAAACACTCCCCTACTTCATACATGCTTCTCTTACTCCTTTACATTCTGCAAGCCTAAGTCCTATCTCTCCTAGATCAAGTTATTTTTTTCCACAACTGAGCTTGCATAGCATTAAATATAAAATATTTAATTATACATTACCTTGTCACCATGAGCTCTCTAACATGTTATACAGTTCTTAAATTATTAACTTTTTATAAGTATTCTCTTATCAACTATAGCATAAACTTCTTGAAAACAGGAACTTATGTGTAGCTTTCAGAGTATCAAATCTATAAATTAAATAGTTATCTAATAAATATCTGTGAAGGAAAGAATGGAGGCTAGAACAAATGATGAGTTCCTTGTATAGCTCCCTAAATATACAGAATCAAGTAAGAAAAGACCATCCTAACATACAAAATGAAAAGTAACTAGAGAAGAACTATAATAAATCAAATTGTTTATACAAAATAATATTATATTTTCTGGTCTAAAGTAATACACAGAAATAAAAATTGAAATACTAAGTTTTAAAAAACTTACCTAAGTGCTTGTGCACCTGGTCGCTGAGATACTTGGGTGCCCAGGCCAATTATCTGAATTTTTAGTATTTCTGGAATATTTTTGTTTTCTCTTATTGTAACAGATGTGCTTACTAACTTCAATGTCATTATATGGGCAACATACTAAACAAACAAAAAAAATTAATGAAAATTATTAAAGTTTAAATGATTATTACTTTCCTCAGTAATTTCTTATTTAAATTTTTGAGTTATAAAGTGATCTAAAAGTATGGTAAATTTTGAAACAAAGGATGAGTAAAAAATAATAATGACTAAAAAAAAAATTAACAGGCAACTATAAGTCAGAGACATTCTACAGGGGATGGAGGGGAAAGGGGTCAAAACAAGGAAGAGAAGAGCACAAGCGGCTATGGTGATGGCGCAGGGGTAAACAGGTGCTGGAAATTTTACAGGGACTACTTCTGAGAAGAGAAAGCAAACATTGTACAAAAATAAACAATGATGTAAAATAAATAAATGAATACATTTTAAAAAATATATTTAAAAAGGTATGGTAAATTTTGGCACTATATGCTCACAATTAAAAAGTACATTAGAAAATTCAACAGAAAATTGCCAACTTACATAGGATATTTACAAAAAAAACTCAAAAATTCCTTTCTTTTTAGTTTTTGAGGTAATCTTGATAGTAGTTACACAGAAATTTCCTTTGTGAAGTGAAATAAGGAATACATTTTGGTTTTGCTCACTCTTTTATAAATGAGTTTTATTTAACAATAAAAAAAAAATTTTACAATAAAATTCTAACATTTAAGTCATTAATAAAGCAAGTACTTTTTATCAAATTATTCTTACATTCAATAAAGTAATTAAATCTAAACTTGGAAAGAATTTTAATTAGTAAGGCCATATTGGAAACATTTAAAAATATCAAAGTAGAAACAAATGATAGCATATTTTGATTATTTAAAAAATTAATGACCTGTTTAGCCTAACTCAAGACAAGACAGTAAAAAAAGACAAAATACCTCCTTGATCACCTAAATAACTACCTGCTTGGGTAAAGTTAGGTTGTAGGTGCTCTCACTATAACCAATAGCTGTAAAGAGCTTATCTTTTTCCTCTGAAGTCATAAGGTCATCAATAGCTACAAAGAAAAAAAAATGTTATATAAGAAATCAATGCTCCAGTTTTACAGATATAATCAAAATGTCAAATCAAACTAACAAGTGCTCTAAAATCAACATAAATAAATGGTAAGGCAAAATCAGCCAGATAATTTCCCCTGATGTATTACTTCCAATAGATTAAAAAAAAAGTATAATATACTTGTCTGCTTAGGTCAAAGAAAAGCAAAGAGATACTATTGAGGCAATTTAGCTCCTCAGCTAAGGATTTTAAAATTGCTTACTATTTTTAAATTGAATGAAATTTCATTAAATACATATGTGAAATATAATAACAAGGAATGCTAAGTATTGAGATTTCCAAATTTAAACTTTTTAAGTTCACACAATCTTTCTCAAATAAGTCAGTTTTATTTTACTTAGATAAACACAAAATGTTCCACGCTGATGTATTTGCTTATATGTCTAATAAAAACAGAGCTCCTTTTATCTCAAAATATTATGAAATAAAATTAGTGAACTGATTAAAACATTATAAAGTTTTTTTCTTAGCAGTATACAATAAATTGTCTGAGTTAGAACTTACTTTCAGGAATCAAAGATTCTTCATCTTTTTTCTTAGAGTCCTTCTTACCCCAAAACCCACTAAACCAGCCTCCACGTTTCTCGCCTGTATCAGTAGACTTTTTCCTTAATTTTTGACCAGACCGAATCACCTAAAAATTAAAAATTTAATTATAAGATACATACCCTCTTCCATTGCAGGTATAACCAGGTTAGAATATGGCAAAAAATATTTTCAGCACTATATAAGGTCAAAAAGTGAATAAAGCCAGTTCATTCTGTAAAGATGAATTTGGTTAGTGTAGTTCCACTATTACCTTAATTTACTTTCCATATCTACTCAGAGCATTTTGATGAGGCTACATTTCTTAAGGAATATAACAATATATATAACAAAGGTTTCAAGTGAAATTTTTCTGAGCAATGTATCCTTCAAATTTACAAGTTAAAGAGACACAAATTTTGTATATATAAAGAAAAGCTCTCTGAAAGAAATTGCTTCCACATTCTAAAGCATTAGTTTAAAATAGTATTTCACAATTCATATACATCACTGGCTTGCTAAATATGTATATAAAGGGAGAGAGGACAGAAAATAAATAAAAATACAAAATCCTTAAATCTCATTTCATCCTCTTTTTTCAATAAATCCTAACTATTTTCTCCTACTACTTGTCTTTGCCCATTTTTCAGTGAGATGTAGATAAATAACCAAAAACAGAGAAAACACCAGGCTAAAGAATAACAGTGGTTAAGTTATTCAGACTTTATATGCTCATTTCCTGAATAAGTAAACTTTAACAATTTTCCTACATAAAATTTAAAATATTTTAAAATGGTAGTAAAATTGGTAACATATCATAGGCCTCTGTACGTAACAAAAAATGAAATAATTCAAATGAGAAGTTAAAAGAAAAGAGTTGAATTCTAAAACAGAATCGGTTTAATTAATGACAGTTCAGTTTAAACCAAGTTAAATAAGTACTCTTTAGCAACTGGACATTAAATAATAGATGTTCATAATAAGGAATAGGTAGGTCTTCTTCTGCCCACAAAACTATCAAAGGTCTAAGTTACTCAGTCGCAACTATGTTTTGTCAAACTTACTTATCCATTTTCAGCAGTCAGAAATGTAATGGCTGAAATATGTGTCTATCCTAACTGCTTACATTCTATATGAGAAAACATTTAACTTATTCTCTTGGCATAAAAGATTAGTGTGCTATTTTAATTTTCATGAGTATAAGTTAGATAATTTATTTAACTTTTCTATGCCTGAATTCCCTAATCTAAATTGAAGATAAGAATAGTACCTCCCTCAAGTTAATGTTACACAGCAAATTACATCAAGAAAATGTTAGCTTAACTGTTTTCATTCACATCTAGTGATAGGATCCAGTTATACTTTCTATCACCATCACTAGATTACATATCTAGTGGTACTTTCTACTTTAAAATTTTTGTGAATACAAAGCTTCAGCAAAAGCACATCAATTTTTAGTCATCAATATTTTGCGTTCATTTCAGACTTAGTTAGGAACATTATTATTAATCTAAGTGCCTGCTATATGCCATTAGTTGTGTCCTATAATTACAGGACATTGTAAGGCTTGAAAGTTAAAAAGAAGAGACATTCAAAAAAAGAAACAAAATGAAAGTAAGAAAAATTTGAAAGTGGTTTCAAAAATGTCAAATGTAGCTTTCAGATACAGGCGACTAAGTTCAATAGAAGACATGAATCTTGAGGACAAAGAAATCATACAGCCTGTGAAAACGGCTCTACCATTCCAAAATAAGTGGTTATGAAAGAGCTAAATTTTATACATTATTGATTATTCAGGAGGCGACTTGGTTAGTGTTGGAGAATCTAAAAATTAAGCAAGGAGAAAACGTAAAACTTTTGTCATAGACATGGAACACACACACTCAGGCCTTGTTTAAATTTTCAAGTTAAAAATGAATGACAAATAAGCTGCAATGGACACCATCTACACAAGTCTCAAACTAACTCCTATATTATGCATAACAAAAATAGACCCAAACCAACATCCCAAATTTGAACTATTATCCACAAAAGGCAAGAAACAACTTAATATAAGAACTTAACCAGGTTATATACTAAGACAAAATACAGACATTTTCCAGAGCAGAACATGATCAAGAGTCTATAAAATATTCACAAGATCCAGGATAAAGCCAAAATTACTTGATGTGAAAAAAAAATTTAGAAAAATGTACCCAACATTCAAGGGAAAAAAATAATCAATAGATGCCAATGGTCACATAATCTAGATATGGAAACAGATAAGGAAAATACACTTAAAATTGCTTAAAAAGATCAGTATTTTTAGCACAGAAATGGAAACTATAAAAAGGAACTCTATAGGCATTTTGACCTGAAAATATAATTTATGATCTCAAAAGACTCCCCAGATGGGCTCAATACCAAAATGGAGATGACAGAGAAATAGTAAACTGGAAGATAGATGAATAGAAATAACCCAAACTGAAGAATAGAGAGAAAAAACACTAGAGAAAAAAATGAACAAAGCCTCAGGAAACCGTGGTATAAGAGCAAAAGGTCACATACAGTGCCTATGTATATATATACACTATGTAGATATTTGCTTTCTCTTTGAAAGTTTTCAAAGTTTTTGTTACAAAATTTAAAAAAAAATTTTTTTTAAAGATTTATTTTATTTATTTATACAAGCACTGGGCGCAGTCAGAAGCGCACGGGAGGGTGAGAGAATTCACCAGAGCCAGAGTGGGGAGCAGAACAGGCAGAAGGACCGAAGTACATGCTGAGGGGAGCAGTGGGCGGCAGGAGAGGTCTGCGCACCATGTGGGACCCTCGCCGGTGGCCGGGGAGCAGCTGGGGATCGAACCGGTGCTGCAGAGGCTGCGGACAGCTTCGCAGCCCAGCGCTCAACCACTGTGCCACCAGGGGAGGTCCAAAATTTAAAAATTTTTTTCAACTTTATGTTAAGTGTTTTTTCCCCAAATATTCTAATTTGTTTTCACCTAATACAAATTAACCTATGAAAATTCAACTTTTATTCTCACCTGAATAAATTTACCAATTTCACATGAAACTTAAATTTCTTGATCCTTGATTTAAAAGAGTGGTATTAAGATGTTTAGAACAAAAAAAATCAGTAAATAAAAATGATTACCTCAACTTGTGCTTGTTGCCTTGCTAAAATTATGTTGAAGACATCTAGAGCCTTCTCCAAGTCCTACAAAACAAAGAGAGGTTTGTAATGAAGGAAAATGGCGTTAGATTAAAAAACTATTTTTTTCCAATTTCTAGGCTTATCTACATAAACAGTACTTGTGGTCTAATAAAAGTATAAGTATAAATTAGAATGTCCATTTAGGTTTCACATTTTTTAAAAATGTTTGCAATAAAAGGAAATGTATTCCAAGAAAGTAAATCCTCATTAAATATAATATGAAAATAAGAATTTTAATAAGACCATTACAATATACAGTCATATATGCAAATGGAAACAAGAATATTTGTTTTAGACATTATCTTTGAGGTTGTCATTCTAACTCTCTCCATTCTAACTCTATTATTTTACAGCCATTGTACTAAAAATATCAATAAAAAACACAAATTTAAGAATATAAAATTCTGCAAATCAACAAGCTAGCTAAAGTAGACACTGATTTGGGGAATTTATAAATATAAAAATAAGAAGAGTGTAAGATGTACTGGGTGCCCTATGTGTCAGGTGGTCTATATACAATCTCATGCAATTGTCACAAATCTGTAAGACAGATACTGTTTCCATTTTATACATGAGAACACAAGACCTGAGACACTGAGAAACTTGATGCTTTTGATAATATATAATACAGTGATTTTCACTGACTTCAGAAAAAAAGGAATTTAATTAATCCTTCATATTACAAAACAGTGGCAGAAATAGTTACATAACCTATGTTCGTATTAAGCAAATTATGTATTCAATGTGTGTTTTGCTATATTTCAAAGAGGGTTTAAGAACTCTGATCTTAAAGAGGAATACCGCTTTTTATTACAAATAATACTTTGTGAACTCTTAAAAAAAGTCAAATAAGACAAAGCAAAAAAAATACATCTAGCTAATAATAAGCATGAATTTGTACAGTTCTGAGTGATTTCCTAAACATTATCGTAAGAACCAAACACCTCTCTCCAATGTACAGTAATTTTATTTTATATGATGCTAAGATAGGGGAAAAAGGTTTAAGAAGAGAAAAAATCTGAGAAAAATTACTCTGCAATTTCCTACATAATTCTCTCAAAAAAGAGATCATTCTGTTCTTTCTAAAAGCCTATTTTAATTCAAATCACATGTAGAAGAACCAACATTAAAGGATCATTTAACTAATAATAGCTTTCACTAATAATATGCAAACTGTACCTGAATTTGTTTCTGTAATTCTTCTGATACTTTAGCCTGGGTTAATTTGTTTTTGTAGGCATTTTTATAATTCTTAAGTAACTGCCGGTGCTTTCTTATATTGCTCCATGACCACATCTGTGTATATCGTCTTATATGAACTTCCAGAACAGAATCAATTGCATATTTCCACCTGCAAATCAAATTTTGTTAATGCACACTTATTTATTTATTTGTTTGTTTGTTTAAAACGTTTTGTGTGTGTAAAAGAACTGGGGTGTAGGCCACAGGTGCTGGGGTTGGGCGGATTCACCAGAGTAAAGAGCAGAACAGGCAGATTTACTGAAATACACTGCTAAGGGGAACAGGGGGCGAGACAGGAAATGTCTGTTGCATCACATATGGGTAAGCTCCCTGGCCTGCCTGGGGACAGAACTCAGGCCCAGTGGTGACAGTGCTGAAACTAAACCCCTAGGCCACCTGGGAGGGCCCTGTTAATACACATTTAAATTAAAAAGAAAACAGTTTTTTCTAATAACTTTTGGACATTTTTGGTCTTATTAGCAGTTTTCTTGTAACAGCTCAGCAGTAACATTTGAATTCCCCAATATAATTATCTGACTTAAGTATAATAGATTATGATGAAACCTTTTCATAATAGATTATGATGAAACCCCTTCAGGAAGAGAGTATGCCGAGGCAAAAACACAGAAGCACAAATGATGTTATATGAAATTAATAATACTCCAATATGATTAAAATACTGAGTTCAACTGAGTGTCCAAAGAGTAGTAAAACCAAAAAAAAAAAAAAAAACAAAAAAAAACTGTTGAAAGTCTTGAATGCTAAATTAAGAATTTGAGAATAATCTAGGAGCTTGAATACAAAAGAATGCGTTCATGAAAAATTAACAAGGACATTTAAAAGATATCCCTCTTTGGTGTGTTAAATGAAAAAGTGTCTTTATTATATAGCTTTAAATGTCTCTTAACTCTGAGAGTCCCCCCTAACTATAAGACATGTTTCTATTTTTAAAAAAATACTAACTTACCATTGTCGACTATTGGTATGAAGTGGTAAATAAGGCTTATATTTCCTGTAAGGGGCATTTCTAACCATATAATCCACTGATTCCAAAAGGTCAATCATACTTAAGTACTATCAAAACAAGAACAAACTGCATTTATTACACTGTACACATGAATAAACACCAAATTTTATTATATTTTCATTCTAGTAAGACTCCAAATTTCCCGACATTAAATAACATAGATGTATGGTAATGCAATACATTTCATCATTTAAAACATCAATTGTAAGTTGTGATATAATTTTTAGGTTTTACTACAAAAGAAAACAGTACTTCCAATTTAACTATCACACCACTAGTAATAATATACATCCTATTTTCAGATACATTAATATGTGAAATAAATGTACATTTTAGAAACAATGGAATATGCTACCAACTACTGACAGGTTACTAAAACTATGTATTTTGATTTGGAACATCTTTTCAGCAGTAGTTATCTCCAAACTACTCCAGAAATTATTACATACTAAAGCAAAACAGAGTTATTTAAAGACCCATCTAGTTACCATCACAGCAACTCTGTGTATCTGATAAATAGCTCAACTGGAAAGAAACATATACACACACAAATAACATGACTCTAGACAAAACAAAGAAGGGAAGTTGACTTCATCCACTATGCTTCTTAAAGTAATTCTATGTAAAGGTTCCATGTGGTTATTCAGCACTTAAAATGTGGATTGTCTGAACCTAAATATAAGTGTAAAATATATCTTAGATTTCAAATACTTAAGGAAAGAGAAATAATGTAAAATATCTTTCCATGTTGACTACATGTTAAAATGGTAACATTCTGGATATGTTAGATTAAATAAAACACATTATTTTAACAAGTTCATCTTTTCTTTTTCCTTTGCTAATGTAGCTACTGGAAAATTTAAAAATCACATACGATTTGCATTATATTTTTATTGGACTGCCCTAGACTAAAAGCCCAATTAGCTAAATCCCCTGTCCTCCTTTCGCTTTCAGTTCTCCAGGTCTAGTCTCCAAACTCTCTGGGCATACTACAGAGTTTGAGAAACAATTGAAGGGAAAGAGCTGTTAAAATAGTTTATATGAAAATTAAGTAAATAATAAGTGCATATCTACTATTAAACACTGAGGAAAGAAAAATACATTAAACCCCTCCATCAAAAAATGGGAATTAAATGGGAATATTATTCACTACAAAGTGACTCTCTACTAAGGAAATTTCTTAAATTTTAAATTTATTTTGTTAAAAATACATATTTTTAAATATACTTGAGCACTATTAAAACTATTTTTCTTTTTTTTTTTTTAATGAGTCAAATCTTAACATAACAAACCACAAAAACTATTAATACCAGAACACTGGAGAAGGAATAATCACAAAGGACAAAAGCAGTCAGGATTCAAAACTAATCAAAGTTAGAAATGTCCAAGAAAATCTTACCTGAGGTTTGGTCAGTTCAATGGCAATATTTTGTACTTCTATATTCCAGTCAAGCTTAGGTGTTTTGAGTTCTGTTTCTGCGTAAGGATTCATGTAGAGTTTTGCAGAGGCTGAAATTGGCTGGAAAACTTTTATCACATGGGAAAATATAAGTGATATGTTTACATACTCTTACATATGAACAATTGTAAGTAATTATGAGACTACTGTAACTCTGAAAGTAAAAAAATATAATTAAAAATATGTAGAAAAAATGTAAAAACCAAAATTCACTACCCAAAAAATATTTATCTATCTGGTAGTCTGCATTCAGCCAACTGTCAATCTCAATAAAGCAGAATCTCCAAGAAGGAAATTAGAATCTTATATTTCTAAATGAGAAATGCACAAAATATAGACAAATCTACCCTAAATTAGGTTTATCTTTCTTGCTATAAGACATTTAATGATTTTACTTTTCATTAAAAATAATCATACTAGAGAGAAAACAAAACTGTATTGATTTCTATCTTAATCACTGGCAGAATTCAGGAACAGAATCATAAATGAAATTCAAATTACCCAGAAAATAAACTGCTTACTAATACACAATTCTGAAAATGATCATTACATGTATAACTTAGAATCAACCAAAGAAAATATTCTTAAAGTTGACAGGTAGCATGAAAAGATGTATTAGGGAAATGATAAGGCAAAGTAACAAGATAAATTTTAACTTTGAATAGCATGAAAATTATATAAATTATGCCATCCTACAGTATGTATAATTTATATAAGATTATATGAAAATTTAACTTATTTAGAGGCTATTTATAAGTAGAAAATGCCTAAGAATGAAGTACATTTCCCCGAACTATTTCTTCCACCACCAAACTGAATGCTTAATTAAACTGAAATCAATGAAACTAAGTGCTTCCCAAGCTAGCAGTATCTGAAAAATGTCACCGTTAAATAGAGGGGTCTATGAATATAAAGAGAAAATGGCAACTTTCATATAAAGGCAATTAGCTAAAAAAGAATATGAGAAAGCAATGAACCAGAAGAATGTGGAATATGGAAGAACATGGGAATGAAATCTGAGAAAAAATACAGAGGGATATATTAAATAAAAACAAGCAAACAGCTTTTCAAGAAGGGAACAGAAATGGAGAAAACAGGTAAGATAAATAAATAAGCGGGCAATTTTGTCAGAGATCTACTTAAGAGTAAATAAAGGTGAGGCTGCCAAGAAATTGAAAAGTTTACTCATAAAGTCTCTAGTGCTCAGTTAAAGTTTCAACACTGCAATAGTGACTTGTGAGGGGTGACCTAAATAGCCAGATCTCAGCGGTTTATTTAAAAAAAAAAAAAAAAAAAAGAAATGATGAAAAACTAACTCCTAAAATAAAGAAGGGACCTCCCTGGTGGCACAAGGGGTTAAGATGCAACCTATGAAGCTATCCGCAGCCAATACAGCATGAGTTCGATCCCCAAGCAGGGAACCACACACATGGTGCAGCAGACCTCTCCTGACTTGCCAGCTGCTCCCCTCAGCAGTGTATTTCAATCTGCCTGTTCTGTTTCCCACTCTTTCTCTGGTGAATCCTCTCACCCCCCCACACTTCTAGCCTGTATTCCGGTTCCTGTATGCATAAATAAAACTTTAAAAAAAAAAAAGCATTAAATTAAATTAAATTAAATTAAAATAAAATAAAGAAGATGAAAATAAAGTAAAAAGGAAACATGGAGATCAAGGATGGTTAACTTTTGGGGTAACTACAATCACATAGCCCTTCTCTCATTACTCTCCAGCAGTGTACATGGTATAATCTATTCCTAATTAACTAGCTATAATCCAAATATGCTGTATCATAAAATAAAGTATAAAATTAGTATTTTCTTCAAAAAAGATAAACACATGCAATTTGCAGCAACATGGATGGCGCTGGAAGGGATCATGCTCAGCGAAATAAGCCAAAAAGAAAAAGAAAAATACCAGATGGTCTCACTCATAGCAGGAATCTAGAAAACTTAAATAAGGGACCAGGAAAATGAATATAAGAAAGTGAAAATCAAAATCAACAAAAAACTATGAACCAGAGACACTTTTTGGGGGGTGGGGGGCGGGAGGGGAAGGATTGGGGTCAGAATGGGGCGTTTGCAATTGTATGGGGGAATATAAAAATAAAATTTATTATTTAAAAAAAAAATTAGTATTTTCTCTTTGTCAGAATAACTTTATCTATAAAATATATTAAAGCATGTAATTCCTACGACAAATAAATATTTACCATTACTTACTATATTGATGGTCTAGAGATACATTGCTACTTTTAAGTATTTCACTTTTGAGCTGATCCTAAACAAGGAATAGGAATTACATAAGAATGAAAAAGAAAACACAAATATTCAGTCACACTACAAAATAAAACCTTGACTCTGAAACCAGTATCTTTAGTCCCTTCTTTGTAATAGTCCACAAGAACACACTCAGCATTTTTTGTAGGTATTATTTTTTTAGAATAAAATAAAGAAGTAAATAATTTTTCAGTTTTAAGTATCTAGAAACAGAATTATAAAATTGTGTTTCCCCTCTGATTTATACACAGATATGTGTGTAAATGTATTTATGTGTGTGTACATACACACACGGATTTCAAACACTTTATAGACAAAGGCAAATTATTTGTTCCCTTAGCTTTCTGTGAAATAAGACAATATTTTGGAATTAATCAGTTCAGAAAATTAATTATTCTTCCTTTATCTGAGTAAATATTATTAACACTAGCTGAGAACACAGAATTTTGAATTAATCTCTCACTATACAGGAAATCATCACAAATTCTTAAAACATTTGCTGAGGTTATATCCTTTGGATCTGAAAAGTATCATCTTTCTATAAAAAACTCTTCAAATAATCACTCTCCTATGAAATACCACAATGTAACACAATGACAACCATTCATATAAGAGTGTAAAAAAACTTAAGCATAGTTTTAATTTAATAGGCTAGGTTTCTCATCTCACTGTCAAGGGAATGATTGCACAAAGGTCTTCAAAAAAAAAGACACAGGACAGATTTCAAATACTGTGTTTCACAGTTCTGATTTAGTTACACACAACCTAAACAAATGTCTGACATCCTGTCCTCATTAAGGACCTCGTATGTTAAACAAATGTAGGGAGCATTGTCTTGCAGGTGGAAAGTGAAATTACCAAGATCTGTTCCCGTGATCCCTGGTAAGACATGCTGCAGTTTACATTCCAGTACGCGCTAAGACTATCAAGTCGTATAAGCTATAAAAGAAAAATGGAATAAGTGAGGCAATTAGCAGATTGAGATTATGAAACCATATGCTCACATTCACTCCTCCAAAATAATCCAACCACCATTTTGAGCTTTCAAAGAAAAGAAATAATGCAAAAATGGGGGGTGGGGGACTGGAGCGTAAATATATTCATGTTTTTCATAGACTTTATTATTAATTTAGCATTTGGTAAGTCATGCTTTCAGGAACACTATTTCCAGGGGATTTATTCACTCAATTATTAAATATTTATTGAGAATTTAGTACTGAACAAACACTGTAAATGTTTTGCTAAATAAGAAAGACATGACCAAATTGTATGAATGACCGTTTCCAGGGAGGAGTAAGGGGAAAGGAGTCTATATATAAATATAGCCTCTTGAAGGTTCACAATATTTATTAACATACTTAAATTACTGGGAAGTTCTACAGTTTAAAATATAATGAAACATACCTGTTTAACTGAGTAGAGCTTATTACTTTTATTTGACCTTATTATAAATAAGCTTAGTACCTTATTTATTTGACCTCTTATTTTACCTTACTTATTTATGTGAGCATAAGCATTACCTTATGCTCCATAAAATACAACATGGGAAATAATTTTATCCAGTTTCTTTACCTCCGTGGTGAAGATCCTAAACCTCAAAATAGGTAAGTGATTACAGAATATTACATAGTAAATAGCAGAGCAAAAACTACATTCTAGACTTTTAACTCATACTCCAATGGCATATTTTGCCTCATCAAAGTTTTTTCAAGAAAAAATATTAACAAGAATTTTTCAATCTAGTCTAATACCTTGTATATAATTTTCTCCGTTTCATTTAATATGCATGGTGTCCAGTGTTCATTTGTAGTCTAAAAGAAAAACAGGAAAACTGTGAAAAATATATATATACACATATATATGTATATATGTCACAAAACAATACTCTAATATCTGTTATCTGTACCAAAATAACTTAGGAAGAAAAGCCATTCAGCTAACATGAGCTACTGCAAATTTACTGAATGATGATGTGTCTGAGCTGTGAAAAGAACTGGATATGAATAAAAACTGAAAGTTAAGCTATGAACTATTGGAAAGGGTCATATTCCTTAAAAAAGAACAAATAAGTATTGAAAAGGAGGGAAAAAAACAGGAGCCATGTTACTATGAAGTCAAAATGGACAAAAATGCTAAATGCTACCCTGAGATAAACTGAATTTATAAGCAGCCAGAGTACTACTGATTAACTTGTTAAGAACAGTTTCATGGAATATTAGTCAGAGGACAGTGAGAAGGAAGCAGGGAAATAAAAATAGCAAAGGTAGAAAAATTCCTTCAGAAAGTTTAGTAAGAAAGAGCAAAGGAAAGCACTCTTTAAATGAGGCTTCAATGAGATGGGAGAAAGGAGAGGCTTTTAAATTTTTTGTAAAGAGAATTAAATGTCTTTAAATGCTTACAAGAACGGGGAAGTGGGAAGGAGGAGAGTTGAAGATTTAGGAAAGTCAGAAACAGGTGGAAAGAACAAAGAAAAAGATGGGCAGGATGGGGAGAAAATGCTCTTGAGGACACAGGGGAGAACAGGATCCAGATCAGAGGTATGAAGATTGCCATAGATGTAAAAGTCAGATTGTAATACCACCAACAGCATATGAGGGCTCCTTTATCTGCACATCCCTGCTAACATGTATTGTTTCTGGGCTTTTTGATATGGGCCATTCTCACAAGTGTCAGGTGGTATCTCACTGTAGTTTTGATTTACATTTCCCTGATGATGAGCATTTTTACACATGCTTGTGGGCCATCTCTATTGTAACTTGGACATCAGCCTTGTCAGATATGTGACAGACAAATATTTTCTCCCATTCAGTCAAGTGTATTTTTGTTTTAATGACAGTTTATTTTTGCTGTGCAAAAGCTTTTTAGTCTGGTGTGGTTCCATTTGTTTATATTCGCCTATTTTGCCACTAGAAACGAGTTCACAAAGACATCACTGAAACCAGTGTCATGGAGTATTTTGCCTATGTTTTCTTCAATGTACTTTATGGTCTGGGGGCTTATATCCATGACTTTAATTCATTTTGAGTTAATTTTTGTGTAAGGTGTTAGATAGTAATGTAGTTTCATTCTTTCGCAAAGGTTGTCCAGTTTTCCCAATACTACTTGTTGAAGAGATGCTCCTTACTCCATTGTATAGTCTTGACTCCTTTGTCATAGACTAACTGTCCAAATATGTGTGCATTTATTTCTGGACTATCAATTCTAATCAATTAGGCTGTGTGTCCCATTTAAATGCATAGCTTTTATAAATCTACCATGTGGTCAAGCAATTCTACTCATAAGTAACCCAAAAATGCAAAAGCACTAATTCTAAAAGATACATGCACTCTTATGTTCACTGCAGCACTATTTACAATAGACAAGTTATGGGAATAACCTTAGTGCCCAATGACATAAAACTGGATTAAGAAGATGTGGTGTATATACACAAGGAAATACTTGTGTATATACATGTATATACATAAGTGATAATAAAGTGAACTTGCCAATTGTGACAGTATAAATGGAACTGGAGGGGATAATGCTAAGCAAAATAAGTTAGACGGGAGAAGACAAATATTGCATGGTTTCACTGATACTTGGAATATAAATAAATAAAACAGAGGGCCAATCAAAACCTATCCAGTAACAAACATCAGGAATCTGTCTGTGTAATTAAGGTTACCAGAGCAGGAGAGGGAAGGTGAAGAGCTAAGTAGGGAAGGGGTCCAATGGACTGATGGAATATAGATACCTTAGTGGTAAACCGGTATGGTGACATGTACCTGAGGAAGTGTGATCCTATGCCTTTGGATCACACAGGGTGTTTTAAAACACAATCAATCAATCAATCAATCAAATGAAGTGATACATTTTTAAAAGATAGTAAAATAATTAAATTTATTTCCTGTACTCTGTATTTTTTAATTATCAGCATTATTGTGAGAGCGTCACAGAAAAAGCTGGTAAACAGATCAGGTCAACTTAGTCTTCCTTAGCTTAAATTTGTGTGAGTAAAATGTTGTTAATATAAATATGTTCAAAATTTTATGCTTTCTGAGAAGGCCCTGGAGATTTTTCAATACTCTTGTTTTCCTGGGGAGAAATAATAACTAAATTCTTTTTTATTATTATATATAGTTAACTTTATTTTCATTAATATTTTGTGTAATATAATTTCAAAGTGGGTCTCAGTTCTAAGACAAGCAAGAAAAAAAAAAAAAACCAGATATCACAAATCTCTTCAGAAACTGCTTTCACACTGTTCCCAACAGCAGAGCAGGAATTCAGGGTCCCCAATGCTGACATCCAACATTTTACCCTTGAGATTTTACCTCTAGATAAAGAAAGAATATCAGCATACAGGAACAAAACTGTACAAGTGGATCATAAGAACAAACTCTGAGCTATAAGGGTTGCAAGGATAATGAATGATTTCCTCTCCTACAATTGCAGTGTCATATTTCAGTTTTAGAGTTTTTACTTTTTAAGTAAAATGCCCGAGTATATGGGGGAAAAGTTAAGTTTCAACTGGAAAGATGGAAAAAGGAATGGTATGGATACAAAAAGAGGTAGATTAGCTATTATTGTCATAACAAGTCAATGCAGTCATAGAAGCAGAAAATAATTGAGGTCATATGCCAAATTCTTTACGCACACTTTCTCATTTAATCATCACAGAAACACTAAATTGTGAGTACTGTTCTATTAGTGAATGAATGAAGTTTAGATAGGAGACAAAACATGGCAACCAATACAATAATATGTAATAGGGGCTTTGATAAAATATAAAAATGGTGTGCATAAAAGAGGGAATGGTAAATTCTAAGAGGGAAATATAAAATGAATGAGAAAGACAAAGGTAATATCGCACACAAGAATTAAGATCTGAATAACACTGGCAGGGAGAAAAGGGAAGAGAATAATAAAGACAGAAAGCAAACAATACGAAGAGTCTGAGCAAAGATAAAGAGGATCAAACACACACATTAAGGAATCTAAGCACCATTCTTGTGCATTAGTTTACCTGTTATCAGACAATGAGGCACAAGACTATTTTACTTTTTTTGTTTGGTCTAACAGACACTTAAAGTTAACTGCTATGCTCACTTAAGACTAATAAATCTCCTTTTTTTTAAACAATTATCTCTCAAACTTTCAGAACGTAGATGCTGGTTTCTTACAGGGGCTAATGCATATTTCTTTGTTATCAAAAGCTACTTCAAATTTATTTTGAAAATAAGCAGAGGATAAAATGTGTATCACATAGTCACCCCCTTGATTATTTTCCATTGTTTTTCAGTTCTTTAACGTTTTGTTTCTACTTTGGTCTTTAACTCAATGTATAGCTCTATTTCTCTATAGACATCTATCATTCTAAGTCTCCTTGCAATCATGTCCTTTCTCTGTTTCTCTGGCAATCCACGCCAGTCATTTCTCTTGCCCTTCTCTTCCTACTTAGGTCCTCTCCATATAAATAATCATAAAGCAAATATGTATGTGATATGATTTATTGTTCACTTTCCTTAGCATTAAAATTTTTCCTACTAGTTAGTTGTCTATATATGGGGAAAGATTACCCAACCCAGACATACACATTCTCTATTTTTAAAATCCTTCAAAAGAAACCAAACAACACTATAAAATACTTAATCAAAATAAATTACCTTGCATATATCTCAATATAATAAAAACATAGGTACATATAAACATATACACATGTATAAGCTATTTGGAAATTCCATCTACCTATATACCAGAGTCAGAACATTACTATAAAAATGTATCTTCTCCTTTCCTACATATTTAAAACACAACTTGTAATTCATTCAAAACATTTGATAATGATATTTGTTAAACTCTAAAACAAAAACAGAGAATGTAGTAACAGTATCACTAAGAATTCTGAGATTTTGCAATAGTTAATTTTAGACAGCTCCCCCTTTAACTTGGGAATACTACTTCGCATATAAATTATGAATGAGGCCAACATTACCAAAAGACTAAGTTCTCCCAGCGTGACACCAAATGAAAGAGGTCGTATTGGATCTGTTACCTATCAAAGAAGAAAAGGTGACATTAAAATACACAGATGAGGGTGAATTATGTTCCACTGTTTACAGTAGCAACACAGCGCAATGAGTTTACAAGTAAGTCACACAACGGGATGGCTCTGTGAAAAAGAAAGGCAGTAACAAAACTGGGATTATTCAGATTTTGTAGGCACAACACTAATTATGATACTTTACCAGTGTGACTCTTCTTACTATAAGTGAGAAGACACTAACTACACCTAAACAGATTCAGTCTCTTTATGTATGGCATTAAAGATGTACTCTGTGAAAAATGAAACAGGGCATGACAGATAACCACAATATCACTCAACTATTTTTAGAACACTTAAGAGTTTTATTCTTAGAGGGTCTCCCTCATGGCGCAGGCGGATGAACACAGTGCTGTGAAACTGTCCCAATCTCCGCAGCACGGGTTCTATCCCAGCCAGAGGGGGAAATACCCACATGGCGTGGCAGACCTACATGGCGTGGCAGACCTCTCCTGTCTTGCCTGCTGCTCCCCTCAGCAGTGTATTTCAGTCAGCCTGCCCGTTCTGTTCCCCGCTCTGTCTCTGGTTAATCCTCTCACCCTCCCGCACATCTGGCCTGTTCTGGGTTCTTGTATAAATAAATAAATCTTTAAATAAGAAAAACAAAACAAAACAAAAAATGCTTTAAAAAAAATGAGTTTCACCCTTAGAAATACAAAGAGTCTCTTTAAACCTTAAATTTTCTGGACACTTCCAAAATATTTCATGAGGAAATAGCCAAGATTCAATTTCCTCAGTCCCTTGACGCAAAATCAGACAATATTAAACTTTTCCTCTACTTCTGATCTTTGATAAGTTATACACAGTGCTTCCACTGTACATTGATGTACACAATGTCATTATTTTAAACATCTTACAGATGTCCAGAAGTCATACAGAATTTTTGGTCATGTCAGAATCTAGGGAAACTAGATAAGAGAAAATAAAATAACATTTTAAGTCAGCCTACAAGGATGCCAGAGTCTAGTTACATATAGCCTTTCTCCATTATAAAAAAATCCAAGGTCTGGTATAGATGAAAAACAAAATTAGTTTTGTAAGCTTTGTTTTTAATATCAGATATATTACGATTTTTCCTTTCCTGATCTTTTTATACCTACAGATATCTAGTTCAAAATAACTTACATATTTTACAGAAGAAACAAATAAAACTACTCTGCTGCTAATGTATACTTATAAACTATTGCTATCTACCAATGACAATCTTTATAATAAATTATTTTACTTTCTAGTACCCACTTCTTACACTGTGTATTTTCCGTTATTCTTCTGGATACAATAATAATCACATTAAAAGGATGATGCAGGTAAGATTCCTTTCCCCTTTTTAAATTTTTTCCTTTTGTTTTATTTTAATATATGTTGTCACTGACATCAATTTAAACACAAATGATGCCACTTATTTCACTATATGCATTTCTGTATTTTTTATTTTATTTTTTTAAGATTTATTTATTATTTATACAAGCACTGGGTACAGTCAGAAGCGTGGGAGGGTGAGAGAATTCACCAGAGCCAGAGTGGGGAGCAGAGCAGGCAGAAGGACCGAGGTACACTGCTGAGGGGAGCAGCGGGCAGCAGGAGAGGTCTGCGCGCCATGTGGGACCCTCCTCCATGGCCGAGGAGCAGCCGGGGATCGAACTGGCTCTGCAGAGGCTGCGGGCAGCTTTGCAACCCAGCGCTCAACCGCTGCGCCACCGGGGAGGCCCTCTGTATATTTTATTTAGGAGAGAAATAATGTACCTTTCTAATTGTACTTGCTCAGTAAAAAAGCCTAGTTTCAAACTAATGTTCTTCATCAATATGCTGTTAGTCTTAGGAATAATTTTTTAACTTCCATGGTATGTTCAGTGTATTTTATTTTCTTAAATTTGTTTTAAACAAGATCAGTTATGAGTTAGTTTTTATAGACATTTATTTATTAACAAAGCTCAGTTTAATGAATACATAAAAAAGATAAAATCAATATAAGACAGAGATGACATATTTTTTAAAATTAAAAATATGTCTGAGTATGAAGATACATAAGGAAATTATCAGAAACAAGTTCTATATCTATCACTATTGCTTTAATTCAATCTAAACCAATGCAAATTAAAACCAATAAGAATGTGAACTCATTTTTGTAACAGATGGAATAATATTTCCAATTTCCTGGGTAAATGAAAAATTCAAGGTTTCTTATCAAAACTCCAAACTTTAAAACAATGTATATATTAAGTTTAAAATATGCTACACCTTAAAATGAATTAGTAAAAGTTCTTAACTAACATTAAGTATTATAAGTGGGGATTATAAGTTATAAGTGAAGATTGATTTCTAAACATATTGTTACAGGTATGCAAGTGGTTGTGGTTGTTCAAGTCCATGCAGTATAAAAAGAATTAAACAGTCAAATAACTTATGTTTTAATCACTCTGTACCAACTACCATTATAACTGAGTATTTCATCACCTCTTGGAACTAATTTTTTTTTAATTTTATATATTTTTCACATCATTTTTCATTTTTGCACAATGTTCGTATTTTCATCTTGGTTTTATTCCCCAAACAATTACCACCCCCCTTTTTTTTTACCCTAATCCCTCCTCCCCCCCCCACCCCCGGAACTAAATTTTTTTATCAGTGAAAGAAGAAAATTACTTCCTTAACATTATGATAGTATAAGTCTTCAGACATTAAACAAAAATCAAAATAAATAATAAAGGACAATCTAAAACTCTCTTACATAAACTTTAGAAAGGAGCATAAGGTAGTTTTATGACATGTTTATACAGATAAATGGCCAATGAAAAAAACCTAACACAGGGAAGAAGATATGATAGTGAATTAAGCAGAAAAAAATTAACCTTAGATTTAAAATTGGGTACAGATAAACCATATGTAGACAAATCAAGACTTAATTAAATACACAATCACTAAGTTAAAGCAAGTAGTTAAATTACTTACATCATCTTCATATTTAATGTGAATGTCTGTAATTTTTACTTGTACATTCTTAATTACTTGAGTTGCCAATTTTTCCAAAAATGTATCCTTTTTGGCTTCTTTTGGTTTATCTACAAAAAACAGAAAAATACAAGGTCAAGAGTTGAAATTCTCACATCCCTCATAATCAATGACCAAAAAGATAGCAAAGGTACTCATTGGAAATTACAGCCTATTCTAGTGTCCTTGTTTAATTTTAGATTTATTTTAGATTTTAATATGCATTTTAAACTTAAAACATTTTTGAATTCACATTATAATCTAACATTCATTTTACCTTTGAAGGCAGAAATCAAGTAGCAATGTGTATAAATAACACATGGCATAAAAACTACTTTACCTACCTTTTGAGCGATCAAGACCTTTAAAAGCTTTCTTAAAATGTTTTTTGTGCTTTTTACGTTTACGTCCTTCTCAGTGGAAGCATTTTAGTGAAAAAAGGATAAAATTCAAGTTAGGAGACGAGAGGACACAAAGGAAAACAAGAGAATTTTTCCTTACAGAAAATTTTGGTAATATTCACCTCACTCTGTTCTAAACTAAGCTATTAGTTCAATACAAACAGAAATTCACAAACCTTAAATTTAGAATAACTTTCTTTAGCCTAGAAAATAACTTGGTAGATACAATTACATAAAAAATTGGATAAAATATCCATACTCAAAGTCTTTCATAAATTTATAAGTTTTCACAAAACAATGTTTAATTTTAAGTTCAATGTTACCAAAATATTGGAAATGTAATAATGACAAAATATGAAACTTTCAGAGAAAAACTTTGATAGTTATGTGGTAAGAACACAGGAATACAAATGAAATAAATGGGTAGGTTGCCAACAGATGACTTCCTCTGAATGACACAACTTACAAGCAAAATTCTTTAATGACTTAATAATATAAAGAATACAAAAGAACATAAAAAATACATTTAACGATACATTAAAATTAGTGTAATAATTCCTTTAATAGCCTCACCCTCTTTTATTTAGCATTGCCTCAGTTTCACAATATGAATTAATACCCACCTTATCCAAGTTATAAACCTTTATATTCACCAGCCTACTAGGTATCAATTCTACTCTAAAACCTGAAGCAGTCTCAGAAGGGTCTGCCTGGCTCTAGTCTCCACTCTCACCTCCTATCGAACATCCTTCTGTTAGAGGGAAAGGATGTCCTGAGCTAATTCCATGCAGGCTTTGTGGACTCTATCCCCACTCCAGACCAAAGCCATCAAGACATTGGGAAAGACAAATCCCATCACCACCAAAGGGAAGGTGGCTGGGACCTGAGGGTGGAGTTAAGCAGCCAGGTTGGGTATAAAAACCAAACACTTGGGCCTTGGGGGGCTCGCTCTCTCACTTGCCTCCTGGCTTCACGGCTCCTGGCTTGCAGCCAGCTCTCAGAGTGCCATTCGGGATTCCAGATCTGTGGATCGGTTAGGACGCATTTAAAACTTTGTCTCCCACTTTTCTCCCTGAGTTGTACATTTCCTCGTTTGCCCTTCCCTTGTAAATAAACCTTTTATTAACCTTTCGTGTGTGCCTGCAGTAGAGTATTAATAAGTACTTTAAAGCGCGTGGGTGAGGACTCACAGTCAGGTAACCCGTTTTGTATCGGGGCTGCCCTGTAACACTTCTACCCTGCTACTGATATCAAGAATGGTAACTTTCTAAAATACTATTCACAATCTGTTAATCCCTGCTTAAGTCTTTGAAAACCTCTCTATGGTCTGCCAGATGGAAAAGATTTTGCGTAAAAGGAAGGTCCTTTCATGATCTGAGCCTGTTTTATCACCTACCATTCATCACTGCACTGACCATTACAGAAATACTACTTATGCTTCCAAAGCAAGTCATACCTTTCTAATGCCTCAAGTCATTTCCTGAACCTCAGTTTAATTCCCTCAAGTTTTTTTCATCTAGCAAACTCCTAAGAGGTTTCCAAATCTCAAGTCCAGCACTATCACCTCTGTGAAGCCCTCCCTCTTCAAGTCCTCCGAGCAGCTTCAGGGCTGTCTGTCACTGTACCTTATATACATAGACTTGCATTAAATAGTGAGTACCCTATACTTAAAGGGTATAAGGTATATCCCTGGTGTCACGCCAACAGGGAGGAACCTTCACTTTGACAGGAATTACCCTAATCCAAATGCCTGGGCACAAAGCATCTGAGCATGATACATACCTGTTCAAATGAATCCAAAAATATACATCTAAACATAATAATGAAGTATAGGAACTCAATTAATATTAGATATTTGAGAGAATGAGATTTAGCTTGTAATTTTAAATTTGTTTTTTCTTGATATTTTAAAGCAAATTGTCCTACCGCTATAAAAACTAAGAATCATATCCTAAATTACAAGAAAAAAAAAATCAAGGAAAAAAAACAGAATCTGGAAATTGTTATTATCAGTATATATTGTCATAGTGATGGTCTTTTTCACTCACAAATTAAACATTTCACTCACAAATTAAACATTTAGAAAAAAGACTGCATTCTCAAAAAAAAACACTATTTGAAAAGAAATTTTAGAAAATGGACTAGGCCAGAAAAGTATCCCATATGTCCCACAGACAGGTTTCAGCTGCCTGGGACTAAATTCTACAACAACTTGCTCTACGCACTAGACCTTCTACTATCTTTCTGGCTTGACATTTGTTGTAGTTCCTTGTTCTATCTTTGATATCAATGTTGGATGCAAGGTTTAAACCCTGTAGTTTAAACCTCCAAGTAGTTTCTAAATCTATAAATTCTTCAGAGAAAGTTTCTAATTAATCTTATGAATAATAAATGTATGATTCTCAATCACAATCTAAAGCAGTTCTCAAACATTTTGGTCTCAGGACCCCTTTTAACAAACTTAAAACTTGAGGACATTAAAGATAGCTTTTTATTTGTCAGGGTTATAACTATTGATATTTATCAAACTGGAAATCAAAACTGAGATTTTTTTTATTTTATTAACTCATTTCAAATTTATAATAAACCATATGTGATAACACAGATACAACATTTATTTAAAAAATAACTTTTCAAATAAAGTTACAGGGAGAAGAGTGGCATGGCTTTACAGTCTTACAAATCACTTTCATGTCTGGCTTAGCATAACATAGCAGGATTTGCGGATCTGCTTCTGCTTTCCATCTGTTGAGATAGGATGTTTTGTTTGAAGCATATGAAGAAAGTCTAATCTCAATACAGAGAAGAAATTGGAAAAAAAAGAGGAACATCTGTCCATCTTTTTTATGTAATTATAAACACTATACCAAAACTCAACAAGCAATAGTTCTTAAAGGGTATTGCATCTCAGAATCAGAAACTCTATTAAATGAATCTTTTATTTGAATTAAAACCAATTGGCCTGGAGAAGGCAGAATTAGATCTGCATAATGGCCACACCTTTGTTGGCTATCCTTTTCCCGGTAACCTCCCATGGGTGACCTTTCTCCCCTAACCCACAATGTCCTCTGTCTCAGCTGAGGTTATTAAAAGTGTTGACTGAGGTCATGTGGGGTAGTTACTCAATGTATACAGAAAGTATACACGTCATCATTAAAATTCCTTTTCATTTTTTTTTCTTAAAAAAATGTTGGGCTGCCTTGCACTTTAAAGGGACACTTCACACATGCATGATTTATCATCATGCACTGATAATATGGAAATATTGCTTCACTGAATTATGTAAACTTTCCAAATGTTAAGTCATTTCATTAATATAAATTTTAAAGATTCTATTTTTTCCTCAAAAGCTCAAATTTTATCATTGGCGACAAATACCGTACAGTGCTTTTTCTTGAAGTTGTTTTGCTGTAGTGTCCTCTAAACACACAAATCTGAAAAATAATCTGTCAGTCCCTTCTTCCAAGTAAAAATGGTTCTCCCTGAAAAAAACAATTAGTTCAGCCAACAAGTCAAACTACTGTACTTCTTTGAGACAAACGTCCTATCTCGGTCTGCAGAAATACCTTATGCCTACTTCCTTTTTGTCACAAGAAATAGTAAAAAGATACGTACTATCTTAAGAGCTAAAGTTTATTAAAATTAATTTTTTCCTATTCATGAAAGACATATTTAGGTAAACATGAACCTTTTTTTTGTTTAATTTTGGTTTTTACTATAAGGATGTGGTAATGGAAAATATAATCACTACTAGTCCACTGCCTTGACACAGGCTAAGGCAGCCAGCAATTTTATACACCACTGCTTTGCATATCAGTGAAAGTATCAATGCACAGAAAACTCAGAAAATGTCTTAGTATTATTTTGAAAAATATTTTGATTCTTTATAAATCACTCCTCTAGAAAAGTAACTTTTAAAAAGACATCAGATAAGGAAGGGATACAGACAGAAACTGAAAAGACCAAATTATCACAAAGTACACATTAGGATGCAACCAAGTGAATGAAAATGTTATCAAGGAAATTAACTATTCTCACTGCAGAATCATCAATATTCTGGGTCTGGTATTTTATCCAGGATAAGGCAACTTTTTTTAAGTAAATTCTGAATCAATTCAGTTTTTTTTTTTTTATTTGAGTTCTGTCTGTTATTGCTTTTTTTTAGCAATGCTATCTAATGATTTTGTTAGATATTTGAATGGGTCACTGGAATTTGTATCTTGGAAGCAGATTACTCATAACAGAATCAGAAAACACTGACTCTGGCTGACACAGAAAGCAGGTTCAATTACAACCTACAAAATGGGAGTTTACCACACATACCCCCATGCTATCTTTTACATTTAACAAAGCAACCATAAAACAAATTAACATAGTCAGACAGACATAATAAAGAGGCAGATTTGTTAAAAGGAAAATTTATTTCAGAGTAGTTTTACTCAATGCTGTGAAATTTACCATGCAAATTCTTCCAACTGCTATAATAAAACTAAATATTAAAGAAGTTTCTAGTTGCAGAATTCTATAATGCTTACTGCTTAAATATGAGATGCAGACACTGCTTATCATTCAATCAAAACAAATTTTAAGTGCCAGTAAATGAGTATAACAAACTTCTGAAAAGTTACAGAAAACAAGTTTAATAAATCAAATTATTATCTAAAATATTG